GGGAGACGGGAAGACAGGAAGACGCGACTATGGTATGTACATACATAAGTTGGAGCGAGTATGTCGGACGGTATCATGCATGTATAGTTAGTACTATGGAACGATGGAGGAAGCGCGAGCGGACGCGGAAGACGCAGATGATACTGCGGAGATGGTCCGGCAACTACTTGACGGGAAGGAGAGGTCGGCGGAGATCAAAAGTTGAAAGTGGAGAGCCGAAAGTTGAGTGTGCGGGGTTAGCGATGGTGGTGGTGGAGGAGGGGGGTTGGCTAACTAGTTCCTGGGAGGATTGGGCTCCAAGTTGAAGGGTTGTCGGCAGGCAGGAATGGGACATGGCGGAAGGAGGACGATCGCACTTTCCGAAGGTGGTCTCCGGAGCGGGTATAACACGGAGAGCGGATCAACGCCACGAAGCTGCTCTCCTCCAGTCCAGCGGATGATCGGCTGTGCCGCACTGCGGCTGGAGGGGAAGCTTATGTAGCATGTCTGACTGTGTGGACCTCCGCCCGCGGAAAAAACGGTTACCCTCCATGCATACGTTGACGGACATGATGTCCTCGTTGAGGATAGTAATGTCTTTCGACTCTACTCTGAGTACAAGGAGACAACACTGACCAAGCCTGTAAGCTGGTAGTGGCTCACATTTACAGGTTGTCAGAACTTCAAACTTGGTTTTGTTGCGGGACCGTTTGAGATCGTCTGACGTGCAGTGTAGGTAGGTCGGTTTTATACTTCCGGACTCGCGTCCGCCGTGTGTTTGTTTTCGCGGTGTGGTCAAATATTCAGGCCGACTGTGCCTGACTGAGTCTTCCTTATTTTGAACACGGTATCTCATGGATGCTTTTCCTCAGTTGGGTGTCTGTCTCTCTCAGGGTCATTGGCATCACTGGAAACGATTGTGTCAACTGATGGTGGTTTTGTTCTGTGTTCTTGAAGCGCACCAGTAGGTTACATTTCCATTCAGATGTCCCAGTACTCGTAGTTAACAGCTTGATCGAATTCGTATTACACCAATCCCATGGTTAGTTATCATGTGACCGCTCAGCCACACCAGCCACATCACCGGCGATGCCTTTCATGCCTCCTTAATATTTCCATTTTTGTAATATTACGTGACAATACACGACTTCTGTCACACTCACATTACCTACCACTGGACAGTGGAAATCTCTGCCTTGCGATTCCGCTCCACAATCTACTCTATCTACATAGAGCGGGCCGGGAGCTGGAAAGAAGAAAAAGGACTCGGATAAGGAGACACAAGTGGCTGTCTATTCGCAACCCAACTGGCAGACAAGGATTCAGGCGAAGAAGTGTTTTGTGTTGGAGATTTCGTCGGCACAAAACATTCTCGAAAGAACCGATGTTGTTGTTAGGGAGAGGGGGTGGAGGGGGGAAGGAGGGAAGCGCGCTGATTGGCCAGCCTGGAGTTAACGCATTAACCTGAGTATGTCGTATGGTCACAGCGGCCCATGGGATCTACTCTATATCGTGCTCTCTTATGGCGAAGATCAAGCGGGGTTGAGAGTTGAGGTGTTGGAACTTGGTGGGCGTGGTGGGCGTGGTGGGCCCCCACCGCCGCACATGGTCTCGGTCTCGACGTCTCTCAACTCCGGTAGGCTGTGTTGGCGATGGTTTAAAATGTAGAGTAGATACCCTAGCGAGATGAGGCTTCGGCTTCGGCTTCGGCTTTGGCTTCGCAGGCGATGTGGGAGGTGGGGCATTAGACATGTGTTTCGCATGGTGTGTACCTACTCCAGAGTGGCTGTGCACATGGGTAGTATCGCATAGCGACCCTCATTTGGGAGTGCTTCGCAGTGAGGCGGACGCGCGGGGGAACGTGGGAACGGGGGGAGGACATCGCATCGGTGCCGGAGCATCACATCACCGCCGGAACGAAGACCTCGATCGCTCGTCCTCGGCGCCAGCGAGAAGAAGAAAAATCGTCTGGCGACAGACCACCGCCACCACCACCGCCGCCGCGTCTAGATATCTAGCGCACAGTTGCAACCGCCTTCCTCCCCCTCCGCCACCCCCTCATTGCCGGAGCTTGCAGCAGATCCACCGTCGAAACCATCCGGCCTGTAGATATCTAGAGTCCTTGGAGGAGATACTAGTTGGTAGCGGATGGTGTTGACGAAATTTCCAACCACCAATGGGAATGCGAAGATCGATGGGGGCCAAGATGGCATGGGTTGGCGATTGTCCACTGATCAGTCCAGCTCGGCAGTTTGACGCGAATAAACTCTCTATCTATCTATGGGAGGAAAGTGAGTGAGTGAGTACGAGTATGCTAGGTATGATACCTACCTCTGTCGAGTGTGTTATCAGCAACAAGCAAGCAGGCGTCTGTCCGTCCGGCAAGAATATACTGGGAATAGGTACTGTAGGTAGGTGATGGAAACGCTCGTACTCACATCTGTAGGATGTACTCTATGTACTCATGGTCTCCATGTTGGTGATGTTTGTTGTCGCCGTGCAGATTCTCGGTACGACGTTCGTTCGTACATTCGTTCGTACATCCATACGAGACAGAACACCACCACCACCTCCACCCTCCACATCACCGTTACCCCACCACTACCCGCTTCATGTGACTTTGGAGGCACCAGGACGGAGCTGCACCGCATTCCCATCCGCTATCCAGAACACACACAGTAGCAGCAGCTAGGCGAGAACTCCCAAGGAAAAAAAATAAAGAGGGTACCGCAATCTGCGAACGAGACGAAATTAAAATTAGAATTAGAATTTAGAATTAGAATTTAAAAAAACAATAATGGAATAAAGACATTGGCTGCTCGTTGGCAACAGGTACATCTTACTCCACGGACGGGAGGAAACGTGCACCATTTTTCCCTCTATTCCAAACGCCGTACGGGACGACAACGCCGATTGGAAAGCCTCAGGAGCAGCAGCGTCGGTTGGTTGCAGAGACGAATGATGAATCGCCATGGATATATGGAGCTGAGTCCACCACCCTACGGCGCAGTCGTCACCGCTCCAGTCAAAGCCAGGAGAACACGACGAAGCTCGGAGCGAAGCGGAAATGCAGAAGCTTTCGCCGGGGGATCCCTTAGACTCTCTGCTCCGTTGTCGACGTTGGGGGAGGGGGGGTTTGGAAGAGGAAGCAGGCAGGAGAGATGGCCGTGGATGACCCACGAGCGATGCTATGTAGAATAGAGTACGTTTAACGTTGGGGTCGGGGGAGGGGAGTTGGTTGGGCTCGGAGTGGTGTGTTGAAAGGCCGTGAGGTTGACTCTTCCACCCATCTGTTTTCTCCTTGAGCATCTCTTTTCCTCACCAGCGGTAGCGGCCTCATCGCCACCACCACCACCAACACGATCATCATCTCGGCCACCAACCAGATTGTTTCCATCGAGATGATATGATATTGTTGCATGATGCCCGCTCCACAGCAGCTATCAACTATCAACTAAGGTGGTGAGATCCGGTCGCCTACGTGCGAGTACCTGGCACCATGGAGTAACGAGAGCACCTACTACTCTAACTAGTGCTCGATAGTGCCGTCGAGCACCTACACCATAAGCGCCCACCGCGAGATCAACGATTTAGCAACGGCCCGAGCCTGCAGCACCTACCTTGACCGGCAGGGGCTGTCTGAGCTAGATGCTCTGCTGAGACTTCAGCAGGAAGGAGGACGGAGGGCTCTTTGGAGCAGGAAAACACAACCACTTTTGCTCACACAACTGCACAACTGCAGCCACTATTCCCGGCTTGGGGACATGACCTGGGGTACGCTCTGAAGAGGCATCCCCCCTGTTCCCTCTGTCCGCCGCATCGCAGCAACAGCCCAATCCAACAGTTCCCTTGCAGTAGGGCCCACTTCCTTCATATCACCGCCCACTACTCTTCTTCAGCCCTCCGTGGTGATGAGCCCCCCCCCCCCCCCCCCCATCCTCTCCATCCCCCCCCCCCCCATCCCCACTCGGGGTCAATGGCTATTTGCAGGGTAAATATTTCGCTGCTGTGATGGGATTCGAGTCCTCGACCACTCAGCGATCTCTGCTGCACACTCCTCCTACCTTGCATGTGCATACATCCAGGGGTTCTGCAGGAGCACCATCACCACAAAAAACTAGCCAAGTGAGTAGTTACCGATCAGTTCGAAGAGGTTAACTCACTCCTTCTGCTTAGCACAGACAGAGAGCGGCCTTCGAGACTTGCCTGAATACAGGGCCCCATCCAAGACCTCTCGCTTCAAGGTTCGTCGTATCAATATCAGCGACCACCTGCCCCGGCTCTTCTACGCGCCCTGACGTGACCAGTACATCTGGATGGCTGGACCGCAATGTGCGGCATCCGTTGGGCGATGGGGCAATTTGCCTCCAAGCATCTATACATACCAACAGCTCGAACCGTCCAATGAATAACCGACGCCTCAATAATCGAGTTTCGACCGCCATCATTGAGGAACCCCCTCTTCTGCGCGTCTGTTAAACGTCGACCTGCTCATCCTTTTCTCCGCCTCTGTACATACATCTCGCGTCCTCTTCTTTCTCCCCCGCTCCTCACAGCCCGCTGCCGGATTGTACCGTTGTGTTGGACTTTCGTTGGATAGGTATGTAGCTCGCTCCCTGCTACTCTACCTGCTGTGTGTGTGTGGGGTGGGTGGGACCTTTTTATTCCACGCATACCAATCCCGCCACTTTAATTCCTCCGCATACATACTGCTCCGGGGGAGGGGGGGGGGGGGGGGTCTGCGAGGCCACACACTCACTGAAGAACTTCGGCAGCCGTGGTGCGGGGTTTTAAAAAAGTACATATATCAACTGATATCCTAGCTGCCAGCAGGCCGTCGCCAATACAAAAGAAGGGCCGATTGTCTCCACACCCCCCCCTCCCCCCCCCCAGTCGACAACTTTTTGGTCTGCGTTTCTATCGGCGAAACCTCACCCAAAGGATAAAGTGTTTAGTGGTCTACAGGCACTCACTATTGTCCCCACAATAACGCGTGCGAATTGGCCGCTTCTTGCCTCACAATGTCCCGCAAAGGATCCATCGGGTCCAGGCCCAACTCGACAATCTCGGTCGCCAGTGTCATTCGCGACGATATCCCAGAACTTCTACCGTGTTATGCTTCGTCACAATTCGTCCTCCAGGCGCAAGGCTCATCGATCCTCTGCCTACAACACGACTCTCTGGCAGCGGAACGGCGGTTTGTCCGTCACAAGGAGAATGTGACCATCATCGCCGTCGACAATATCAGTGATGTCGTTGCGACGCGAGTCGTCAGCGTGGATAAATCCAAGACTGCGATCGTTTGGGATATCGACTCCGGGGAAGTGCTCTCGCAGTACGAGGCGTACGAGGATATTCTGGTCGCATCGTGGATGAAGAACGGGAATCTGGTCTTTGGTATTGTCACATTTCCTCCGGCGTTTGCTCTTCTCGCAGGCCGTCGTTTCTGACTCTTTGGCTGGCTGGCAGGTGATTCCTTGGGCAATCTCATACTCTTCAACCCAGAAAACGCAGATGCGATAACGGCGCGCACGATATTCGACCCTCTGTGTGCGATCGCCCCAACTGCCGACTGCAAAGCGTTCGCTTTGGGGTACGTGTGCATGCCACAGTGTTCCAGATACACGTTCTGACTCTGCATATTGCACAATAGGTACAACAATGGCTCGGTACTCATTGCAGCTTTGTCGCCGGCTTTTACTATACTGCACACTCTCACAACCACCTCGATGCAGCCCTCAACCATCACAACATTAGCATGGCACGCCTCTTCGTCGAAACAAAAGTCGGATATGTTGGCTGTCCAAACCAGGGACGGCGACCTGCGTGTGTGGAGTGTTCCCAAGTCGCTGGACGGCGATGAAAGTGCACGGGTAGTGCGCATATTGAAGCGGCCCGAAGCTTCAGGACGGGGAAACAACTGGCTGGGATGGTCTCGGAATGGTCGGATCGTACAGTATTCTGCGGGGTAAGTAAGCTGCGCCACCACCTGGAATCCTGCAGCTGCCATTCGTTGGTATAAAAAAATAAAAAATGGGGAACGTTTCAACTGATGTTATTTTTAGTGCGACCACTGTGTGGGATGTCCGGACGAAGAACGTGACCTGGGAGGAAGTGCCAACACCGAACAACGTCGTCGGAATATGCATCTATGGTCCGCATGGATCGTTATTCACATTGTCGAAGGATCATACAGTGCAGCAGTACATGCTGTATCCTCCACAACTGGTGGCAAATATCCACCACGACCCGCCGATGCTACCACCGTCGCCACCGGTAGACCTTATCGGAGAAAACGACGAGACCGCGGTGATTGTGGTGCAAAACCAACAGCAGGACGATTACAGCATGACCGTGGCGTCATCGATGGGTCATACACTACACGAGCCCGAACACCTGGAACCGATGGAGTATCGCGAGGAGGGTTTGGGAATAGCCAATATCGTCGGTCAAAGACCATCATCAACAAGCTCTAGGGGATCAAGGGGAAGCGCGGAGCTTCGGCGCAACTATGGTTCTTCTGTATCCAGGGGCGGCACTCCAGCACCAGCACTAGCACCAGCACCGGCGCCCGGACCCGCATATGCGCCCGCACCGGCACCCGCACCCGCTCCCGAGTACGCGCCCGCACCAGCGCCCGCACCAGGTCCGGGCTTCGACCGCAAGGGATCGGCTGGATCTATTGAGCAATATTCTATCCTGCCACAGCAGGGACGCAAGGGCTCTACTGCCTCTATGGAACCGAGAGAGCAATATTCATCACCGCCAACAACAGATCGCAAGGCGTCTGCTGGTTCCATCGAGCAGAGGGAGCAATATTCCGGTTCACCGGTCGTTGGTCGCAGGCCATCCATCACCAGTCGCAAAACACACCCCCTGAGACACGAAATTCACATCAGCCCCGAGACGACACAAGTTCCCGTCAAGGCTCTTCCTGGTTCCCTCGCACATGTTACCGATATCTTCGCAAATCTGCGGATACGCCTGAATACCGTTACCTACGAGAGTCCTCGGGACGGTGGCCGTCAGAACAAACTTTCCGAGGATGATCACCGGAAGGAAATGCTTTTCTGTGTCTTTGGCTGGAAGGGTGATATCGAAGAGCTGATCGGCGATGAGTGTAAGATCTCTCCTATCCGAAAACTTGGAAATCGCGTAGATCTAATTTTTTTATTTTTTTTTAGTGGAATCTGTGAATGCTCGGTCCCTGAACTCACTGGTTCTACGGATGTGGTTGGGTGACCTCGATCAGAACTCGCTGGCTGTGATGCTAGGCGCCGACTTCAGCGTCTCTGGGGATTGGTTATTTCTCGCTTTAAGCGCCATGGGTAAGCTGACCCCACTCCACCTCGTATGATCTGGGGTCATCCCCGGGGATCGAGGGCGGTTCAGTACTCTCGCAGATGCTAATGTCTACAAATCAGGTGGCCAGAATTCATGGACCCACGTGGCAAGGGCTTTCGTCCTAAAGCTCTTGCAGAAGGGTGAAATACATACTGCAGTGCTGTGTCTCCTCGCTATCGGCGATAAGAATGACGCTGTGGAAATTTATATCTCGCACAAGCTATACCTGTAAGGGTTTCTTCGTCTCCTTGATGATGCCTGTTGGCTGACACTGTGACACAGCGAGGCTGTTCTCTTGACGTGTTTGTTGTGGAAGAAGGATTGGAAGCGCATATCTGGGTTGGTTCGTCAGTGGGGCCAATACGCCTCAGATTGCTATGATGGGACTTTAGCCGCCCGATGGTAAGTTCTGACAGCGACATGCATGCATGCATGCAGATAATTTGCTAACCGTAGCGATTAGCTTTGCTTGTTCCGATACCGATGCGCCGTCAGCACCGGAGCAGCGGCCTCAAAGAAGCCGCACTCCATCCGTTGGACACTCACGTTCCCGCTCAGATAATGACGGCGGCAACAGTCTTACGCGAAAATTGTCTATTAGTTCACCGTCCAATCCCCACGACTTACGCGAAAATTGTCTATTAGTTCACCGTCCAATCCCCGACGACCTTGAAGATGACGCCGAAGACTCACCGCTCAAGCTCATCACGGATTTCCCTGCTCCGTGGAGGCCAAGGATCCTATTCAACGCTCGCAAACCACCTCACCGTCCAGCAGCATTATTGCCGGTGTGAACCGCTTCTTCTACGGAGCATCAGGTCCTTCTCGTTCGGCTACTTCGACTCCGATCGCCATGTCCGCCTTGACACCGGTCGACCCGTTCTGGGCCGGGCGCGATAACTTCCCAAACACCAGAATGAACAATGCTAACACCAAGTTGACACCCGTGACTGAGGCTTCACCCTTGGACAAGACTCCGATCCAACGGTTCGCACACCAGCCGATGGGACAAATGGCCATGGCACCTGCCCCACCGCCACCACCTCCACCGCCTGGCAGAGAAATATCTACTCCGATCATTACTCGCAACTCTAATGGCTTCTTCGAGAGTAAGCCGGTGACCCTTGGCGACTTCAACAAGATGGAACGTGCGCCAACTCCTCCTCATAACCGCAATCCGTCGATCCAACTGAATCCGCCCAACCACGGTCCGATCAACCGGATGCCGACTCCGAATCTGCGTGTGGCCAGCCCTCCTCCGGATCCGATCATTCGGGCCCAGAGCAGTGCATCTCTGCGGCCGAATAAACCGGTGGGTCTACAGATACAGTTCCCTCCCATGGACTTTATACTTCGTGAAGGCACACCTCCGATCGCCGGTCGTCAGCGAGCGGGTTCACGAGCTTCGCCTCCGATTCCCGCTGGACAGTTCCATCGCAAAGATTCTAAAGACGCGAAATTCATCGACCTCATCGAGAAGGGTAATAAGAGACTTGACGATCAACGGGCCTCCCCTCGTCAGAGGAGGGGTTCTCAGGAGCGCACCCGTAGGATCTCACCTGAGCGAACATATCCTCGCAAGATGAGTGTCGAGAGGGAACCTAGGGGGCGCACCGCCGAAGTGAAGCGCTCGCACATGAGGTCCCCATCTAGCCCTCTTCCGTTCTCACCTCAAGCAGCGCTGTACAAGGACGAGCCAATCCATGTCGAGATCGAGCCACAATACCAGATTCCGCAGTTTAACGAGCCGCGATACGACGAGCCTCGGGGACGCAGTGCTGCTAGAGGTTACCCTCGTGCAAGGTCTCCCAGCCCGGTATCGCCAGAACAAGGTCGTGATAATTACGAGACGAGAGATACTACACATCATCCTCGACAGGAATCTCGTCGTCCGTCTCCATCTAGGAATCGCAGCAGAGGAAGGGGTCGCGTTAAGGAGATCAAGGCGTCGCACGTCCGATCGCCGTCGAGCCCGCTTCCCTTCACACCCCAGGCAAAGCTTTACCAGGAAATGTCCGAGGAGGTCGACCGCCAACACGAGGAGGAAGAATATCACCGGCAACCTCGACGGACCGCTCAAAGTCAGACCCGGGGCCGCCAACGTATGGACTCTCGCACTCGCGACCCTCAACCTCAGTTCCAGGGACACGGCCTCCGCCATTCTAGGTCGGAGCGCACCCTCCGGCAATGGAGCGACACACTCGAGCGCGGCGACCTCGGCGCTACTGACAACTACACCTTCAACCGTGGCGCTACTCCCACTCCCAGCACTATGTCCCGTAACTTGTCGAGTCGTGGTCTTCCTTCCAATCCCAAGGTCTGGCGAGCAGAACTACAGGCGAACTCGCGTGGAAATTCCCCGGCACCTTCTCGTGGACGTTCCCCACCCCGTAGCATGTCGGTAGCTCCTGCTCCACCTGCACGTGGCATGGAACGACACATGTCTCCAGCGCCCCGGATGATGTCTCCTCCACCTCGTGCGATGGGAAAGACATATCTCTCCGGGTCCAGGGCATCGGTTGAGGTCACCAGCTCCACCATCCCATCGGACGATGTCTCCTTCGATCGGTATGGGCCGCACCATGTCGCCGGCTCCGGTCCACCGCGGCTTGACACCGACTCCCTTCGAGAGCGCTCCACGGCCGCCTGTGACACTCGGGAGTCTTTCCATGGCTTCCTCTCCGGCACCGTCACCCTACGAGAGCATTTTAACCGCCACCGCCACCACCCCTCCGCTACCGGCGATGGCGATGGCCATGGCACCGGCTCCGTACGAGAGCATCCAGGACATGCCGCTCCCAGCAATGGCAATGTCTCCACCCGAGGCACCCTATGAGAGTATTCCAACTCCACGACCCCCGCAGCAGCAGCAGTTCCGCGCCAGGACACCCGCGCCGGCCCCGCCGCCTCCTCAACAGTATCGCTCGATGACTCCCGGCCCGCAGTATAGTCGCTCCATGTCAACGACTCCAGCACTATCCCGCTCGATGACACCAGGACCACAGCCATCGCAATTCCGGTCGCGAACCCCAGTACGCGCACCGAGTCGCTCACGTGGCCGTTCCCGCTCCCGCGGCCGAGACGACAACCCGCGCAACCAATACTACGGCAGTCCCTCGACCAACGAATACGACAAGCCGCCGCCATTGCCGAGCGTCGCCCGCAGCAACTCGCACTCGCGCAACAACAGCGAGCCAACATTCATCCCGCTCATCCGCAAGCTGCCGCCGATGCCGCTTTCTCCGCCACCGCTGCCCAAGGATTTCCCGGTGCACTCGGCGCTGCAGATGCATCTCGAGCCGGGAAAGAAGAAGGATCCACACGCAAGGGACCGAAGTGTCAGGAGGCACAATGGGAGTCTCGACATGACTCCCGAGTCGGACTACGGCTGGGATAGAGGTGATCGCGGCGGTGGTCAACGGGGTGGTCAGTGGAGAGTACGATTACCAGGGACAAGACTACCAGGACAGTATTCGAATCCCGAGGCATACTATGACGAGATGAACCAGATGGAAGAGCAGATGAGGGCTCGGCGTGCGATGTCGCCGGCACCGACACTCAAGGGCGCCGGAGGTGTTGGAATGATCTAGGAGGGATGAGGTTTTGCGTAGCGTTTAATTTTGTTCTTTGTTTTTGTTTCCCTCCAACATTTGCATTCATTCTTCATTCCTTTGTTTTTGTTTTTGTTTATTATTCTTGAGCATTCACTGCTCCCCACTTTTTTTCTTTTTCTTTTCGTTTCACCATTGGGAATTTTGGAATTCACTTCAGCACATCATTACAGGAGATTGAGAATAGGAGTTTTTTTTTCTTTGGAATTTTGTTTAGGTTTGGATTGGATTGGATTGGATTGGATTGGAGGGGGGAGGGGGAGGGAATGGGGCTTTAATGACGACACGATACGATTATCTTCACTTCTATACTTCTTTCTACTTTTTCTACTTTACAAATTTCTTCCGTTTGCTCTGTTTCTGTATCTGTACTGTATCTGTACCTTTTTTCTTTCTTATCATTCTCTGATACCCGTCTCCTTCTTCTTTTCTCTTCTTCTTCTTCTCTTTTGAAATGTGTGGCTGTGGTGATAATTTTTGGTTTTGTTCCGCGATTGGGGGGAGGGACAGGTGGGATGGGAGGATGGGGGGATATGTCTGGATATACGCGGACGGCTTTGGACTTTTGGACTGGATTTTGTATGTAGATAACTACTTGAGTACCTTGAGTAGGCTTGATGGATATTGGTGGATGGATATTGGCAGATGGATTTTGGAGGATGGGATTTTTGGAATGGTAATTCTTCTTTTCTTGGGGAACATTCTGCGCATTGCGTACATATCACCGTGACAGCCGCGAGACAGAATACCAACATACACACCTACACAGAGTACCTCACCCTGCTCTCGGGTGCTAAACATAACGAACGCCAGATCCATCGCAAAGCACAGCATCAGATCACACGGTATCATGCCCGGTTAGTAGAGTAACCGCCTCAGGGCCACGGTCGGTCCGAGATCCGGTCCCGCCAGGTACATATCGGAAGAGTTTGGGAGGTAGTGGGCAGATTCTGCTGATGCGAATGCGTTGCCTATGGTAGGTACTGGCCGTTCGTTGGCTACTCGTTGGCTGTTTCTTGACGTGTGCTCCTTGACGAGTGCTTCGACTTTTCGACTCTTTGATTCTTGTCGTTCGACTCTTCGCTCTCGACTCTTCGAGCCTTCGATTGGCCGGTTGTGTATGTGTATAATTAGCAGGCGGTTACGGCCTGGCCTACCTACTTCCTACAGGCTACACAGTACAGGCTACCAGGTACATGTCTACATACTCAGGTACACAAGTAGGTGCATCGATAGATAGATACTCAAAAGATCGTTCGACCTCCCCCCTCCAGGATGAACCCTGCAGACAGTCAACTGTGGCACTGTCCGACAGCTCGGCTGCACTCAAAACGCACCACCGTAGGGCATAGTGGTGAGTGTTTGGTTTTGAACCTTGACTCTCCCCCTCCTTAAGTCCGTAAGCGAGGTGGAGGATAACTATACTAGTTGTTGGGTGCTGATTAGTCAGTCGATCGGCTGGGAGTGAGTGAGTGAGTGAGTGAGTGAGTGAGTATGTAATCGGCCGCTCCCGGGGGTCTCCATATCAGTGGTTATCACTCGCCGCCGAGTGATATTTTGTGGTTGCGTTTGAATACTCAATCCACCGCGGTCGAGGAGAGGGACTGGTAACGAGTTACTGCTCCGTCCCACAGCCAGTACCGGGAGGGGAGTGAAGAATACATACCCGCGATTGTTCCATCATATATCATGTATGTAGGTACATACAGATCCGCCTTCCGATGGTAGTCCACCGCACTGGCCCTCCTCCGCACCGTGCCGGCAGCCCAGTTCCGAGCACGGGAACACGAAGCGAAATGTCTACGTCAGTTGCCCACCCCCCTCTCCTCTCTGCTAGGTATCCGACTTCACCTCCCCTCATTCCCTCCCCCAAACCACCAGCCTGCCACGATGTCCCACCCATCCAGCCCACCCCATGCATCCCATCCTTCCACCACCACCACCTCCTCCTCAGCCGCCACTTCAGCCGACCACCGTTTCCGCGCCCTCACCACGCTGCTGCACATCCTCTCCAGCAGCCTCTCGCCAGCACGAGCGCTCGAAATCACCGTGCCGATAGTGGAGCCGTACACGCGGCGACTCGACAGCGTGGCAGAGCTTTTGAGCCGGCGGGCGTCGGAGCAGATCGCAGTGTGCGTGCGGTACCAGCGGTTCCCGTCCGTGATGCGGCCGTGCGTGTACATTTTCGTTTCTGGAGGTGAGGGTGAGGATGATGGTGAGGATGGAGATGGGGATGGTGCAGGGGGCGGGGAGGGGAGGGGGAGGGGGGTAGAGGTGCATGAGGTGGATCCGCACGAGTTTGGGGGTGTGGCGGAAACGGCGCTGCAGGAGCTCACGCCGTATTTTCTCGAGAATCCGAGTGTGCCGCTGGAGCACCATGTCGGCGTCCTTCTGGGCTGGCTGCATAGGGTGTTTAGGGAGTGCGCCGGGCCAGAGGAGAGGTACGAGAGGTTTCAGGTGCTGGATTTTTATATGCTGTTCCGCCAATGCGGTAAGATGTTGCTGAAGCTGGAGGCGGGGAGAGGGCTGTTCTTGGGTGCGTTCGAGGAGGTGGCGGCGAGGACGTGGGTGGACGGCGAGTTGGGGAACAGGTGGGTGGGCGAGCAGGCGGGGTTCACAGAGAATTTGAAGACGGGTGCGAGGCTGTGGACCAGGATTGCGGTGCTCGGTGGGCCGAAAGAGAAGTGGCCGAGCCTGTGGAGGGCGTGTGAGAGGCGTCGTCGGTGGGAGGCCGGTGAAATGAAAGTCGAAACGGCAACGGAGGTCAATGGGGAAGGGGAAGGGAAAGGGACGCAGCCATGTCTACAGGACGAGAAGGAGAAGGGGAAAAAGGAATGCTTGAACATGGGTGAGAAGCTGTACAGACAGCAGCCGGAAGTCCGTACGAACGGAGATACGCCCGAGTTACAACAGGAGGCCAACGACAAAGATGACATATTCATCGGCTTCGATCCGGCCATCGACTCCATATACAACGCCACCACCTGCCTCGACTTCAACTCCTTCCTCATCCATAGCCTCACACAGCTCTCCCGAAACCTCACCGAGCTGGAATCCTACGCGTCCTCGTCCCCGCGCACTGGCCTGCCAGAGGATGAGAAAGCCGCCTTCACCACCCTGCACCGCCACATCCACCTTTCGGTCCGGGTCTTCTACAACCTCTTCCACGACTCCTCGGGCATCCTGCAATCCCACCTCCACTGGGTCGCCGCGGTGCTGGGCAAAGACAAGCGGCACGCCACCTCGCGATCCGTCCACGACATCCTCGAGCTCCCGCGGCCGGGGACGATCTACCGCGGCCCCTCCGTCCGACCTCTAGCCCAAGGGGCCAGCCTGTGGGCGCGAGCCTGCGCCGAGTGGCTGAAGCTCATATACCGGCCGATGGAATGTGTGCACCGGTTCCAGGGATCGCGTGGCTTCTGCACACTGCGCAAGGTGCTGCAGGACTGCGATGTGGCCATCGTGCGGTGCAAGCTGGGGGACCGCCGAATGGCGGCGTGGGAGGACGTGGTGCGCAGCGTCGTCGAGGGCTGCCCGCGCATATTCAAACCGGAGCATGCTGACATGCTGATCGCCCACTTTCGCGACGAGGCCAGGAAGGCGGATCGGGCGAGTCCGCTCAAGAAGCTCCTCGGGGACTGGACTTTCGAGGGCTGTGTCCATCCTCTGGCTGCGCTGGCGGGACTGAGGTCGGCCGCGGTGGAGCGCTCCTCGCAAAAGGCCAAGGCTAAGAGAGGGAAGAAATCCACCATCCCACACTCCAGATCTCACCAACGTCCCGCCTACCATGACCCTGCGAACAATCCCTTCGCGACGTCCGAATTCCAGTGCATCGGTGGTCTGGTTGGCATCTCGCACACGCCGTGTGCCGTGTGCAACATGCTCGCCGAGCACGCTCTCGACGTCAGCAGGAGCAGCAACGTGGTGGCACCGTGTGCACTGCCGCCGATCATGTCGGCCACGCAGCGTGTAAATGTGATGCGAACGGTTGAGCGGAGGCTGGAGGATGTACTGATGGAGCTGTTGGAGGTGGTTGATCCCGACCCGAATCTCTCGGAGTTGTCGACGAGGGCTGGAGGTGTGGGGGGGCAAAGACAGGCGAGGTGGGTATGAAGTAGAGAGCAGGTACTTGGGCATGCTACGTAGGACGAAGTAGGGGGTAGTCAGGGAGGGAGGCAGTCAAGGGAGGTAGGCGGGGAGGAAGGAATGGATACGGATCGGCACTGCTTGCTTAGTTAATTAGGGGCAGGCGGGAAGATGCAGGTGTACGTAAGACGGGTAGGTATCAAAAGCATCATCTAGGGTTTTTGGGGACTAATGCTTGAACTCTGTGCAAAGACCCCAGCGTAAGGATTCCGTGGGGGGGGGAGCGAAATGCGTCGAGGGCACGAGCCAATTTGCTGTGCCCATCGCACCGCTTACGTGGGTGGACATTTGTAAGGATATCCGAAGATGGCTGTCGTCGTGCGGACACAGATCTTCCTTGGCCTGGGAAATAGCCGTGGCCATGTGTGGAAGGCCTGGTCCCGGTGTGGAAGGCCTGGTCCCGGTGTGGTGTGCACAGCGGCTGCGATAAGATGTGCTGTGATGTGTTGTGCAGCCAGTGCGCACAGACGGTGCACTGCTTGTGAGCACTACATATTTGGGTACGAGGTAACTGTGCACAGTATAGTGAAGCTGAGCATATGTGGGGTGGATCGATATTCAACTCGGGGTACTTGAGGTTCACCACCTGAAGAACACAGGTGGCTCTTTTCTTTCATTGTCGGTTCTCTCTCTAGTCAAATGCAATCGGTCTTCTATCTTTTAGTCATCTCGTCCCCAGTGCCTCAGCACTTGCATAAGTCCCACCCCCCCCACCTATCCAGACGTAGCTAGTCCTTCGCGATGATCATCACGACCACGACGGCGGTCCGACCCTGGTCTTGGTGGTGATGCACCTGCACCTGCAGCTGACAGCTGTAGGGTGTGTAGGAGTAAGGCTGCGGCGTATGCAACGAGTTCCTCGCCGGCCGGTGTTCGGACCGTGACATACGGACTCTAGGGCCTCCTCCCTCCCCCCCTCCCCGGCCATATGCAGTTAGCCGGCGCAGAAAAGCGAGGACTGGACTGAGCCCCAACCGCCCCGAGCCCTTGTCCGTTATCATAGCATCGGCCAACTATAACCGGTCGGATTGTGAGCTCAGATCTTAGATGCGTCCGTGCTCCGGCCCGCTAGCCAGCCAGCCAGCGGTCCGCCAGCGGTCCGCCAGGAGACAGAAGATTGAGCACTGACACCTCGCACTGGGCACTGACCACTGAGCACCGAGCACCGAGCAGGTATAAAGCCGGAGCTTTCCCTCGCTGTTTCAAAGACTGGCCGGAAGGCGGGCGATGGCGAGACGATCGACAGGCCGAGATCCCCCCCAACTAACCGACGACGGAGCGATCGAACCTTAGCTATCGATAAGACAGCAAGGCTGAATACCCTACATCACCGCCCGATCCCGGGGTTGACAGCGGGCATGCCACATGCCACACGTTCTGCCTCTGCATCTCGAGGCCATTCCACATGTTCCGTCTCTGCACCTCCAGGCCACGGCGATTCTTTGCGTCATATCCCCTTCTGCTCGCTGTGCCGTTGCACGTGTTCCGGGCGGCTACCTCCTCGGGCACTTGCACCTCCTCGGACACATGCACATTCTCTGATCGAGTGCGCTCCGGTGCACCAGGCTTCCTCGTGCTGCACTGTCAGCTCAGTGCTCTTACTTTTTTTCTTCTTTCTACAGATTACTCACAGACGTACATGCAGATTTTTCTTCCTCACGTCTCTGTCCAGCCTCCGGCAAACACAGAGCAGAGCTGTTTTCGGAGAAGACTCTGCCTGCCGGTTAAAACAAGTTCATCAGCGACCGACCGACCTCGACGGCTTTGAGTATTCTTGAATCTAGTCCGGTGCTTTCGAGTTCCGACACCCTTTTTCCATTCTCTCTCGACTCGACTCGACTTGATCGCTAAATTCACGTTCGCAAAGTGCAAGTGCAAAGTGCGAAAGTCTCACGAGACGAGAGACGAGGCGAATCTGCACCGGAAGCCAGCAGGGGGGATACGGACTACCTACTACATCATACATAGTAGGTGTTCGTGTTGTTCGGAACTCGACATCTGGTGGTTCTGCACGACGGGTGCCGCCTGATCGGCCATGCGCGCTCCCTTTCGACTGATGTTTTTTCCCTGTTTCTTTATTTCTTTCTTTCTTTTGCAGTTCTCTTGCAGTTCTCTTGATTAACCTGCAGCGTGTACAGGTTGTCTGTCTTGACTCTGCAGGCAGCGCAGACAAGATTCCGATTCCGATTCCGAAGGCCGTCGCGACTCGAGATTGAAGCTTCGTGCGCAGTCGTATACGGTACTACATAGTACGGTAGTCTAGCTCGAACCCCGCATGGTACGGTATCTCGAAGTCGGCGGTCGCTCGTCAGAGATCCAGATCTCTCTCTCTCTCGTTTCGAGTCGAGTCTCGACGGAAGAAGAAAAATAGCCGCATACGCAGAGCACGGTCGTCTAGAACCCTGGGAACGATGAACATGCCCTCGTCATACCTGTGGACTTTCTTTCTTTCCGCAGCCGCCCTAAACGTTTCATTGTCACGCAAGAAGAAGCTGCGAAAGAAAACAGCAGAAGCAGAAGCAGAAGCAGAAGCACAAGCACAAGCAGCAACACGACAGCTGAGCGCTGTATGTACTGTCTGCTCTTTTTCCCACCTCGCCTCGCCTTGCATTCGGTTGCTAACCAAATACACAGCTGTCGGTTGGATCGAGCAGCACTTCTGCCGTCGAGCGGCAGAACTCCTCTGGGCTCAACTCCGCAGACTGCTGTGGAGTGAGTGGAGTGGAGCAACAATAGCTCCCTCCGTCCGGTAGTGATTAGAGAGAGAGGGTATCGTACATACCATACCGCCTGCGACCCCTCGGGAAGAGAGGGGATCCACTCTCATTCCGTCCTTCTCGCCCTCCTTCCTTCCGCCCCAGCACTTCCGCCGGTTATTCGCTAAGACTTTCTTTATTCCTCAGCATTTTAACGCATTGTTGGGGGAAAAACACTTTAGTGCACTTGCATTTGCATTTGCTCGCTGGCTGGCTGCTTGACGACGTGCCAATACCTACCTACACACCCCGGTGTTTACACCGCATATGCCATACATAGCTGCCCGCCCACCATGAACGTGAGGGGGACGGCTCAATCAAAAGCCCTTGACTTGAGTCGACAAAGATTGCCATGGATCGAGGGGCTGAGATTGGGGAGAAAGACCGTCTTGTGCTCACGAGGGGTTGGTCGTCGTGTGTCGCGGTGTGTTCCACTGTCGTCGTGTTTCGCCGGGTGTGTGTCAAGTCTGTCAAACCTCGATCAAATCGTGTCTCGCGTGTGCGGAGGTGCACCCCCACTTCGAATCGTTGTCTGATACTGTCATACTTTCGGTTCACATGGTTGGTAGCTATCGACCTCAGTTTCGCATAACTATATTACTGATAAAATCCTTATGTATGTGTATACCTGACCATTGTAGCAAGCGGTGAGAAGGGGGCACTTATTTTGAAAAAAAAAACACTCAGGGCAAGCCCGCCATAGAAAGCCAAAATGTCAGAAATTTCATTCAACAAGTTTGAGTTCGAGTCGAGGCAAAACAATGGATAGCGCGGAGGGGGGGAAGCACAAAAGGCCCGGCTTCTCCCCCCTTCATGACTCCTCGTGCAAAATGTGGAAAAATATTAGTATTGGCGATATCGATATCAAAGGGTTACAGTTACAGTGCCGATAAACGAAACAAATCAAGACAAACAATCAAACCAAAAAACAAACAATCAGTCACGGGATTCGGCATAGGCAGGTACCGATGTCGTCGAGCTTGAGCGAAGACCATAGCAGCACCATCAGCAACAGCGACAGCAACACCAGCAGCAACATCACCGGCCTCGGCACCGGCACCAGCGGCGGCGGCAATATCACCGTCCGGCCGGCGGCCTTCCCGGACATCGCCCGCATAGCCCGCGTAGCGGTGGACAGCCTGCCCGACGACCCAACATTCGACTACCTGTGGTCACACCGCCACGAGTACCCAGAGGACAACTACTTCTTCTGGCAGCAGACGCTGAAGGGGCACCTATTCAACCCGCGCTTCACGCTCCTAGTCGCAACACTCACCGCCCCCACCGAGGAGAAATCCGCCCACTACGCCCTATCCCCCGCACCACCCCCGCCGCAGGCGGAAACCATCATCGCCTTCGGTCTCTGGGAGCGTAACGGGCGGTCGCGGGCCGCGCGCCTCCGCCGCCGCGAGCGCAACAACTGCTACAACCGCCTACACCGTGAGCCCGCCGTTCCCCCGCCCTCCCTTGTCCCCCCTGCTAACCCCCCCTTATAGGCATCCTAACGCGCCTCGAAACCTGGTCGCTCACGCACCACTACTCCCGGCGCGACTCCAACCCCCTACACCTTTCCGCGTTCTCCTCCGTCATGAGTTCCGTACACAGCACATACTGGACGTCCCGCTACCCCGAGAACTTCCATCTGGACCTTTTGTGCACGCTGCCAGCGTTCCGGCGGCGCGGCGCGGGGACCGCTCTGACGAGGTGGGGGATCGACGAGGCGCGGAGGGAGGGCGCCGCTGTGGGCGTGGAAAGCTCGCCTATGGGATTAGGGCTGTATGAGGGACTCGGGTTTAGGTTGCTTGAGAAGATGGTCGTTAATGTGCAGGGTGAGGACGAGGAGCTGGTTGTTAGGGTGATGGTTTGTTTGCCTGGGAAGGCGGCGGGGACGGGGACTGGGGCGGTGGCGGGGATAGATGGAGGCGTGGGGCGGTGACGGGATAGGGCTGGACTAGGGACGTGAGTGGGGTGGGCGGGTTCGGCTCGGCTCGGCTCGGCTCGGCTCGGGAGGTGGGCCGGGCGCGGGGGACGGGTCGGGGCAGGGGGCGGGGGGCAGGGGGCGGGGGGATGACGGGGGGTTGGAACGGAACACATGGACGCACATGTGAAGCTACATACATATCGCTATTGGTTTTGGTCTTGGTTTTGGTTTTTGCCAGGATAACTACGGTACATACGGGATACGGGTGATTGAAACGGTTGCTTGTAAGCAGTGTCGGCGTCAGCGTACCTACCTGCCTGCCTGCCTGCTTGCTTGTCTGCCGAGGTGGAGTTCGAAGTGGAGTTTGTTTTCTTCTTCTTTTTTGTTTATTTTCTTTGCTTTTTTTTACTTGGGTATGATGTCGATTTCTTTCGGTGCTTGTGAGTTGTTCGTGCATACGTATAAGAGTACTTCCTACATACAATTACGCTCTCTCTCTTCGTCTTTTGTTTTTGTTTTTGTTTTTGTGGGGAGTTTATGCCCCGGCTCCCGCGGGTCCGCGCCGTACGGTTGCATTGCCTGCCTGCCTATTGGAATGGAAGTAGAATCCTAACTAAACTCTAACCTGCCATTCGTTCGTGGGCGTGGCTACATACGGTAATGCATGTATGTGGAGATCCTACAGGACCGGACGGGGCAGGACGGGCTGCGGGGAGGGGAGGGAACGGACGGAATAAGCAATTTCTCATCAGACCAAAGAAAAAGGAATAAAGTTACGCCAGGATTCAAAGCAAAACACAAGAGTATCCCGCCCCACCTCCCCCATATGCAAAAATGTGGAGATTGAAACGAAATAAACAGAATAAATAAATGAATAAAACCGTCCAATGCTGGCCAGGTGAAATAATCTGTCGAAAACGTGAACGTGAACGTGCACGTGAATGCACTTTAACCACCCACACGCCTCTGCGCCCCCTCCCCGCCCCCCTGTCCATCCCCGGCCCGACCCGTCATTAGCCCCCGTCGCCTCACCCCGTCCGTCCCACCCCCATTCACACCCCGCCCTCCGTTCACCCCCCGTCATCCCCGATTCAACCATTCTGACTCCACCCATAATTCGGCACCGTCCCGCCGCGCGGATAATCGAACGGAAAGTCCTCGGTCCGCGGGTCCGTTCTACTTCCGTACAGCTCATCCCACTGATCCTGTACCACGGGTGGGATACTCCACGCCCTTTCCGCGTCGTCGTCGCGGACAAACATCTTCAGTAGGTGGCGCGCACTCGCTTCCCCGGACTCGGACGCGGACGTGGTCGCGAACGTGGACTCGGGCGCGGACACAGACACAGACGCGGGCGCGGGCGCGGACTCGGGGTGGGACTCGGAGTGGGACGTGGACGGCGACTCGTGCTGGTCCCTAGCATGCAGCAGCGCGAGGTTGTTGAAGACGCAGAGGTCGCCGTCTGCGAAGTTGATGGTGAGGGAGCTGTTTAGCGCGGCGAAGTGCAGTGTGTCCAGCGCCCAGTTTCTGTGCAGAGCTTAGTGCCGGCAGCGTGTCGGACCGCGCGGTGCCGCCGAAGCCCGTGAATGGCCGCCGGAAGGATTGCAGTAGCACCCGTCCCGCGTGGAAGTGCAGCAGCGGTTTTTGGTACGAGGGGATTGTCGGGGTGTAGGCTGCGGGGGGGTTAGCGGGGCGGGGGCGGGGGGAGGGATGGGGGGGGGGGGGGGGGGGGGGGAAGACCACGTGTCGAATACGAACGGCTGGCTCAGGGTGCGTAACACGTCTGGACGGGTCGCGCGTAACACGTTGTAGACATTCCAGGCGCTGGCGATGCGGAACGCGCCGCCGGAGGTGCCCTTGCTCGCGGTGAAGATGGAGACGATGTCGCCGAGGTCGGTGTGGAATGTCTGGCCGTTCGCATTAGCGGCGGCACACACACGGGGGGATGACGGAATGACGGAATGGCGGCAGACAAACCATTGCCGCGTTCGTGAATGATGGGGACACGATATCTTGCCCCGGGAAGTGCTGCTGGATGTTCCGAATGTGCGCTTCACCCCCCTCCGTCAGTAGGAGCTCCTGGACACCATCGACAACGGATGTTTTCGTCGCATACCCAGAACGTCGTTCCCCTGAGCCCCCATGTACCCCCGCTTGCTACCGAAGTAGCTGGTCAGACCCGCGTGGATGACGATGTTCTCCTTCATGGTGTAGTCGCGAGAATTGAGGCCTTTAATCAGGCCGAATCCCAATCCGTCGTACAGCGAGTCTCGGAGCTTCGCAAGGCGCTCCCGTAACTCGGGACTCAGCGAGAACGTCGCGGGCGAGATTTCCTTAAACAGTGCACCCGTGTCTGGTGGAGGGGAGTGGACATGTAAGCTTTCGATGAAACCGATGGATGGATGGATGGAGGGGTGGATGGTTGGATGTATGGGTGGATGGTGGTTTGATGGATGGATTACTCACCTAGAAACACTTCCATCGCTCCTTTGATCTCATCCACATCGTCCTTGCTCAGCTGGAGGATCCACCGTTCGGGCGTGGCCGCCACCTCCTCGCCCTTCCAGACGAGCGGCGACTCGATGACCTTCGGGAATTCTTCGGGCAGGTACTTCTCGTCGGGATCGATCTCGAAGCCGTCGTTCTGCACGCGGAGCAGATGGGACTCGTGCGAGGGGTGGTACGGAAGTGCTGTTTGCTCGTTATCATTCTCCATCGTTGTAATGTAATGAATGTAGCTTTTTGTAATGTATGTAGTCTGAAAGGATTCCAATGCAGCCTGATCAGAAGACACGGGAAAACAAAACGGGTGACCGGACCGGGAATGAGTTTAAATACACAGCACGTCGTTGTTGCGTTAATCGAATAAATGATGGCGAGCAGTTAAAAGTAATGTACTTACATCGAAAGTGAGGACATTGCACTGTTCTGTTCGTACGTATTGGTAAAGCAAAGATAGCGGCGAGTGCGGCGTGATCCCGATTTAACACCACCACCGGCGACGCGGCCGATGGGCGGCGGGGCGGCGAGTTTGCGCGGAAAAGCTTTGAAACAAATCTCTGTGGTGGATGGGGGTGGGGCAGCAGCAAAAATAATAATATTGCTATCCCCATGATACCATTCGGCCTCTCATGAGGGCGGGGAATCGGCACTGCAGCTGCTGCTGCTCGAAAGCTTGGACCAAAGTAAATCAACCAATGGCCTTCAGTCGACACAAATCAGCAAGCACTGCTGGTAAAAAGGTCCCTAGCATGAACTTAGCATGTACTGCCTGCAGGGAGTCGAGCCGGAATCGCGGAGGCCTAGATATCAAGTATCTAGTGGGACCTCTCACAATCGATAGCTCTCAAATAGCAGCCAATAAGTAAACTTGTTTCCCCCCGCGGAATGTACGTGTCGGAATATGCTTTGCAATTGATATATACCGTGTGGTAAGAAGAAGACGATGGTGTAAAACCCCCCCACACCCCAGCTTCAGCAACCACCATTCACGCGCACGGACGTGGCAGATGTAAGTAAGAGATTGTCAATGAACTCAATTCTCTCCATCTCATAGTGTGGGTAGTAAGTTAGAGTAGACAGGATAGTTGTCCGCTGTCTGTGAAGTTCGGCGTCATAGTTCTCTGTCCAGAACCAGCTCCCGGCACCACTTTGTCTGAAAACAGAAGCCACCCCTCTTTCCCGAAGAGCGTTCCTTCCCGACTTCTGTGTGTCCAAACTATTAGTACTTAGACAGGATGAAGCTCCCCCCGCGAGGAAAATGTGGGGGATTGTTCACCCTTGCTCCAACCGATCAGATAGGCCAGGTAATCTTTCGCTGGTTCGTCGAGCCCCGCGACTTGCGAGGCGGTGGAAAAGTATTCTTCCGAGAACAGCGGCGCTTCCGATAGAGCGCACCGTTTGATATGGTGCCTGAAGACCTTAATCAGGTATCCCGCCGTCTCCTCCCATGGTGTCAACATCTCCTCCGACTGCTCCTTGATCTTGCATCGGAACGCTTCTGCACTCTTGCATGACGCCCCGTATCGTCAGCCAATCCCCATCTGTGAGCTGCACGTGTTGCGTATGGTGGTGTATGTGGTGTAGGGAACCGTAGCGGGGTAAAAGCGGGGAAAAGGGAAAGTAAGCACTTACGTCGTGATCGGCGCGGGCGGAACCATGCTGCTGCGCGTATTCTAGTTGCGCTTCGTAAACATATTCCAGATTGTTGAGCAGGATAAATATCACGAGGAACACGTCGAACCACGATTCCGCCGAGTGGCATTTCAGGACTTCCCAGAGCTCCTTGAGCATGTTCTTCATCGTTTCTCGCATCCACTTGATCGCTACCGTGTCCAATTGATAGTCCAGCATCGGCGGAATAGGTATGTTCCCGTGGTCATGCGCGCTATCGTCTCCGACGAGCGGAGTTATGTTTAGAGTATGCTCGCCCCTGAGTGATCCTGTGATACGGTTAGTAAATCGCGGATGTCACCTGAAAGCGAACGCGTTTCTTACGGGACGCTGCTATGAAGTGACTTCCAGCCCAAATTTGTAGCGCGGCCTTCAATAGAGGTTCTCGATCCTGTTCGCCTCATCATATTTTTTTTAGAGACAGTACAATGAGGAAGAAGTAGCAACAGGACAGTGAGTACCTGGCGTGCAGTCGCGATCTTGAACGTCTCGACCATCACCCTCGGCATATCAACCGCCTCCGCTATGGCGGCCCGATGGTATTCATCGACCATATCCGGCATCTGTCGTCGGAGAACACTCAAGTTTGCAGCACAAAAGGTCGGAATTCGCAGGATCTGGTGGTCTTCACGGCCCCACTTCCTAGTGACGATGTCTGTTTCCTCCTGCTTGAACTCCCGACATGGAATTGTAAACCGAGGGCCTCGGCCGTTGCGGTATATGCATTGGACCTGTAGGTGGACTTGACTGGTTGACCGCCACACCATTTTCTCCCGCAATGGTTTGGTCCATGCTGCGGATTCTATCGATGGTTGATTAGCTTTCGTTGAGAAGTTGTAACTCGGATGATGATGGTTTTTCCTACTGGTTCTGAAGAATCTACACCCGTTCAAATCAAGCTGAAAGCAGGGCATTGACGGAATAACACTGAATTCCAAACCGGCGCATTTGGAAGAGCTCGTACAATTGCTACAAGGGAGTTGGAGATCGCACTGTGGAGGCAGGTGAGAATCGTTTCATCGATGGCTGGGGGATGGTGTAGTACCTTTCTCTTGGACATCCTACACCTAAAGCAAGCCCCCCGAGCCCTGACTGCTGCCACTTCCTTGCGTCTTTCGGGCTGAAACGGTGCACGAGGATTCCCGGAATTTCTTCCCTCGATGGAGTCGAACATTACCTGCCCCTCTTTGTACTTTGGGAGAGGTTTCTTGTGAACTCGGCCCCCGATCACCCTGGGGAACGTTGGTTGTCTTCTGCGCCGCGAAACCAGTGTGGCTTTGGTTTCGGCCTCTGGGGATTCCGAGGGCGGGATGAACCTAGAGATCTCCACGGATTCTGGCTCGGCCATGAAGCTGACCCCCGGTGATGGCGTAAGAGGGGACGGTAAGGTATTTCCACTCGAAAGGTTGGAGGCGGATAGCGGCATGAGTGTTACAGTTGTGTTGCAGTCCTGATAACACGCGGCCTCCATGTTCGTGTTATTCCAGGCGTCGTTTGATGGATCTCCCCCATGGAAAGGCATCATATCCAGCGCAAACCCGGAGAACCCCATCGGTACCTGGAAGTTCATGAGACCGAGCGCATGAAGTGGTGTCCATGGGTCTTCGTCCGTTCGATTGTTGTTGCTACACGAGACCGAGTACTCATCGCCCGCACCTTCGAGCAGATACCCAGAAAACTGCTGTGACTGTTGCCATGAGAATTCGTTTGGATCGGAATTGACTAAATTCGGGTGCTGTGCGAAGTTTTGGAAATCGTCGAAACCGAGATCGATATCCAAGGGTACTGGTGAGTCGACTATGTGGCGCGGCCACTGCTGTTCAAGGGAAACTGCAGGATATTGTCCCTGAGAAGGACAGTGGAAGAAGCCGTCTGTCAAGGTAGTACTGCTCGCGGGGGAACCTTGTGGAGGAGGAGTTGGATCCATGGTTGAGGTACAGCCGCTAGTTTTGCTTTGGAAGTGGTTGGATCTGCGGATAATGCCGCCTTGACCCGAGACCCTATATATCACTGTAGTACATGGCGTAAGTACCATCTGATCAAATCGTGCGGCAGCGAAAGATGAAACGTACGGGGCATACTGGGAAACCGTGAAAGTAAGTTATTGCTTTTCGTTGTCGTGAAGCACAACTGCCACTCCTAGAAACAACGACGCCTCGAGAGGTACCCTAGACTCTAGAGCAGAACATCAGCCGGTTCCATCTCTGGTATCCGAGGGCGGGTACTCACCGCTTTCCAGTTTCAGCGGTGTCAAGCCGGGAGGACTATCGAGAACAGATCGAGATGGAGATAAATGGGCGTTGAATCTTCGGTCCACGTCGCATCTGATTATCTCGTTTATGACAGCCTGGCGAGAGAGAGGTGGAGTGCAAACGAGTCGATCAAGGCGATATCCTGCATGAATATTTTAAGTTTTCCCCCCCTTCAACTGTTGCGGGCTTAGGCAGCGATATGGCTGGGTGGAGGCCAGTTCGAGCAGTCCTGGAGGCTTGACCCGCCACTTCATGCGGAATCTGCGTGCGTGCCCTTAATGCGCACGGCGGGCTCCTCGGCGGTTAAATGGGTGTAGAAGGGTGCGTCCGGGACGAATGGTGTGTACGAAAGCACCTGCTGACTTCGCGGCAGCCAACGACATACGTGGAGGTGTGAAGATGTGCAGGATCGTATCATGCGGCAGTGAGTGGTGCATGCATAATAAAAAGTCCGCCATAGCCACCATGCTAGTCAATGCATACTCCTACCGTTCGGCACAACGCGATTGCCCCGGTTTCAGGCCAAGCCTACAGACCAATAAACAAAACCATTTTGTTTCTGGCAACCGTCATTGTTTCCCTCCCGCTTCCATCATCACCGTTCGAAGCGCTGGCATCACCCAGTTACACTAGATGACCTCTTCCCCATCGCCAGAATTAGACCATAAGACTCAATTTTTCAGGCGTTAAGCTGGCCCCTCCAAAATCCACATCTTGCTGGATATAGCCCGGGGGATCGATCGGAAACGTAAAAATGCTACTGGATGAGGCGGCCTCTTTTTGAACTCCGAAACGTCTTGGGGCATGTTTTTGCTGATCCAATGATTGACGAGTTCTTGCGTGAGTGTTTTTGGGCCCATATCACAGTTTCTCACGTCGGAAACGCTTTACCCGCGCACACTGCCGTGAGGTGTGGATCGAAGCGCTAAATGCTCCGACGTACATAAAGACGTACAAGCAGTCAGATAATACTATTCTGGGCGGGGCCACCTCCAGAAGAAATGGTTTTTGCTGTGATATTCTTCAGACTGTAGTTGTTTCAGTTCTTTTTTCGAGACCAACCTTTGCCGTATGTACTGGTGAGCCGCCAGTAAGTACTACTTCTCTGGTATTTTACCGTTACGATTGCTCTGACCTGATGTACCTGATAGTGGCAGATTGGCCCCATACCAAGTGGCGAGGTTCATCCGAGCAGTAGGCTCCAATATCTCGGCGACCACTCGTTCAGCCACCGAACATTACACGACACAATTCTCCGCGGTGAACAAATCTGGTAATCCGTGAACTGAATTTGAATATAGAGTTTGAGGCTACGATCCGAGTTTCGGCCCGGTTGAACTGGTGTCCAGTGACTTGACAGTTCGCAGCCTTGCCACCTAGTTGATATATTCGTCACCGTCGGACTGGTGGACAGATCTTCCGGAATCTCCGATTGAACTTTTTGCTTCGGAAGCAATTGCGGGAATGAGACAATCGCGAGGTCTGCCTTGGCCTGAGGAGGAGCTCCACGTTGGTTTGCCAGCTGTCTCAACCATAGAAACGGATTGCGGTGTGAGCTGCGGCTTTCACCACAAGAATAGTTCATCCAATGTTGAACACTTGTCAGAAACCCACGATCAATGGACTATACGGATGTGATATCACGATTGCGGATGATCTAGGTAGTTGAAGCAGCTGATAACCAGCCCCTTTGTCAGCTCTCGAAAGTTCCATGCAAGAGCTTCACTGGAAGGGAAGTATGCTCCGGAAGTGTTCACACGGAGCAGTTCCATGCCAACAGGTTTAACAATGGTACCTTGTAAGTGCCACTCGATGCCGGCTGCGCCATATTGCGCAGGGCGAAAAATCAAACAAACTGGATATCACAGCGCTATGACCAAGCTATCAAGTGAGCCTGTTCAAGCTGTCAAGCTATCCCGCTCTCCTAGGCATATCCCAAGCGTGTGCCGGAGGTGTCCGCATAATGCATGAGTTTCCATGCATATATATTACCTGAAGAAGCGCCTGCCACCGGTGTTGAAACAAGAGGGCCACGAAACGAGCAAACACCACGCATGAATCCGAGCAACGGGAATCGAAACCTTCACAAATATTTTGGCAATCACATCATCCCCCTTTTCTTTTCTTACAAGCCGCGGTCTAGATTGCCAGCAAACCGACCTACGTACTGGGCAATCTTTTGCCAACCAGCACCTTGTTTTCTTTCTCGTCGGTTCGAACTGCCATCACTCCCGTACGCGGGCAGACGTGTTCAATCTTGCCACCAGGCAGAGCTATTACTGCAGGACTAACTTCTTTCTGTCAGTAGAATTCAGCCCCCCGCCCGTGGTTATGTGCCACAGCACAGGCGTGGGGCAGTACTGCACTCTCTCTCCGCCACTCTGATCCGTTAGTGACAGATCTGCAGGCTGCGGAACCAGCGGAATAAAACCTTCTCAACAGATAGAAGGATCACACCGTCGCACGAGCCGATCGCCTCCGTGTCAATCCGATGTTGTTGTTGTCTCGGGGTGCAAATATAGCGCTCGATCTTGAAGGGAGAGAGGGAGCGCAGGGCAGACTCTGCGGATAGTTGGTTCTAACAACAGCTATCATCTATGGACCTAGTGTGAGGGCCGAGTATAGTCAGAACTTGAGAGCCGGAATTCACTCGAGTACAGTTTTGTTTTGTTTCTTCATTGCATTCGGTTGGTTTCGGCCATCACGGCTAATTACACTCTGCTCCTGCCTCTCCCGTACCTCGAATGGTACAGCACTTTCGAGCACCGTCAGCAAAGGAACCCACCTCACAAACCAAACAAAAGCAAACAAATAAAAAGAGACAGACTTCCCATTATATTTGCGCTCCCACTCCGAGGACGGCTAGGAAACGGCGTTCGCCGCGCTGTCTTTCTACCCCGCTATTCAGTGAGGTCGGCCTGCCAATATCCATGTCTCCCAGGCTTGAAGGCTCGTATAGTTTTGCTGCATTTTTCCTTCAGATATCTGCAGCTGGCTTTTCTTCATCCTCCTGCACCTCATCGCCTCCGCTCACAGGATGGCCTGCGTCATCCCCCATCTCGTGCAATTCCTCGAGATGTTCTGCCGGGGATCTTCCTGCATCCGATTACACCGTCAGTATTACTTTTCCACCTTCCACTCCTCTTCGGGTATAGTGAAATCAGCGCGTGGCCCGTCTCGAGCTAGTAGAAGTTCCTCGTGGCGATCGACTTCTTGCGATGGCCAGCACCGACCCGTCCCGCTGCTTCATTCTCAAGTGACAGGTATTAGTACATGGCGCTTGTTGCACGCCGCTTGTTGCACGCCGCCTCATCCCACTTCCCCGCCGTGAAGCCACTTCTCTTGCGAAATTTCATTCTCAAGTGGCACCGGGACATACACGACTCGATCCATGCTAACTACCGTACTGCCCACACCTCCGCGCTGCGCCTTTGCTGCCGTATCTTTGCCCTTCGTTGCCAACAACAACCCCTTCGCGTCTCGAATCCCCATGGATATTCGGACGTTGCCGCCGAGAGTCAAGGCAAATCTTCCTCCGTCAATATATCTGTTGTCAGCGATCGTTCTAGCCTTGGTCATCCTGGCATGTCATCTTTCGTATGTACTGTACAGCTCAGAGTATCTTTGTTTTGTGGCGGCAGCGGCGGCGGAATGGTGGTGGTGGTGGGGTGTGCTACTGACGAGGTAGCCGCGCGCTGCCGTCAACCGTGTCCGCCACGACGCTCGTAGTGGTTGTGAACGGAAACCCCGTCTCATGTCTGACAGAAAGTGGCACAAGTATGTACCGGCCACAGCAGCGCAACCCATTTCTTCACTGCAGCGGGTGGTGATCGTGGCTTTGAGATGGCATGGTGCTGCATCGCCTGAAGGTACATAAATATCCGACGTGGAAGTTGAGTTGGTAGCAGACCGAGGAGAATGTTTGCGAAACGAGAGCGACACCTGCATGCGATCGATCATGCACCCGGGCGGAGCAGCTGGACTTGGCACAAAGGAGGATATGACATGAAGATCAGTTCCGCTGGATATGATGACGGTTGTTATCCTCGAGCTCCCACGTAACACACTTTCAAAATAAAGTCTACGGTAAGATACATGGAGTGAACAGCTTGAAAATCTCTACCTCCCGGGCTGCCTCTATGTACGGCCATCTCAACAAAGAAGAACTAACAACAGGCAGAACAAACGTATATACATACCGAAAGCAAATAACCAGGCGTGAGTGCCATTTCACTCCAACCTCTATTTGTGGTCCCTAAGTTTAGCCCCGGCCAGCTCATGCACGACTCCGTGGTATGGGTTTCCATCCAACTCCTCCCGCGTGTAGTCCGCATCCTTCTCCGGAATCGTTGCAGTTGGATCGTGTTGTGCTGGAACCGGTGGTCGGTTGGGAGGATACATGGGTGGTGCTGTCCCGCCGGTATGGTGAGGAGTAACCGTTGTGGATGGCGGTGGTGGTGGTGCTCCACCGACCTGGACATGACCATGATATTGCTGTGCTCCTCCTACTTGGCCATGGCCGTGATATTGCTGTGCTCCGCCGACTTGGCCCTGACCGTGATAAGGCTGTGGAGGGGGGACCTGAGAGGTGGGAAAGACAGCCGCGCCAGCCTTCTTCTTTCCGGACTTGTAAGCAAACCACAATGCGAATGCCAGCAAGATGATGAGGGCGATGGCGCCCCCTGCGATGCCAGCCATGGTCGAAGTCTTTATTCCTCCACCACCAGCTCCACCAGCGGCAGCAGTGCTCGTGCTAGCTCCACCGACTATCGTGTTTGTCGCACCAGGCGTAACATTGATCTTCCCGACTCCGGTGGTGGCGGTTGCTGCGGCGCCAGTAGCGGTCCTGAGCGTCTGGCTGCCGCCGGATCCGGGAGCGCTGGTTGCGCCGGCAAATGGGCTCGTCTACCGCAACACGTGTTAGTGTTACTGCAAGCATTCCGTGGGACAACAACAACGACAACAACGTACAACAGTTGCCAAGAGACTTGAAGCGACATTAAGCGGGGCCTCGCCACAAGCCTCACCTCCGGTTCTCCCTTGACTTCCCGGCTCTCCGAAGTAGCCCAGCTGGCCTGTTCCGTCAATACATTGGTTAGCAATCAAGGACACAATGCGAAGGGACTGGGCTGACCTTTGGGACAGCAAAAGTGCTCGACGAGAGTATCGGGCATCGGCCAGCCGGTGCGCGTGTACGTGAATAGCTCCCAGTCCGGATCGGCACAGTTCGGGGATGTCCGCACCAAGTTAGAACAATCATCGTCTGTGTCTGTTAGAACTTTCGCTGGTCGGTGCACCGAAGAGGAGTACTCCACCAGTTGGACAACAATCAGTGGTATCCGCGGCGCACACGGTGTCCTTTGGGCAGCAGTAATGAGTTCCGAGAGCGCCGCTCACGCCACAATCTGTGAGCTCCGTAGGACATGTTTGTGCCCGTAGGGGTGCTGCGCCAACGAACGTGGCACGGTTTCGGAGGTTGTTGGCGCTCACTCGGCGATCTTGTGGCATGCGTCGGACAACTGGTACAGAGCTGGCCGCGGAGAGTTGGAGGAGGAGGGCAAAGCTGACGGAGAAGGAGGCGGAGAGCACCATTTCTGCGAGTGAGAGATCGTGAGGCGAGTGAAGTGAATATCGTTCTGGCGGTGCTCCGTGCCATTCAAGGGACGAGCGGGCGGACTTTATCAGTGCCACTCTTTGGCGGCCACAAAGATCTCGGTTATCAACCCATCAGGTACGGCTGAGAAAGACATCTGTGGGCTCTTCAGCTTGCAGGCTTGGTTCGCTTCTACGACGGGCTGTGATACGAGGGTCGTCCGAACGGCAGCCCTGCGCGTCTTCCATTGGCTGTGTGTGACTGTTGTGTCACCCATTACGGTAGTACTCAAGTCGGCCAGCGTGGCACCAACAAAATCTCAGGGGGAGGTAGGTGCAATGCGTGTAACCAAAGGCTGTCCCATGAACCAAGCCTGAGAACCCCAGCACGATCCGATTGGAGGCAGCATCAGCCGAGATGCGGGCATGGGAAAGTGGCTGCTCAGCATTCGTCTCAACTGGGCGCAACTCTGGTGCTGTCTTTGGGGGCGGCCGCAAATAGGGATACACCACACCCGAGTAAGGCAGCGGAAACGAGAAATACACCACCTACCGTGGCCTAGCAGTCCTGCCTCTCGCTTGATCATTAGAGATTAAACCTAAATACGACCCGCGCATTCGCCTGGATTCCCGATAGACTGGGAGTGAGTCTTAGTATGGGCATCTAGAGTATAACGAAGCTGGAGTCTAGGCTCGACAACTTGTCACCGCAGGAAGCAAGTGGCAAAATCGTTCATGTATGTAGAGTAGATACCTTATGAACGCCTTCCGTGAACCTCCCGCACTCCAACATAGAGCATATATACAGCTTCGTTGTTGAGCGACACCTGCCACGGCCATCCCCTACTGTCTCTACTTCTCCCCGTGGCCCCCCACGGCTCAGAGAGAGTTTCGGGGGGGAAGTCGAGCAATGTCAGGGCAATTAGACGAACCTCTAAACTAATGTCTGTAGTCATGATCCACCCTTAAATCGAACGGCAACCTTATATAATAGGCCAAGCTGCGAGACGTCATTGTGAGGAGTCTGAGGCTCCCTAGGGCACGAGCCAAGGCTTGAGGGCACGTGGGGCTGCCGAGTGAGAGAGATGATGATGATGACGAACCGTCGGGAGAATGAAAAGGGAACGGGAGAGATAGAGAAGCACGTGGAGAAGACTTGAAGAAAGGAAAACGTGAGGAGAGGTTGTATGCAATTAAGTTGTCTGGCAAACAAGAAGAAGGAGATAATGATGATGATGGTAGTAAGACGCCAAGCCGTCCTGCCTTCTAGCCGAGGCTCTACCTTTGCCTCACACGAGGCGTACGTTGTGCTGACAGAGGTGGGTCACGTGCCGTCTCCCGTCGCAGTCATTGCGGCCGCCACTAACTGGGGCTCAACTAGTGGCTAGGGCAGCACGAGCCACGAACGCGAATATCTCCGTCGCTTCTAGGTATCAAGTGGCCACTCCGGATGGAGCAAGATTTCATTCAATACATAAAGCCTACCAAGCATCCCGTCACGCGGCATCGCGACGGGCTTGAACAGAGCTTAGAGAAACCATTCATTCCACCTCACCCCCAAAAATTATCCGCCCAAACGACATCTTCATTCCTTACATAAAACTCCTATTCCCAGCTATCATCCGGCCTCTTGTTTCGCCCTCTTCAACCGATCTTGGACTATGCCTCGACGTTGGCACACCTGAATTCCAGTAGCTATAATACCCGTGTTCTCGCTAACGGCAGCCAAGGGAAACAGCGACAAATCGTACTTGTCGTCGGTCTCACTCCTCGATGGCAGCAATCTTTTTGAGCAGTCGCTTCACTATACCTGCATGCTGCGGGCCCTTTTGAGTGGCTATAGATATTCAATGCTGTGAGACCTAGGCTAGTCTTGGCCTCTATGTCGGCATTCAGATCGAGCAGTATCTGCAATGTATCTTCGAGTCCGTACGCGGCAGCCTCGTGAAGTGATGTCCAGTTGTCTATCGTCGTAGCCTTTACGTTGGCATCCCGGTCGAGCAGAAGCTGCACTGTAGCCGTGTGTCCGTCCCAAGCCACTAAGTGAAGCGGCCTCCAATCCGCCTCCGCCTGCTCGGCCTCGATGTCGGCGCCCTGGTTGAGTAGCGTTATTCAATGCAGGCAACAACCCAGCCCAATCAAAGCCAGCCCACAGCCCGGCGCGTGTAGCCCAGCTCAACTGATAGCCCACCAGCCCCAGCCCAGCCCATGGGCTTTTCGGGCTGTTGCCTGCACTGGCGCTATTCATGCTGCCCTTTCGAAGCCGTTGGAATTGCCCCACAATGAGCCCCTCTTCGGCCACACAGCCACCAGTATATCTTTCGCTCTGGCTGTACATGTCGCCATTGTTCAGCTCGGAAATATTTACTGGAAGGCAGACGATCGATAAGTTTGGAATCTGGGCCATTCTCAGCCCACTGAGCTGGCTCGACCTAGAATCCGACGTTCGGATGCTCCTAAGAGAGCCGATTGCTGAATTTCCGGCTGCCTGTTTATTCACTCCATTCTCAACCGGAGTCTGCTCATGCTCGGTTGAGATAACTTTTAACCGTACTGATACGGAAAAATGCGTATTTTTTACCCCCCCCCCGCCTTCACTATACAGTATGTAGAGTATGTGCATACGGACCCGGCACATCCCTTCCCCGGCACATCCCTTCCCCGGCTCTGTTCCGCTCGTAAAGTGTAAGTATTATAGTATACCGGTACTCTACTAAGGGCGGGAGCCTCGCGAACCCCCGGCGTAGCCTATCGATCCCGCAGTATTCCACCACCGTCACCACCACCCAACATGCCACCCGAGTTCCACCACCGATTCCACCCTCGGCTATGGGGCACCCACTCGCGCGAAGCCGCTCTCCTCCCGGCCGGCGGAGACGCGTGAAACCAGTCCAACCCCTCGGCGGGATCACGGACTGGCACTCGCCTGACCTGGATTCGGACTCGGACTCGGACTCGAAGCGTCGAGTGTGCATCATACATTAGGTGCTATTTATGTAATCTCCGCCGGTGTATTCTCTCCGGCACACCTACCACCACGCACCCGCGACGAAGCCGGTCGGTATGTACCGGTATTTCTCTCGGGTCGTTCCTCTGTTCCTCTGTTCCCCCGAAACTTGATTCGAAGCGGATCGTTCGCGGCAGTACGCAAGGTAAGTGGTCAATCGCAGCCTGTATGGAATGCATAGCTGCTACATTTGCAGTAATCACGGAGTAGAGCAACGGGTCGGTACGGTCCAGCCTGAGGGTCGAAGCGTGCAGCATGATTAGTCACTCGCTGGAACTGGGACCCGCCGTAATGCAACTTGCTCTTTCGGTTCGGCCCACAGAATCGACGGGATCGTGCAGCTCGGCTAACTGCTAGGTAGTCTACTCTGGGTGTGTTCTTGCTTTCTTTCTGCTTGCGGATCTCCGCCCCGGTCGGGATCGAGCGAGGATCGGGAGGTCGTCCTTATTCGGAATGCCGGCAAAGAGCGGATCTGTAGGAGTACTCAAGTACTTTTTGATCGCTGGGAAGAGATGCAATGATCAAAATATGCGGGGACGATAGCCTACATACCGGGACCTGTGGAAACCTTTGTCTCCTCATGGTGTAGCACTCGTTTGGATGCATCGCCCCCGGTTCGGCATGAGTTGCAGCCTCCTACGTTTGTATTTTATGGATCAGGAAAGCGCTTGCTGTTGCTTGCTATCTGTTCAGATACCGTGTCCCACGGCAGGGCGCCGAAATTTTTACCTTACACACCGAGTCTTGGTTGAGATCCGTCGGTTGAGATCCGTCGACGTGCAAACTAGTATACCGCAAGGCTGAAAAGCAGCCACACCCAACCGCATTTGTGTCTGATGCCTGAGTGAGGCCTAGTGATGGTGTGTGCATACCTCTTCTGTTCTCACGCTCGCAGGTTTGAGACTGGTTTCGCACAAGAGCCTCACCGTTTTTTCAACCGCCCCATGTATAAATTCAGCCTTTCTCTCTTCTCCCTCCCACACATCTGCAAGATCGACAGCCTTTCTCTCCTCTCCCAGCCACACCTCTGAGAAATCGACAGCCTTTCAGAAATCTCCTCTCCTAACCACACCTGAGAAATCTCCACCCTTTCCCAACCGCTTCAACAACCTCTGCGAAATCTCCACCCTTTCCCTCGTCTGCTCAACTACCTCTGTAAGTTCGACACCCTTTCTCTCGTCTCCCAACCACACCCCCAACGCAATCCTTCACACCCTATCACGCTTGCACTAGGCTGTTCATAACAGCTAGCTTCACTGTGTCGTGCCTTCCTTCTCACCACTTACCTTTCCTCTCTCCTCACCTTCTCCCCTCCACACCTCTTCTCCCTTCCACTTCTACTCACATTCCGCCCTCCACTTCTGCTCACCTACACACAACCAATTTCCCTATATAAAGCTTCTTCACCTCCACACCTTCTTTCCTCCACACCATCTTCTCTCCACGCCTCTTCTCCCCTCCACGTCGACTGACATCCTCCCCTCCAGCCTTGCTCACCTACGCGCAACCAATTCCCTCCCACCGAGCTTCTTCACCTGCTGGTTACATTTGATTACATTGGTCGAGTGATCAACGATTGGATCGGGAGAGATTAAGTTGCCGACGCTAATGGACGATATGTCTTGGCATCAAAGACTTTTGCCCTTAACCTGTGCCCTCAACCCACAGTCCCTCCCCGCCCCTCCAACCCTCACGGAAATGGACTCGACATCGTCATCGCACGACGGCATCGTGGCGCTCACCAACCACCAAGAAATTACAGACTCGTCTCCGAACAGTAAGCGATCCTACCCTCACCTTCCGTTCTCTCTCTCCGTTACCGAGTTCTCGAGTTCTCAGTTGACACCGCGCAGCAGCAGCAGCAGTAGCAGCGAACGAAGTCAATCCCGACGTGACGGTTGTCTCGGCTGTCGACGCGAACCTATCATCGATTGTAGCGTTCAACAGGAACTACAACTCCGACACGAACGGCACTGCCTCTCCCATCCCGAATCAGTGGGGAAAGCGACCGGCGGAAACGAGCGACGAAGATGCCCACAGTGATAAGCGTCTCCGCTTCAACGACGAGAATGGTCACCATCTCGACCCCGATATGTCACTCCTCGAGGTGGAAGTACAGAATCAGATCCGCGCACACATGGAACACAACCCGTTTCAGAACGAAGAAGACGCCCTTCAGGACGATGGCGACCAGGATCAGGAATTCGAGGACGAGGAGCCGGATGAAGACCAGCTTAATGCGCTGGCCTCCGAGCTCAATAACCAATCTTATTTCAATGCAGAGCAGAACGCATACCAAATTTGGGACGCGAACCAAACACTGAAGATACACAGTTTGCCGATTTTGGATAATCTCGTAGGTCCCCTACGATTCTTGTGTGGTGTCAATGGAGCTAATTGAAAACGTGATCAGTCGAGTCAGATACTACAGACACTCGGAAAGGGCCCGTACACCGAAACTTTGAATATCGTTACGCAGCCGGACTCGGATCAAGGCCAAGCTTATAACACGATGAAGTCGCTGTTCGATCAGACGAAGAAACTGTACACACCAGAAGCTTTCCTGTCAGCCGACGAGCTCAAGCTTGAGACTCCAGATCAGCGCTCGACCATTCGAAAGGTCAACCTGGCTACCTTTGTTTCTTCGGTCTTTGGATCACAGGAGGTTGGATTCTTCCACCTGAACGAACACTTTCTAGATACTTTCGTACCGGACGGAGGAAGGCTTCTCAAATCCCAAGGCTCGCTATATCTCGACCTGAAGACCCAGGCATACATCTCGGCAATGTCCACCAATGAGAGGAGCAAGGAGGAGATCCTCGAAGATCTATTTCCCGCCAATATGGGGGAGATTTTGTTGTCCCGCAGAGGAGGCGGCAAGCAGTTGACACCGAGCGAACAAGACTTCGTCAGTCGTCTGGCCTGCAGGCGCACCCATTTGATGCAGATCCCGGACGATGTGAACTTGACCGACAAGTACGCCTGGCAAGAGTTTTTGAAGGACGTTAGTGGATACGTGAGCAAGAATCACGAGACGATTGTCGCCCTGACGGTAAGTGCCCTTAAGCTCGCTATGTAATGATTGATATTGATTGGGACTCAGGCTAAGAAAACTCGGAAGAGGATGTCCCATGGAGGACCTCGTCCTGATGTGATGGGGACACCCATCCATCATCAACACGCGCAGGCCATGCCGCCGATGTCACAGGACCACCAGCAGAGCCCGACCCCGCAGAGTGCCGAGGATGGAGCAGTGGCTGCTGTCCTCCAAGCCCACACCACCGCCCACAATGGCTCCCCGCACACCCCTCCCCACGGCCTGGGACAGACTGGTGGCGAAGTGTTGGAGAACGAACTATTCGGACCCAACACTTCGTACAATATGGGAGCGCCGCCGATTGCGCAGCCCCCCGTGCCCCAACAGTCCCAGCCGACGCAAGTTCTATACGAACGCGCCCGTCTCGCCGCCACCTCCAAGGCGTCTCCCAATGCTCGCCGCTCAGGACTGCCATCTCAACGGCGTCCGTGGACTACCGAGGAAGAGAACGCCCTTATGGCCGGTCTTGACCGCGTCAAGGGGCCGCACTGGTCTCAAATCCTCGCGATGTTCGGACCGGGTGGGACCGTCTCAGAGGCCCTCAAGGACCGTAACCAGGTCCAGTTGAAGGACAAGGCGCGGAACCTCAAGCTGTTCTTTCTTAAGTCCGGCATTGAGGTTCCGTACTACCTGCAGTTCGTCACGGGGGAGTTGAAGACCCGCGCCCCTGGTCAGGCAGCCAAGAACGCGGCCAAGAAGGCAGTTGAAGCGAGCGCAGAGGAAGACGCTGCTCACGTCGCCGCGGTTACCGTTCTTGGTAACGCCCACCGGGGGGACGACATGTCGGGATACCACCACATGTCGTCTGACGAACACGAGGGGGGTAGTAGCGAGCAGGGGGAGGGGAGCGAGCAGGGGGGGGAGGATGGAGACGAGGAGACGAGCATGCATGGTGGTGAGGGGGCCATGCTGCTCGGCCACACTCTCGCCCACACCAACGGTGTGGCCGATAACAACTTTGGGGGGGGAGTTATTATCGAGCAGGCCTCGCAAGAGGACCTGGCGAGAGCTGCTGGTTCCGAGTCTCCGTCCCCGCACCAGCACCAGCACCAGCACCAGTTCGCCCCGCAGGCGTCGATGGCTCCGGTCGCGCCGATGGCACAGCGTGGCGAGTCCCAGCAGTTGGAGGATACCCTTGTGGATCCTTTGGCTGTTGGCGACGTCGACCAGCAGCTGCTGCTCGTGGGTGTCGGGCTGGGGCAGGAGGCGGGAGGGATTCACCCTTAGAGCCCTCCGCTCCTTTTTTCTTTTTTTTTTGCCTTCCTCTTTTTTCTTTTTTCTTTTTTTCTTTTTTCTTTTTTCTCCTTTTTTCTTTTTTTAAAATAACAAGTCATTAATTCCAATCCCCATTCTTTTTTCTTCTTCTTCTGTCTTCTTCTAGCAGATAATCTTTTTTCTTCTCTTTTGTTGTTTTCTTGGGGGGTGGAGCGTATGAATTTTCCGGAGTTTTTTTGTGTTGTTTTATCTTGTTTTGTTCGTTGTTCTTCTCTTCACTGTACATGGGGTTGTTTTTTTCCATTGGCTTCGACTGCTGTTGCATTTTTATGCCATCTGGATATGGTAAAAGCACGGGTGTGGTGTGGGTTGGAGAGAGAGAGAGAGAAGGAGAGGGAGGGAGGGAGAGAGACAGTAAAGTAAGCCCACGGATAGATATATAGAATAGTGGTGGCAGAGCCGATTGTGTACAGACTCCAGAGTCGTCCGGCGTTGCGTTTGTGAATAGGTACCTACGAGTGATGTGATCCTGAAGAACCTCGTTGCAAGAATACATATCACGGTAGTAGCTCCCAGGCCGTACGCCGTCCGAGGACCACGTGAAGTGAAGTGAATATGCTTAATGATGCCCCTCTAACGAGTGGGGACTCTACATCTCATCTACAATACAGTGATACGTCTACTCTACCAGTACTCTATCTGTATCGTACAGAGCATCCCACACCTACACCTACACCCTCCACAATACAGCCACCTCCCACCATGCGTGTATAGATGCACTAGACAGTCGCAAAACAATTACAAAACAATTACAAAAACCCTGTAAAGATGCAACAAACTCAAACACATGCAAACAGAACAATCCCCAATCCGACCAACAGGGAGCAAAGCAGCAACACATAGAAAAACGAACACCCGTGCACGCCCCTTATCAAACAGAACAATCCCCAGTCCAACAGGAAGCAGCAACAGCAACACATCTCGAAAGAAAAACACCCACGTCCCGCCCCAAACTGAACCAAAAAAACGCCAATCATCACCCCCACTCTACACCAGGACCCCGGCCCTCCTCCACTTCCCCCAGACCCACGCCCACCCCCCAACAGCGGCGATGACACTCCCGGCCATAGCAGTGAACGACCACCTGGCGCAATGAAAGCCGACACACGAGGGCATTCCCTCCGCCACGCCATTATCGAACTCAACCGCAAAGAGGCAGCCATAGACGACGGCGCCTAGGGCGGGCGTCATCGTCACAATCCCCCAGTTAGTGCCAAAGTTCTTAGTGCCCCAGACGACCGAGACCACCGTGGGCGCAAGACAGAACACGGCGCCGTAGCCGGCGCCGATGGATGTGGATACTAGCCAGAATAAAGACGGCGTGCGGTGGATCGTGCCTGAGGCGACCAGGGAGAGCCCGAGGAACATTAGCAGCGCGAAGAGGAACAGGATGCTCATGCGGCTGCAGGTGGGGCGGCGCCGGTGGGATTTGGGAGCGGGCGCGAGGTGCAGGGTCGGCGTGGGCGGCGCGAGGTAGTCGCTTACGGAGCCGGCGACGAGGCGGGCTAGGGTCGAGGTCAGCGCGATGAAGGATACTTGCAGCGCCGGGTCGACGGTCGAGATGGAGGTGGTCGGCGTCGGGCGCAAGGTTTGGATCAGTGTGCCCATCTGCCAGAATGTCTGTTAGCTGACAGGTCCGAGTTGATACTCGTGTAGAGGAGAGGTGACTCACGTTGTTGATGAACGCCTCGCCAGGCCCAGTAACCAAGAACACGCCGGTGGCGAACCACCACATATTCTTGTCCTTGAGGAAGGCGCGTGTATCGGCATTGACCCAGTCCTTCTCGTCGCCATCATCCTCTTCCTCCCCCTCGTCCTCATCATCCGTAGCAACCCTAAGCCCCACGCTGCCCACGAGTCCCACGAGCACCAAGCTCACAGCAAAAAACAGAAACACACGTTCGACCAGCAGCACGCCCGCCGCATCCACAAAGACCCTCGAGACGACCTGGGCCTGCCACAGCGAGCTAAGTCCAAACGCGGCAATGGGCACAGCGAGAGCGAGCCCCCTCCTCCCCGTAAAATTCTTCGCGCACGTGGTGACGCCGGAGAAGTACATGGAGCTCGTGCCCATTCCCACGAGGCCGAAGGCGACGACCATGAGCCTATAGTCCCACTGACGCTGGTAGGCAAGAGCGGCAAGGGCATATCCGGGGCCAAAGAACGCGGTCGACAGCAGCGAGAGGCGGCTGGGCCCGTAGCGGTCGCAGATGAAGCCGAAGATGGGCACCGGAAGGTACATTCCCAGCTCGGTCGCTACCGAGACCGCGTTGATCTGCATCTGTCGGTAGTGCAGGCGCTCGTTGAATAAGGGCGCGTACAGCGAGAAGATCAGCACGCTGCCCGCCCAGAGGCAGTTGTTCAGCGCTGAGAGCAGCGATAAAGCTGTGCTCCAGGATTTCGGGGGCCGCCATGATAGGATCGAGCGGCGCGGCACGCTGGTGCTGGTGTCGCTTCTGAGCAGCAGCGGCGAGGTCTCGCGGACGGTGGGGATCGTGTCGGATGCCATGGTGAGGTGTGATGGAGAGGAGAGAGAAGGGAGGCGAGGCGGGCGGGTGTTATGCGATAGAGTATCCATCCTAGTGCTAGGTACCTACAGGGGGAGCTCGTAGGCTGCTCGTGGGTGAATCATCCACGCCGGTCCGTCGGCCCCATGACGGCGTAGGGCCATAGGCCAGTTCTCGCGCGATCACATACAAGGTAGGAACACAATCCCGGTGCATTACGTTAACGGTTACATGCCATTGAATTTCGTGAATCGTGAAGAGAGAGAAAAGTTGCACGAACAGTCATTCCGCAGAACACAGAACAAAGTGCAGTGAATGCAATCACGATCCACGAATTCCGCCCCGTATTCGAGAATGGCCACCTGACCTTCTCCGTAGGCCTACATACTTCGCAGTATGCAGCCCAGAAAACGGTCTACCGAGTCCCGACCCGACCACTAGCCGCAGATCCGAGCGCTCACTGCTCAGCGAACACGATCCACAACCCGATATGAATGTAAGTACCCAAGACTCGCTTTTAACTATTCCGCTCGCAGCTCCAGTCCCCCAATTCCCAAGTAAAGTGAACTACCATACACTAAAGAAACAAAAACAAAAACAATACCCAGATACATAGAGTAAAAAAAAACGCCCATGTCGGTGGCGTGCGGAGTGATACCAGTAGTTGTACAACGCAATAAAGAAAAACGGCAGCAAAGAAAAAAAAAGAACAAAGAAGACCCGAAACAACTCCAGGGATATCCAATCCAGTACCCATATAACAAGTTAACAACGACAAAGAAATAGTAGTACGCACACACACACACACACTCCGTCAGTCAGTCAGTTAGTTGGCAGTAAAAGCACCCAAACACCCGGTTATAAGCAGGAAGAAGAAGGAAAGGAGAAAAGAAAAGAAAACCCTCCAAAAAAAAACAGGAAGGTGATGTTGGCGATTCAAGGAAACCACAACTCCAAGAAAACAAGTGGGAGAACTCAACTCCCGATACTCGACATGCGCAAAGAAAAAAAACTACTACACTACTACTCATGAACCTCCTTCTCCACGGCATCCCCAACAACCAGCCAGCCACGCTTAACGCACTCCTTCCAGACGTCATCCTCGACCTCGACATCCTCCCTCACAAACAGCAGACCATCGAAGCCGCGCAGCTTCCTACACGCCGCCGCAACGACGAGCCAGTACCGCTTCCGTTCGCACCTCGTGTCCAGGTCCAGTCTGGCCACATGCGCAGCATCCTTCTCCTCCTCCGCCTCGACGATCTCGAACGGGTCTTTAGCGTAGTCTTCGGCGGCCGGCTTTGTGACCGTTGTGATGGGTGGATAGAAGCCGACAGTAACCGGATTATTGCGGAAGTCCACCCACTTGATCCCGCGACAGCGCTCGAGTGCCTGGCCAAGCTTCTTGACGTTCGAGATGCGGTTCCCAGCGCACGAGAGCTTTACTAATCGCGTGAGCCCAGCGAGCGGACGGATATCTGGTATCGCGTTGTAGTTGAGGTTGAGCACGCGCACGTTCGGAATCAGTGACGCGATATTCTTTGGCAGAGCCCGCAGATGACATCCGGCCATCTCCAGGAGCTGAAGGTTGAGGAAGCTAGCCTTAAGATTGAGTGCGGCGACCGGATTGGATGAAAGGTAGAGCTTCCGTGACTCGAACATACGCGCTACATCCAGATCGAATGTTCCCGAGATCGTAGCCTGGTCTCGGAATGACACCGCGTCAATGGATTTCGCCCTGGTGAGACCGGACACGTGCGAGAGCTTGTTGTTGTCCATGTACAGGATGCGAACATTGGGAAATGGTCCAACGTCGAAGGAAGTAAACGAGTTTTGCGTCAACTTTATCGAACGAATAGTATTGAGCTTGATTCCGGACGGGAGGGAGAGGGTAGCGAGACAATTCTGGTCTAAGTTTAGGTGGATGAGTGATGGAAGTGCCTCTAGACCCTTGATTTCGACGATACGGTTCGCACGGAGGTCGAGCTCAGCCAAGCGAGTCCTATTACTAACGTTAACTTCCATCGCCTCCTATCGACTGGAACGGATACATACAACTCAGACTTGGAGAGATCAACGCGCTCCAAGCGATTACGGCGGCACCTCAACGACATCAACCCCGCAATCGAGGAGACCCCGCTAATACTCGTCAACTGATTATCGTCCGCCTTGATCTCGCGAAGATGGATGCAAGCTCTCAGCGCCTCCAAATTCTCCAACCCGTTCCCGCAGACGTCGAGGTACTGCAGATTGAGCAGGTGGCCAAAGAATGTCACGTTACTGAGACAATTTTGCTGCGCGTTGAGGGTGAGGACACTATCCGGAGCCCCGCTCAGCTGTCCCAGATCATTGTTGCTCACATCCAACTCGGATATCCGAGGACACCATTCGTTCAGAGTGTGCAACGTCTCCAGTTTCCGATCAGAGAGCTTGAGACACTTGATGAAATCCCAGTACGGATCGTACGGCTCCACGTCCGTCAGGTGTTTGACGAGATTCGCCTGGGCGATGGAAAACGATGCCTCGACAGCCTTGGACGTGGCCTTGGGACCCCGACGGGAGGTGATATATGAGAGCTCCAACGTAACCAAAGCCTCGGTAGTCTCGAACCGGTACGAAAGATCAGGAAGCGGCGACATATAGTAAGAGACGTCTCCCTTGTTCTTCACTGAGGGCGGGGCCGTTGCCAGCTGACTTTCGTACGGTGATCGTATAGGAGTCAGAGCACTGCTGAACGACCTTCTAAACTCGCGCTCCATGGGGCGCTCCATGACCGGGCGACGGAACTTCAGCGCCACTTCTTCCTCCTCCTCGGTGATCCTGGAAATGGGCCGTCCGATAAAGGTCTTTCCCAGCGACTTGCGCCGGGAAGTATTCCGATACGAGCCGACCGAAGGGTTATTGCGGCCAGATCGCCGTAGGGAGCCGTGCTCCAGAAATCCGTCCACATCATCATCGTTAACATCATCCATCCTCATTTCGCGTTTCAAAGGCGAGGAAGCAAACGCGTCGTCCGCAAACCTGGCGGAAGACTTTTGTGCATCCGTCCCATCTTTATCGTTGGGTTCTTCCCCTTCGTCTTTATCGTTACTGTCGTGATCATGTTGCGTCGTCTCGGTTTTTTTCTTATCATCCTCAATATTCTCATCGGTCCCATAGCTCGTAGTTCTCGTTTCCGTCCTGACGATGTTCGCGCCGAACCCGCTCTCATTGCTCCTCTGCGAGCTGTTGCTTCCCACGCTCGAGCTCAGCGGCTGGGACCGGCCCCAATGCGACTCATCCCAAGTGCCACCGACAGCACAGCTATCGCCTCCCGCCCTCATCTCGCGCAATTCCGTATCGTCCATAGCCCTCGAGCTCCTCCAAACCCCGCTCTTCTCGCCATCCGGTGTACACCCAAACAGCCGCAGGTGAGCCTTCGCCAGGTTCAGCGCGCGTTCCTCCTCCTTCGAGTCCACCGTCAGGTCCGAGATGTCGCGCAGCGGATCCTCCTCGCCTTCCTTAATAGGCGTCCTCGATACCCAGGCGTGCGCGACTTTGTCGAACGTCATGTCGTTCGCGATCGCGGTCTTTGTCGCGAGGCGGTGCGCCAGAACTTCCGGAACGTTCGAGATGACTCTGACCGAGGTGCGCGATGATTTGGACGATCGAGAAAAGCCAAAGTCTCCGTCTTGCCGCTCGCGCTCGCGTTCGCGTTCGACTGGCGGTGCTGCATGAATGCTGGGATATGCACCCTGGTCGCCACATCGGTTGTTATTGAGTTTGATTGCTACGGCGTGAAGTCTCATGCTGGTCGAAACAGTGGAACGGTCACCCTCTCCCCCCCGGCTATCATCACCGTTGCTGATCCTCCTATCTCTAATTCCAGTGTCGGCATTTAATTCATTGATTCCTTTTCTCGTCGATTGCGGGCCTCCATCGCACTCCCCAGACTCATTATTGTCGTTACTCAGCCCCAGTCCACGGAGTCTGGCCATCACGGCCTCTGCTTGCTCAAGGAAATCTTTTGTCGTGATGCTGTCCCTTCGTGCGCCGAGATGGGCATCTCTGGGAGGGGTGGGCATTTCGAAACTCTCCCCCTGCATGCCGTCACCCTTACTCCCACTGAAGATGATTTTCCGGGGATGGCCGTTCTGACCATTAAGCGGTGCAGCTGTTGACGGCGCGATCCCAAGCTCTCTGGTATTCTTCAGGATGTGGTGCTTCTTTTTCCTAGGTGTGGGCGATGGCGACGTTCCACTAGGCACCGCGACAGGATGCACTGCTCTTTTAGCTGAAACCTGGGATTCTTTGGAATTCGCCCTGCTCCGTTGCTTTCGTCGCGAGCTGGCAAGGATGCTTCCCTCCTCGATTCCTGCATATATTCGACGTCGGCTAGCTGCAGGACTCTGGAAGTAATGCTTTGGAGTACCGCTGGAGCCTGGTCGTGGCGGGACGATAACAGAGTCACGTCGCAGCCTTTTGGGCGTGCGCTCTTTAACTGGACTTATTGGCCCTGCAACGCCGTCATTTGCGGCCGACGACTCGTCTGACCGCCAACGGCGATGCTTACGGCCGCTCGTGGGCGATTGCGATGGCCGATCAGAGGACGACGCCGGAAGAGCAGACAACTGGCGCTGGTGACGGTGATGGCGGGTTCGGTTGCGGTCGCGACCGTTCACGATTTTTGTCGAGGTGGTAGTGGTAGTGGTGGCCGTGAGCTGCTCGTCCTTTGTGGCGGCTCCGTACCGAACGGTCTTGCTGTGTCGCCTGACATACTTAGTGCCGGGCGGAGGAGATTCCCGTTTTTCGGTCTGCCGTGCCATCTTCTCGAGACGGTTCACCACCATGCTTCCACCGGAAAAGTCTCGATCGCTCCGTCCATCCATCGAGTCGCCGTCCGAGCCATTGAAGCTGATTCTTCGGTTGGCCCTGGGCAACTCCTCACGATTGTCCTCGCTCTCTTCCAACTCGCCTAGTCGCTTGCGCAGCTTCTCGTTCGTGTAGGTGTCGTAGGCACCACTAAACAGCTTCAACGGACTTCCTCCGTTCCCCTGTCTTTGGCCTTCGGAGGAATCGAGGCGTCTTTGGCCTTCAGAGGAATCGAGTGGAGTCTTGGTCCGAAACTCGGGCGTGTACCGGCAAGATTTCGACGTGAAATATGATTCAACCTCATCACCGCTCGAAGCCGCCGTATTGCTATTACTATGGCTGAATACTCCCACCATAGACTTCACAGGTGACTTCGACTTTGGAGCGTCCCGATGGTTACGGATATTACTGAGCAAGCCGTTACCATCGGGATCTGCACTGTTGGAGCTGCTTTGAAGCACGGAACGCCTGTCCGGAAACGGTGGTGTCGGCGGTGGTCTCCGGGGAGCAATGAATGCCGCAGGAAGAGAAGACCCAGTGTCCTCGTCCTCCTCTTCCTCTTCCTCCATGTAGTGGTTGTCCTCAATGTAATGCTGGTCGTCCGGATGCCCGTCCTCAATATAGTGCTGGTCGTCCGGATGCTCGTCCTCCTCTTCATCCTCTTCCATCAACCTATCCCCGCGCCCCCTGCTATACTCTCGCCTGAGCATGTACTGGCCGGGTATGGGCGGACTGGACGGATACACCGAAGCTTCTGCATGCATGAACCTCCCCACACTCGCAGTATCACTGTGCGTCTCCTCCGCCGTATCTTCCCGATCCCTATAGTACCCATTCCTGCTCCGACGAGACGACCGATCCGGCTCGGGATTGCTGTTTCCACGCCGTAGCACCGGGAAACCGGGGTTGCTGTTGAACCCAGCGGCCCCCACTGAAACCGGGGAAATACTCTCATCCCTTCGGTCATCACTCGACTCCTGCGACTGCCGTGATCTCGACCTCCACCATCGCGTTCCAGCCTGTCCCTGTCCCGAACGTGTACTCGGTTGCCTCGACGAGTGCGAACTTGAGGCGACGGAAGCCCTATCCGCAGCCGCACCCGCGCCCACACCTGTACCCGCAGCCGCACCATGCTCCACGCCGCCGCCGTTGACATCCGAATAAAACCCCGTGACTTTCCGCCTCCCCTTCAGGCCCTCCGAGAACCTCTCGAACCTTTCCGACGCTCGTTCCGCCGCGGGAGAAGACTGCGTTCGGCGGAGTCCGTTTGACATTAGCGAATGGCGGTTCAGCGGCCTCAGTACCGGTTTTCCACCCGCATCTTGACGTTGCGGAATACTCTGCTTTATCGGCTCCAGTGCACCCGCTACACTGCCGCTTCCCGTCTCCTCCGCGAGCGTCGACAGCCCAGATGGAAATCCGGAGGAATGCGGTGCCTGTAGATAACTCCTCCGCGGTGATTTCGGCGGTGGTAGGCCCGGGAAACTCTGTTGCTGTTGCTGCTGTTGCTGCTGTTGCTGCTGCTGGTGGTGTTGCAGCTGTTGTTCCTGCTGCGGCTGATAATGGTGAGTTTTCGACGGCAGGCCAGGCGAGGACGAGCGCGGCGCCGTCGGCGGCCGGAAAAGGCTCTCCAGCTCCAACGGCGAGAACAAATCCTTGCCGCCGGCACTCGGATCAAAATTCCGCATCAGATGGCGTTTCCACTCGGGGGTATCCGCGGTCCGCCGGCTGTTGTGCAGCTGCGTGGTCCCGTAGGAATTGGATACACCACTGCCCAGGGTATCACTGCTCCGTCGCCGCATGTGCCGGTTCGTCGTGCCATTGTTGGTGTGGGTATAATGCTGCTGCTGCGGATGGCGCTGCACGTTGACCGTGCCTGCTTGAGAAGGTGAGTGGTGCGGCATGATCGGGGAGGACGAGCGTGGCTGCGATATCCAGTCCTCGTCGAGGTCGTCGACCCAGCTGCGGTCCGCCATTTAGGGTTTTTTTCTTTTTCGTTCGTCGAGTCGCAACAGTCGTAACAGTCGTCGTCGTCGCTATCCCGGGACGGTCGGGGGTGTGTGGGAATTTGTAGGAAGCGCAGGGTGATGTCAATTCGCGCGCGGAAATTGAACACGGTCCCGATTTAGATGTGGCGGGCAGGCGGCGCTTGGAGATGGAGGTGGTGATGGGTTAGTATATATAGGGAGTTGGGCGGGTAGTTTGTTGTTTCGGCGGTCGGCGGCGGCGGTGGAGTAGGTGTTTGTTGTTGTTGTAATGCACGAGTGAGTATGTAAGAGAGAAGCGCGTGAATTGGAATTGGAATTGTGGCCGGTGGCCCTACGGGCGGTGGGGGGGAAAGTCGTTGCGAGTTCGTTATTATTGGGGCTGGGCCCAGGTGGAGGGGCGGGATGGGGGGGGGAGGTACGAGATGTTGGAGATCACGAAGAAGCCATAGGGAAGGAATCCGAGAGAAGAGAAGAAGGAAGAAAAGAGATGAGAGCGAGTGTGACGAATCGAAGAAGAAGATCGGGGCGAAGCGGACTGCAGCTGCTGGGACAGGACAGCGTGCGTGCACTGTGGCTAGCTAGGCCAGTATGTATCGGTGATGGTTGGTGCGTGGTGGTTGGCGATATCGATAGTTAGAACTGGCCGGGAGCACAGAGTACAAGGTCTGAGGTGCGGTATAGTACTAGCCTATCGAGAGGATTGGAGGCTAGGGAAGCATGGAAAAAGCGCGTTGTCCGTTGGCCGCCCGCCCGCTGACAGGCCCTTCCTTTTTTTTTTGCGATAAGTTGTGGGTGTGTGTGGGTGTTTGTGGGTGTGGCTTCGCCGTGGCCCAACGCGCGACAACGAGTGGTAGCAGGAGATCGACGGTCGATTCGCTCAGCAACGTTCGGACAGGCGATCAATGGATGATCCGGACGGTGGTGGTGGTGGTGGTGGCGGGTGGGCTGGCTGGGCTGGGCGTGTTGTGCTGGCTGGCTGGCGAGGCGCGCGCTGCAAGCTGGGGACGATCAATGATGATGGGTGTTTGGCCCTATCCGAGAGCTAGAACGGCAGTGGCACGCGATCGGTTGCTACGGCGACCATCATGAGATGTGCGAATCGGGATCCGGAAATCCCAAAGTTGATATTTTTACTTTGGAGTATTTTCTTTTTTTTTTGCATCTCATTTCTTCATGCAATGTCTGGACGGACACATGTCCTTACGCATCTGGATTCCGCTGGGGAAAACTCTCGATACGGTGATGTAGCCGTTGAAGTGTCGATGTTGCGTGGCCCTATCCGGCACTGGAGAACGAGGGACGGAACTGCTTTGGTTCACGAGGGGCTTCCCGTACGTGCTAACCTACCGATCGCCATCACCCTATATCTATACAAGGAGTGATAGACATAAGGATGATATATAGCTTCCGAAACTTTCCCTTTTCTTGAGCCAGGCGAGTGATCGTGCATGAACATCTCATCACAGGATTCAACAGCTTGAGACGTCTATACTCTAATAACGTACTTACTCAACGGAACCAGGGCACTATATTCTTCATACCACTCCCTCTAATACCGTAAGATAGTGCGGCATCGATGAGAAGAAGGCCGGTTGAAAGTAAAGAAAGATGAAATATCCGCCTCTAACCAACTTAACCAAATCCGCTTCTCCCGCCTGACGAAGCTGCCGAGGTGAAGGTGGTGATAATCCAGCGGACCGCGAGGATACCTACTCCGCAGGATGCGGATGGATGCTTAGATGGAGTTACATCCCGATGTTGCTGAATATTAGGGGGTTAACCCCAGGGAAGACGAGGGGAGTAGGCCTTCCAGCGTGGGTAATGCGGGCTCGACGACGGAATACCGGCGGGGATCAATGCGGGGATGGTGGCCGGGATTGGCTGAGGCCGCATGCTCTGAGAATTGGTATGTACTCGGGTGTGAGGGTAAGCGTGCCTCATCTTACGCTTATAATGCGTAATGGTGGTGAGAGGATGACGTAGTGATGGAGGAGCTGTCGGCGGGAGGAAGCGAATGTGGTTAGTATGTGGTGGGCATCAACGTTGGTGCGCATGGCGGGGGGCATGGCGGGGGCGGCCGAATAAGGAGAAAATGCTCCATTTATAAACCGAAGCCCATTTTCACTCACGCCGGAAGCCTAATGAGCGGAAATTTATCTTTTTACCAACGGATGTCCGAAGAGAGTGGTGGAAAGACATTGCATTCACTGCCAAATGTCAATATACACCTCAACGCCAAATTTGGCCTCTGTCTATTCGTCATATTGAGTATTGACAGCCAAATTAGGTGAAAGAACCCAATATGACCATCGCAAACTGGCCCGCAATTACTACCAACCGCCTATTGACTAGGCTTCGCCCAATATGACCATCGTAAACTGGCCGCAATTACTACTAACCGCCCATTGACTCGGCTCCGCCCAAATAAACATGGCAACTTGTACGCTGAGGAAAAAAGGCCAATTTACTGGCTGAAGCCTGAATTACCAGTGCAAATGAGCCGCACTTTGTGCTGATAGCCAGTTTACATGCAGACTCGCATTCAACTAATGGAGCCTCGTCTCATTCCCTGTACCCTAGGGGTGGATGAGTGGGTTGGGAACTTGGGGCCTGTTGGTTCTAGGTTGGTTCGATCATGAAGATCGATTTGACTGAATATGAGATACGAGAGAGGGAGGGAGGGAGGGTGTGTGTGAGAGAGAGGACTTTGGCTATTTGCACAGAGATGGACGTTTCCGAAGGAGCTCAAGGTGTACCCTTCAGATTTCACGGGGTTTGGCTATAGTCGTTGGCGACAGTACCAGTATTATATACTCGATATGCAGCCAGCGAGCCAGCCTCCAGACCGGATTACGGTCTGTGACCGAGTGACATCCCATATACCATATCATCCCACCGCAACTCCGCAACTCCGTGTACTCCGTGCACCCCGAGTATGTACTACATACTATATACAACCACCGATAGATACTATATTTACACCCCTTTCAAGTTTCTTGTTTCTCATGCGCACCGCGCATCCGCTCGGTCGGTCGGTCGATGATTAATCTCACATATATCTATGCTGACCGGGACTTTCGTGATGGCGACATTCGGTTCACTCCCAAAACCCAACCGAAATAACGGGCGTGCACCTACGCCAAAATTAAAGACAAGGAGGCAAATACAAAGTCAAAGTAAAAGTCAAAGAGCATGTGAAAGTGACCTCCATGCCGAGTGCGTGCATGCCGAAGTCTGGCTGGCTGCCTAGAGTTCAAGAATTGTCAACTTGTCGGCTGCTACATCTACTATACATACTACATAATAAATATGTAAATAGAGTTGTCGGCTGGTAAATGGGGGCGGCGCCGCGGCGGATATATCATACACCTAACATAGATGATAGATAGATGGGAGTCAGGTTACCAAAATACCCCGTTCCAAAGTTGTAACTGTACATACACAGGCAGGTACATGGCAGATAAGCGCACACGGGCGTGACTTCCGAAACCGTCGTCGGCGAAGTCGCGAGTGGTAAATCAGAAATTCCGTCCGCCTCTGTTCGCCTCTGTTCGCCTCTGTTCGCCGTACCTATGGATGTACATGTGTAGCAGATATAGTACCTACCGCGCAACCCATTATCTATAATAGTAGTACTGAAGGTGAGTACGGAGGTGTCAGAATGGGGGTTTTCACGATCGGTACCGGCGTGCGCCATGGGGAAGAAACAAGATTATCTTGATAGGTATGGGCCCGGCTTCGCCTACAGACATACAGTCTACAGCCATACAGACATATCATATCAGTCAGATTCATGGTTAATAGAGTATAGAGTACTCGAGTAGCCACCCGGCACCTGGCGGACCAACTAACCACCGTTTAGGTATTACCGTACATACCGGCAGTATACCCAGATTAGATAACTTACGGACGCTCGGGTGTGCAAAACCTCGATAATATGCGGCTCTCCAAGCGTTGGTTACCTGGGTGACTACCTCATCACAGCCCCGTGCAGTACTCAGTAGTTATATTGGCTAGTATTATTAATCGGTCGAGATGTAAGCAGATTGTGGGGCGAGAGGAGGGTGTGGCGGGTGCCGGGTGACTGTGAGGGAGGGGAGGGGAGGTTGCCGCGGTCGCCGACGGGTAGGCAAGGCTCCAACAGCGGTGAACGTGTGGCTTCATCATAGAGTAGAGTGCATCCCTAGGGTACAAGGAATCGGACAAGTCGCAATTACAGTAAAAGGGCGCGTGTCTAATCCGGCCACTCTTAGGGCTCTATTACGGCTCTATTACGGCGCTATTACGGCCCTCATCTCTATTACGGCCCTTGTCTCTATTACAGCCCTATGGCTCTATTACGGCTCTATGGCTATAAGGGCACAGTTGCTCAGCTGGCGTTGATAATATATTTATTTTAGGTTCTAGTTACTGCTGCTCGCCCAATATATACACATATATCTCCCCCAGCTTTTCCCGCTCTTCAGCCTCCACCCTGCTCTTCAGCCTCCCCCGCTCGCCGGCATTCACTGACATCTTAGCACACATTCAACATGACCGGCGGGCTGAATAGACAGTCTGTTAGTACTGGCGATGGCAGTGAGGTATCCGCAGCAAGCTAGGTCTAGGAGCGCAATACGTACTTGCTGTAGGAAGACCAGAGACCGAGGGAGTGAACGACGGTGATGGAGGAGCTATCGACGACCGGTGGAAGCGAGAGGAGGAGTCAGAGGAGTTGTTGGAGAAATAAGGAGCGAGATGAGGAGCTGTTAGTAAGCGGATGAGCTGTTAGCAAGAAGAGGAGCGAGAACAGCTATCGGCGAGGGGAGGGGCTGCGAGAGGGGGCGCTATCGGCGAGAGGAGAAAGTGAAGGAGGAGATGTTCGTGAGAGGAGGAAGAACTGTCAGAGAGAGGAGGAGAGCAGAAGCTGTGAGCGAGAGGAGGAGAGGAGGAGCTGTTAGCGAGAGGAGTATTGAAGCACCGGCGGCGGTGGGGCCACCGTGGCTAGGTTTTGCTGTTGTCTCGGCACCAAGAGTCGATTATTTAAGCTCGTTATCACAGCGTGTCCTGTTGTAAACTCTGTTTTACTTCTGGGCTACCGGCCACCAGCCGGCTGAAGAAGGCTGGCTTGTGGTGCGGGCATAGGTGGTGCGGTGGCGGCGAGGGATCTCTTAGTCGGCCGCATAGTCGTCTCACCATACCACTTGACATCAGCCCAACATCATCACCTACACACTAGTTGCCTCTACCCACCTGTCTCTCCACCCGCCCGTGCCGTAGCTCGACTCGGTGGAAACAATCAAAGAACCGTAGAACGTGGCTGGTGTCGGACATCGTAGGCGGAATGAAGAGGGACTATGGTGGGGTTGACTATGGCGGGGTTGACTACGGGGGGGTGCTGGCATGTACCTGCTACTAGTGGTTGTCCGTAGAGTTTATTTGTACTGTGGCTCAGTCGACAATGTGTAGTTGACACCCAAACTAGGCCTTAGGTAGTAGTGGGCATCAATGTTAGGAATAAACGTTGGTGGGTTGAGTATCGACAGCCAAATTAGGCATAAGAGCCCAATTTGACTATTGTAAACTGGCCGCAATTATTGCCAAACGCCTATTGACTCGACTTGGGCCAATTTACTAGCAGAAGCCTAAATTATCAGAGCAAATGAGCCGCATTTTGTGTCAAAGCCAGTTTACAAGCAGGCTCGCATTTACTTAAATGCGGCTTGCCGCATTCCTTGTACCCTAGGGGCATGTTACCCACCTGTAGTTACATACTAATAGTAGTAGTGCTCCTGGCGAACGATGCCTTACAGTACGGTACGGTACGGTGCGGTATGGTAACCACCGACCCGTCATCCAAGCCCACAGCCAGGCACCATTTTTGTCTCGTCCCGTTCCGTTTGTGAAGAGAACTTGGGGTGACATGTGGTAGGATGTAAGTAAGCAAGCGATTACTTGGCAACTTGGGGTACTCTAGCGAGTAGCCACGCATGAATGTCTTAATTGGCGTTCCGGGCGGTGAAGTGACACTGTGACAGGTGGGGGGCGGCGTGTTGAGAAAAACATTTCCACTTAGTGGCCGTGACCAGTCGGTGGATACGGAGACGACACGGTACCACCTAGTAGAGTACATACACCACGTATTTGTTCGTGGGCGCAGTGGAGTTGAGCGGAAAACCTTGAAGGATCTGCACCGGCGTGACGGTGTCTGGCTTCTGGACACTAACGGAGAACTCGGCATGGGAGAGCTCAGAGAGCTGAAGTTTTCTAACTTCCAGATGCTAGATTATAAGCGATTGGGTGAGGCGAGTTCTTGGACATTTACCCCGTGGTATGGGTGGTCTGTAAGGTGGGTGTGTGCGTACCGGCTTTGCTGGGCTGTGCTGGACTGGACAGGTGCCGGGCGTTTGCACTTGGCGCTGAAGCTCTTGTCCACCCACATTCCTCAGCCCTCGGCCCGCCCCATCTAACTGGTCCCTTGACTCCCTTCTAGTAGAAAGGTAGTTATGTAACCAACTAGCATCTCTGTAGGATACTCGCCGAGCACTTACATAAGTAAACAAGTGGTTCGAGCTTTCCTGGGTACCGCAGCCGAAACCGTCTGTGCGAGCCGACCGCTACGGCTATGTAAAGAGTAGGGTTCGTGGTTCATGGTTTAAGGTGGGGCGAACACCTCCACACCTCCACACAAGCCGGCGGGGCCAAGCCAGCGAGGCGAAGTCAACAATCAAGCGTCAAGCGTCAAGAGTTCAAGACAACCAGCGACGATCTTCCGGGTACACTTCCTGCCGAGTCGGGTAGGTAGACGAGCTGTGGTTACTCCAGAGTAGAGTACTGCTTGCTTACTCAGGTGTAGGTGCGGCCATGCGAAGCATGACGGCCCGATTATTCAAACTCCGGCTCGATTACATACTCCACACAAGCCGGCGCCGAACCAGGCCAAGCCAGCGTGGCAGCGAGGCGAAGTCAAGTCAACAGTCAAGCGTCAAGCGTCAAGACATCCAGCACCAGCGACGATCTTCCGGGTACACTTTCTGCCGACTCGGGTCGGTAGACGAGCTGTGGTTACTCTACATAGAGCACTGCTTGCTTACTCAGGTGTAGTCGCGGCCATGCGAAGCATGACGGTCCGATTATTCAAACTCCGGCTCGATTAGCAATCGCAATCGCATGCGCATGCGCCTTGAAAGATGAAAGATGAAAGTCTGAAGTTGAAAGTTGCAAGAGATTCGGTACGGTACGGTAATACGGTACACTTGTGACTGTACAGCCCCACGGGTCGGTACAGGATCGTGCAGAATGCAGAGTATGGAGGGTAATGTTGAATGAATGGCTGCATGATGCGACCGACACTTTTGGCATGCCGGCCGTTTCAGCCCCCCACCACCACCTTGATGCATGCAAGCCGATACACAGATGCTGCGCTTCCATAACTGTCCCCGCTGGCTTCTGAGTGTGTTGGTTAGCGATTCGGATTGTTCGTCGCCGACGGGTTAACTCACGCGACAGGAAGCGAATGTTTCGTCACAGGACAATCCGGATTACGAGCGGATTACGACAGCCGCTGGCAGTCGCTGGCGGGGGCCTGGAGGGAAGATCTCCAGCAGCGAGCAGCGAGCCTCGGTATCGGATAATACCACTGCCATTACTGTGTACGGTAATGTACGATAGGTACTAATTTCGGCGCGCTCTTGCGTTCGCCCGCCTTTGGGCCTTTCCGAGATAGGACTCTCTTCCCAGCTCTCTTTCCGGGCCTCTTTCTGGCTGTCTTTCCGTACCTAACTCTCGCATTCTGCCAGAATCCATTGATGCGTGCATACCCAGATACCCAGATACCCAGATTCCCGGAGGAGAAGATGGGGAAGAAACCAATCTCCGTGCTTGCTTTAGGTTTAGATTTAGATTTCGATTTCTGATGCACGATAGGTATGCGATGTGTTATGTGCGATGCACGCATCTCGACATGGGCGGACAAGGCGGCATCGCTCACTTGCACAGTCTGCCTGCCTGCGTGGGTTTTGTGTGGTGGAGTGGTCGTACACAAGTGGTAATGCTGGTGATGGTGGTAATAATGGTGGTGGTGGTAATAATGGTGGTGGTAGTGGTGGTGGTGGTGGTAGTGGTGGTGGTGAGTGGTGGTGGTGGCCCTGTGGGAGGCAGCTGCACGCTAACCTCATCAGAGTAGAGTATAGTAGAGTGGTTGGGTTACAGAGTGCAGTTGGCGTGGGCCAACCCACTCCAGAAGCGCAGACGGAATATCCATCAACAGGGACCCCGAAGAACCGGGTCGGTGGATTCGAAAGAATGATTCAGGATGGATCGTCAGAGTCTCGAACCAGCCGTAATCCGCTGGCGAAACCCGTATTGGCGCCATGGCTACTATCGTCGATAGGCAACTACCGTAGCTACGCCTTCCCCGCGGCGGGGAAGTTGGCGGCCGTCTTCTCACCGAAATCTTGAGAGAGGCTGAAGCCATAGGACCTGACGTCAAGAAGTGCGGGGAGCAGTTCTTCTCCAAACTCACCGCCACGGGTAGGTAGGGAGTTGCTATGGAGCAGCAGGACATGACGTCCGCGGAGCTTCAATTACGATGTGATGTGTCTGTACTATGTACCTGTGTATGAAGAAGCCCCATCCTCGAACTAGTTCTTACTCAGGTAGGTTATCTTTCACCACGTCGTGGCTTCAAATGAGACGGACCATCCATCCTGCATGCCGCGCCACTCCCGGGTGGTGCGTTCCACCAGCTTTTCCCACAGCCGCCGCTTTAAACTCAGCCTGGGCGCCACCAAGCGCGATGGTACTTGTTACATACCGTAGTTGCTCAAGCTAGGAACAGTAGTTAGGAAGGGGACAACCGACGTCAAAATCGCAGCGGGCCTGTCGGGATGAACGCACAGAAGTTTCATGGTTGCTTGCAGGAATGGGTTGGGTGGGAGGGGGTGCGGGCCTGGGATGGGCGCGGGATGGTGGGAGGGGGGTAAGGTACGATGTGGAGGGGGGGAGGTTTGGCCAGCTGGGATGAATGGGTGGAGGGGTGGATGGGGCGGTGGACGGGGCGGCGGATGGGGGAATGGATGGGGCAGCGGATGGGGGAATGGATGGGAGGGATGAATGAGTGGATGGTGGCTGGACGGAGGTGGATCGAGTGTGGATGGGTAGGTGGGTGGACACAATCCTTGAACCCCCAGAACAACACCCTGGGGCCTCCGGCAGAGTTGCGCGCGCACACATTCTGCCTCTACCTATTTTACAGCACGATGCCCGCGCAATTGAGAGGACCATTCTTGTTTTCTCTTCACGAACAGCACTGCGACGACACGACACGACACGACCACACGGGACAGTACTCTCCATCACCTGGTATATACCTCTTCGACCGACCTCAGGGCTCCGTGCTATCTATATAGTAGCTAGCTCCAGGTTCATCCGGGAGAGAGTGTGTACATACACCACCATAGTATAGACAGCGTTCCTTTTGATGGAGAATTAGTTACACAGCAGCTTGCTACCACCTGCCGGCATTCACCACTATCTTACCTTAAGATCAACTTACTTTCTTACTTAAACACCACCATCCGACTTGTCCGGTACGCGAAGTGGAGGAGCTTAGCTTTAGCTGTTCGGGCGCCTAGCAGAACATACTTATCTCTCGGGGGAGAACCTGAGGACTCCCGTCACCTTTCCGTTCTGTTACCTACCTTCGGCCATTGGCAACCCCACTCCTGCCTAGGCCCTCCACCGCTGCGACCACGAAGACGAGGCTATACCTACCAAGCTACCTACTATCCTTACCTTCTACTATGTCTGCCACCCCACCACGGCGCTCGGACACGAGATCGAGCCTACGAGATGTACGGAACAACATACGAGGAGCGCGGAAGGCGCTGCACGACGATTTTACGAATCTCAAACGGAGGATGAGTTCGAACATCGGGTCGAGGGCGCATTCGTCCGGCCATTCTTCAGGGCCAGGGCCGGGAAAGAGAGCCAAGATGATGGTCTCGAAGACGGTGGAGAAGGTGCTGGGCAGGGCGTCGTCGACCAGTCCGAGGAGCTTTGAACCTAGGGTTAATGCTCACGAACAGAGGTATGTACTGTATTGTCCCCTCCCCCTCCACGGCCTACGATCGGATGCTGTTCGTTCCGGCAATGCTAAATCCTGAGGTATGTAGACCTTCGTGCACCGACTACCATCCGCCCTACCCAACAAGCTCGCAACTACAACAACAACAAGATCCGTCGAACGCCCAATTGTCGGTATTGGATTCCCAGATACATGCCGGCCAGAGTAGCTATCCTACCGATCCTATCGACTACTACGAGACGAACAATACTATCCAGCAATACAATGTGCAGCAACAACAGCAACTCGGTGATTCTATGTTTTCAACTCCCATGCTGTTGGACAGCGCGCCGATCGCATCGCATCCCGTGTCCGCCTTTGCAACCCACAATATCACCGTGCCCTATATAAACACCAACGTAGAGGCATATCCACCCAATGACTGGAACGAACACGCCACGACAACATCCAGAGCCCATATTCTAGGAAGTCCATCCATAACGCCTCCCCCACACCACGCCTACGTAGAAGGCCCCATCCACGACTTGAATCAACTCGATCGCTCGGCCACGCTACGCGGGATCCACGAGGATCGCTACAAGAGAACAGTTTCCACCGTCAATGATCTGTCTGCTGCCGTTATCAGCAGAGGCTCCCCAACCAATGGACAGGTTGCTTCCCTGCCGGCGTCGCCCGAGACGGCATCACCCGTGTCCGCGAAGGGTAAGGGACCAGCGTCCCCTCCAGGTCGCAACGGATCGACCGCCAGTACTGGTGACAGCAAAAACCCGTGCCCGTGGCCCGGCTGCGATGGCACCAGGGACACCAATCTCTTTGAATCCAATCGTCTCAAGTGGGTTCCACAACCCCCCCTCCCCCCCTCCCCCTCCCCGATGCTATGTACTAAGATAGCGATGGCTGATCACTTCGAAAAGGGAACACTTGCGTCGAAAGCATCTATGGCCATACATGTGCGATTCCTGCGAAATGCGCAAGGGGGATAAACACCAGATTAAACGACACAGGGAGAACAAACACCCGAATGAGGACCCAAAGCAGTATAAAGACCAGACCAACGATGGTCTCGCTGCCAAGCAGCTGAAAATGCTGAGCGAGCGCGCCATCTCGTACGAGCGAATCGTCAAGATTTGTCAGGCGAAGAGCGTCGAGGAGCTCGATGAGCCACGGGGAAGTGATGGTTAGTAGCCTGTAGTCAAGGATTCTGTGTGGCATCGCTTGCTAACCATAAAACCCCCAGGCCGCACCTATCAAGGCCTCGCAGTCAGGCAAGAGACCAACAGTGTTCCGGTCTCTCCCACCTCTCTTCTCCCGCGCACCAGCATCTACGGAGCCGGACTCGGAGCCGAACTCGGAGTCAGAGCCGGAGCCGGAGCCGGACCCAGCGCTCCTCCCAGCGCTCCTCCCAGCATCACCTTCGCCGACAGCATTCCGTCAGGATATCCTAGCGCCGCAGGCCTACTCCCGGCGGCCCGCATCCCAGGCTACTGCGGCCCCAGGGTTGACACTAGTGATCAGTTCATGGAATTCGTCAATAATGTTCTAGTCCCGCACGTTGAGAACCTCAATTTCAGCGCCTCATCCTCGCCCACACGAGCATCATGTAAAGAGCACCTACGACGGGTACTCGACAGCATAGCCGCATCGGCCGAGAAGGAACTGGACAAACGAGAGAGACGGCGTTCCAGCGGTGCTGGTGAGTCCTCGACAACCACCACCACCTCCTCCCTTTATACACTGCTAACACATCACAGTCTCCAACACACCCAGTTATGGATTCCCTTCGTACACGGATATGGTCACTTCGGGAGCGCAAATCAGCGCACCTGCTACAGCCGGCGGCACTCCCGCCCTCACGAACGACAAGTCCCTGACGACGCGCAGCTCGTCGTACGGCAGTCTGAACCCTCCGCCCCTAGGAGGATACACCCCACTATACATGCGCCCCAACAACAACGACAGCAACCAGAAACCGTTTGAGCAGCAGTGGCCGATGCAACCGGTTCCTCAGCAGCAGCAGCAACAGCAACCACAGCAACAACAACAACAACCAACTCCCTCCCAGATGCAGCAGCCGGATGCGAACACTTTTGGTGGCAACGATGGGTTGGATACCGAGCAGTGGATGAACTACAGCTACCTCACATGTATGTTATGCACTGTACCAGAGGAAGGTTTCGCGGATGTTCAATGCTGATAGGAAGTACACAGGAGGCCTCCCATGATTTCTGGACTCCGGAACAACATAACGTACCCCTGCATATACCCGTCACAATATTGCATTCGCTTCCTTCCTTCCTTCCTTTCTTCCTTTCTTCCTTTCTTCCTTTCTTCCTTTCGATTTCCGGCGGAGCGTGTCACGATACCAAGGATGTAGTCGGCTTTTTGGGGTTTCTTTTATTTCTCCCTGTCATCTGTCTTGTTTGGACTGGCGGGTTTTCTTTTCTTTTCTTCTTTTCTTTTCTTCTGGGACGGGACAGGACGGTTTTGATTTTTCCATTTCCATTTTTTCCATTTTCATTTTGTATATCAATACGACCTGTATGTACCTATGTTGGATGCTACCACGCTTTGTCTTCCTTCCCCTTCCACTTCCCGTTTCCTTTTGTGTTTCCTTTTTCTCCTTCGTCCCGGTTACGAGAGCACGCACGGAGACTGCTTCTTGTGTAAAAGTCCATGTATGGGTTTTAATAAGGGTGTTTCAGCTTTCTACTATGGTGGGGGGTCGTTTTTGGGTTTTTGGGTTGGGTTTTGGCTCGTTTTTGGTCGTTTTTGGGTTGGTTCTTGGGTTGGTTTCTAGGACTGGTTTTGATTTTTGAGAACTGGGTGATGGGACCGGGTGAAGGTTCATGTTTATGTTCATGTTCATGTTTATGGTTGTGTTTTTTATAATTTCCTTTACCACTTTGAAGTTTGCATTGGGCTTTCTCGTATGATATTTCTTTGCATTGGGGTTTTCTCGTGTTTCTTTCTTTGCATATGTTGTTTGATATTTGTGTGGCATGAGTCATGGGTTATGAGATGTGGGTTATGGGTTATAGGCGTATATTGTGTAGGTAGATGTATGCAGGAGGCGAGGAGAGGAGATTTATGTAAATGTACAGAGGGCTGTGGGCGGTGGGCGGTGGGCGGTGGGCGGTGGGCGGTAGTTATGGGGGGGTTATGGGGGATTATGGGGGCCATGAGGGATTATGGGAGGTTATGGGGGATTAATACACTTGCTTGGTTAATCATCATTGCAGTTCGACATTCTTGGATTACCTAAGGCAGATACAAACCGGCTCCTCGCCGATCGGGGGGGAAGACAGCCAGAAGACGCTAGATAAACAGTCCGGGACGAGTGATAAACTATGTGCCAAAGGGCAAGAGTCGGAACATGACATGCGCACGTGCCATTCACCGCCAACGGCCGCAATCTTTCCTCGTGCTCTCGCATACATCCAGAGCGACAATGAAGCGCAGACGCAGACTGGATGAATATTCGCATCACCTGGATGCAGTGTAATACCAGTGACACAGTTAGGAGCCAGCATGCGTAAGCACAGTGGCCAGCAGCTCCCAGGATCCAAAAACAAGATTAATATTAACACCGATACTATGTGATCGGTTCTCAGATATTAAAACTGAAAAGAACAGATACTACACTTGATCTAAGCCAAAAGGCTGTGTGTATGTAGAGGGGGGATTGTTAGTGGACTGTGGATATTCGATGGTGTTGAATGTTGAATGTTGGATGTTGGACTTGGGGTGGGGATGACATACCAAAGAGAGCTGAAGAGAAAAGAAGCGGAGGGGAAGGAGGGAGAAGAGCCTTTTATACATAGCTGTTGGAGGGACACTAGTAGCCTCGTCGGGTTCTCGCCGCTACCACATAGGGCTTAACTAGGCCTTACGGCGTCATGTCATGTCATATCATAGCAAAAAATAAAAAATAACATGGAGAAGCCGAGAGTGCTGTTCGCACGTCTCTAGCAGCAGCAGCACCATCACAATGTATGTAGTATTTGATCTTGAAGAGATGAAGGGGGGGACTGCGGCGGCGTACATTTTATCCTCTTCACTATCTACGGTAAGTTGGCGAGTGATTAACTATGTACCCAAGTGTGGAGAGAGAGAACTTAGAGGGCAGCTGGTTGCACTGTGCCGAACTCTAGGTCTAGAGTGGACTAGATGCGTACTATATGCCGTGATCTACAAAGGAGGTAGGATATGTACAGAGGTCGAATACATTGTAGGGGCATGTGAGTTTCCCACGAGGTTGATATACTTCGTTTTTGGTGGAGGCGGTCCCCGTGAATCCTTGTGCGTGCGAGTGATGGAGATTGATGGAGATTGATGGGATCATGGGGATTGCTGCTACTATGGTCCATAGGGTCGCATCCACAATGCCGTAGGTAAGGAAATGAATGTATGTAGTAGGTATTTAACACCCAGCACTATGTATTTGCTAATGGGAAATGCAGCAAAAGAAAAAGAAAAACAGAAATTCTCGTGTAGAGCTCAAGTCAAATATAATGAATCAGAATAACGCCTGTTCCTCCTCGTCCTCCTCGTCCTCCTTCCCAAGTTCCCCACAGGACCAAATAACCAGCATATATACGCCATACCCCAGCTCCAAATCTCAACCCGAAATTCAGCTATTACACAACAACCGCACCAAATAGATCCCAAACCTGTTCCTCCTGTTCCTTCTCCTTCTCCTTCCCAGTTTCCTTCCAAGTTCCGCCCAGGACCAAATAACCAGCACATATACGCCATACCCCATCTCCAACACCCAACCCTCAATCCAGCCATTACACGACAACGGCACCAAACAGATCCCACACCTCCTTCTCCCTTTTCTCCCCCTTCTCCCCCTTCTCCCTCTCTTTCCTCTCCATCCCCTCCACTATCGGCGGATCCCACCGCATCACAGGGCCCCTATGCTTCGCCTGCTCCAGGACGAGCTCACCCACATCCCTCCAGCCGAGTTTCCTATACAACCCGGACCTGTCAGGACTCCCAGTGGCCTCGAGCATTACGGGGACGCCCTCCTCGGCCGCAATCCGCATGCCCTCCTCGACCATCAGCCTTCCCACCCCGCGCCGCTGCCACTCCGGGTGCACCCCCAGCAGCGCAAGGTGCAGGCGTCGCGCTGGCACCAGCGTCGACAGCGCGGTGAACGCGCGGGTCAGCTCGGAGGATACTGCGGGTGACATGCTGCGGTCTGTTGGCTGCAGTGGCGTCGTGAGGTGAAGGAAGTAGCGCTCGAGATCTACACCCTCAGTCAGCCATATCCCCACAGTATGGGGAGGGGATACAAACCAGTCAAGATCCCGCACCCGGTATTCATCTCCAACCACGGCCCGGTGGTGCCATCAGCAATCCACACGGCCACACCGACGACCTGGCCGACGGCCTCGACGACGAGGATCAGCGTGTTGCGCGACAGCAGGTGCGTGTGCAGCGAGCGCGAGAAGGCCCGGCGGAAGTCGTCGGCGTGCTGTTGTCGGTAGGGGTGGCGTGCTGTGAAGAGTGGCTCTGTCGCGAAGGCTTGCGTGCATAGCAACGAGATCGCGGGGATGTCGCGGCGGTGCGCGGGGCGGAGGTGCATTCTTGTTATCTTGTTGGGTTTGTGTGTGGGGGGGAGGGGGGATTGAAGTGGAGGAAGGGCGAGGATGGATGATTAGAATTTAAAGGTCTGATTAGGGTGCCAATTGTCTGCTGGTGATCAAAAAATCGTCAATCCGGGGACTCAATGGGATCCATATATCCATTCCCTCCCCCTCCCTCCCGCCTCCCCTCCCGTGTCTCCCAGCCACCACCACCGCCGCCACTCGCCGCCGGCTCTGCCAAGCGGTACCGGTGTAGGTATCAACCCCCAATGGTGAGCTGTTCGGTACGCATCGTGATTCCTTTCATTTCCCGCTGGTGTGGTTTTCCCCCACGCACCACTCACCACCCACGATACTCTTACTCAGCCCTGCGGGCTGAGTAGTACATTTGATAGACGGCCAACACCAGCGGATACTATAACGGGTAAGCCGATATGCTACATGGTATAGAGGCAGACGAGCGTTTGGTAACTAGGCCAGGTAACCCAGCTGGCTGCTGGCCCGGTGATGATGTTGGTCTACATACCTACTTACCTGCTGGGTTACTTGATTAGTTATGTAGCAGCCGATAATTTTGATACCTCAAAACAAATACCACGATATCACCACCACCACGGCATAATCAGACAACTCTGACGTTAGTCGAACCCACAGAAGTGGGTATCGTGAACCGGATATCGTCCTCCATGGTGAGGTAGTCGTCTCAGGCCCAGGCTCAGGCAGAGGCAGATGCAATTATGGTAGAGTACAAACACCTATGCCTGTGTGCACTGGGCATGGTGAACACGAGGGAATGTTCACCGTTCAACGCCTTGACTTTGGCGTTGACGTTGCACTTCCTTGCAGCCGATAGGGCTAGTTACTATAGTTACTACACCCCCACCCACGCAGGCAGCAGGCAGCAGGCAGCAATCGTACATATAACAGGCAGCAGTCGACAGGCGGGATCACTGCATACATAAGAATGTATAATTGAACAGCACGCGGTGTGTTTAGTTGTGTATAGTTGTGTATAGTACGGTCGTCGGTAAGGCTAGCTGTTACTCGGAATAACTCGAGCCCCCACGGGCCCACCCGGGATACCGCCGATCGCCGGTGGAGGGTGGGCGGTTTAGAGGTGGAAAAAGCGGTACCGGTACGGTATGTAGTGGATACACCGGCTGGCCGAGCGGAATTGAAAGGACCGGAAAACGTAATCCATTCGGTCGGTGTGTAACGTTCACCGATCTTCACCGATCCGTACTGATGTTGCCGAGACGCATGCGTGGGAGTACCAGTAGGTGAGAGGTTGTGATTAACTACTCCGGTAGGCAGCAGCCAAGCGGTACTATAGGGTGAGGGGGTATAAAGGTGAAGATTCCCTAGGAAGAGAAGAGAGATCTAGAGGCGTGGTGGGGGTTATGCAGTAGTTACATTTACTTACCCACTTCCCCATCTATTCTCCCTTCTCGAGCTCCAGTGTATTGTACTATAATCCCACCACCAATCGCATGCCCGAGCAGTCATGAATCGCGATAATAGGTAGACAACTGTCAAAATAATATTAACCCCCGTCAAAGCACCCTAGTAGGACACTCACTATTCAATACCTACCTTACTATCCATTTATCTAGATCATCCATAGAAAGTTTCTGTCACCTATTAGAACTGCAGCTGTAACTATAGTAATCCTAAAGTCCCGTTTAGCTCGAGACCTGGCCACTCTAAGTACCTCCCATTCGCCATCGGCCATCTCCACTATACTTGTTGCCTCCCCGGGCCTGCCATCAGGAGACACCGAATTCTTTCCCTTCCCTTCGGACCGGCCTCTTCCTACCTGTCCTTTTCCAGCATAGAGTACCGAGAGTCGCTTGAATCATCAAGAAGAAACGATGAAGAACTCGAAAGTTGGACGTCCGTCGTCCGTCGCCCGGCTTACTCGCCTCCATCGGCCGAGCGCTGACGCGTGAGTTGGGCGCCTGTAGGCTGTAGGCTGTATGACATGGCGATCAAGGCGATTCGAGGCAACAAAGGCCGAGGTATCGGGTACCCAGCGCATCAGGTATCACCGTATCACCGTATCACTACGGGCCCAACTTACAGTCCATATGCAATGCTGTGCGAGCTGAGATCGAAGTCGAAGTCGCATTCACTTCCCCGCTCGTCGTATGATGGCGAACGTATGTCCTTATGTAGGTATCTTAGTCGGGGGACACGGAACTACGGAACACGAGGTGTGTCTGGCAGTCTGCGGTCATGGCTTCCTGTAGAGTACATAGTGTGAGGAGTAACAGCACGATGATGAGGAGATCGGAACATAGCTAATAATATCTCACTATGTAGCGATGGATCTACCGCCATCGTTCAGTAGATGTACCCCGGTGGTGGTCGCTTCAATCGCCTCCATCATCATACTCCTCCTCCATATGTAGAAGCAACATCATCCGCAATATCCTCCGGTAGCACCGTCTTTCTCCTCCTCCTCCTCCTCCTCCCCTTCCTCCTCCTACCCTCCCTTCTCCTGCTAGGTAATTCTCATGCTTCTTCCCCGCACTCTTCGACTTCCTCTTATCAAGCTTCAGACGATTTCTCAAGTCAGACTAGTCACTACTACCGGAACCAGCGTATTTCCTACTCGTTGACCTCCAGCCTCCAGCAACTGCCCTAGGAAATCGCGAACCTCCTTGCCATCAACAGCGGCAGCGGCAATAGTGTAGAAAGATCATTTGCGAGTTGTTTTTAGCGGCCTGCGGAGGAAAGGACGACTCCGAGTTGGGCCAGGGACTCGGGAGTCCCCGCATACATATGAACGGCACGTGCCATCACTTTGGGCGTCTGTGAGGAGTAAAGGAAGATGCATATTATACGCTTAGCTATTAGCTACCTATTGGTTAAAACTTTGATGATGGTGTTTGTTAATTAGTAGTAGGCAGACGCGATCTGGATTCTGTACCTACTATTACGTACTCTACTACACACCTGCTATTCGCACCGGAGACCCAGGGTCACATGTGCCTGGTAGTTAGGATGCCGGGACGCTAAGAAGTAGTACGGCCAGTGTCTCTTGGCAAGCCTGATCGTTCGTGATTCTTCGCCGGCCAGGGAAATTTATACGCACAGTTTGAAGCTTCAGTCTGTGAGGGAGCGCCTCTCGTTCTCAGCCGGGTTTAGTCCAGTTAAGACAAGCAAGGGCTTGAATCCATCATCGAATAGATAGTAGAGTAGACCATTAACTACAATTGTGGATGCGGCTTCTGGTACTTACGGTTCCTTCAGGAAAATATGACATGAAAGCAACACCTCGTGGTAAAAGCCAGTATATACTCTAGTACTACCTATCGTAACGCGGCTCACCGCTGAGAAGCTCGCTGGTAGACCTTTATTGTAGCAAAAATGGCCAACATGTTCCGTCGGTGTCGAAAACATGATTAAAGGGTGAATACTTACCAATCAGCCTGCAGCTCTTCTCACCGACCGAAGCTTTTCAGCCCTGCAGTTCTTCTCACCGGCTGAAGCTTTTCAGCCCTGCAGCTCTTTACTTTTCACCGAAGCTTGTCAGCCCCGAAAAAAAGAACAATCTCCAACTAGCGTCCTGGCATCCGAGTAGAGTACTTGGCACATCCGTGCTGAGCACACCCTATGTAGGTGTGTAATATCCATCTAATCTTTCTATTAATCTGATCATCATTGTCTCTGTATATATTAGTTCCGTCGCAGTAAACTTCAAGGCTCAAGCCATGTTAAGCCACACTACGATAATAGTATGTACATCCCCACCGGAATCTATGAGTTTCCGAATCACAGTTCATGATGTGGCGCAGCCACAGAGCTCGGCGGAGTATAAGGGTTGGACATGGGGAGGCTTTGGCGTTCTTCAGTAAGAGCTCGACAAACTCGTGGTACCTACCTTAGGTATGTAGGTTCAGGTCCACATCAAACGTACGCCGGGTTAGGTAGTTATGCGCAGTCGTGGCAGAGTGACTCCAGGTAGTAATGTCTTTTCAGGCTCTAGAAAATTGAAGCAGGCCATGTTGGAGTAGAGTGGAGGGTTCGTGGCACGTGCTGTCGGATTGGTACTGGAAGAGTACATAATGCACTCGGGTCAGCTTAGATCAATTGATCCTTCGGGCCAGGACTAATAATGCTTGGCCCGTTTGGATGGCCTCAGTTTTCAGTTTCAGTTTCAGAGCCAAATTGTTCCCCGCCGGGACACCGAATACTGCCCAGTTTTAGTTTCCGGAGAACTGCGAGGTGAACAGAGTGTTTGGCAGTTCTCAGTATACTCAGCCATAGGTCTGAATAATAAATAGGCTTCACCAGAACTTTAATAGTGGACAAATTGTGTTTTTTCTCTTCCCCGTAAAGGGAGTCCATGGTTGAAGTTAAAATGTGGTACTGAGTGGTGGTGAAGAAAAGACCTCCAGAGGTCAGTTCCCGTTTCATCGCCGGCACCGGAGCCGCACAGTTTCAGTTTTTTTTAAAAAAAGTTTTTGTGCCATCCAAACAGGGTTACAGTTTTGTTTGCTCGGTTTCTTGAAAAACTGACAGTTTTCGCTAAAACTGAGGCCATCCAAACGGGCCTTAAGAGCAGTTCCTCAAGTTTGGAGTCGTTAAGATGGACAAACGAGATGACGTTGCGTGCGGTCTCAAAATGGTAGGTATTTAGGAGATTAGCGTTCTTCGATGAGAGCTCGACAAACTCGTGGTAGGTACTGGATTGTATGTTCAGATCCATATCGAACGTACGCCGGATTAACGTATGCGTGGTCGTGGCAAAGTGACTTTCCATGCACCGGTATAGTACTGTCTTCTCAGGCTCTTGAAGCAGGCCATATTGGAGCAGAGTGGAGTGGAGTGGCACGTGCCGTTGGATTGGTACGAAAAGTACGTACTTGGGCCAGCTTTGTGGATCCATCGGAGAACTTTGCTGCAAATTTTCACTACTGCCGATAAACTTCGTGACTCCATCAACTGGCTGAAGGGTATAGGTAACTTGCCTTTCGAAATTCAACCCTCCCGCGGAGCATCAATTTGCGTCCCTGTTTGGGTAGGTAGCTCACAAGCCGAGGGTCGAGTGAATCCTCAGTTCCGAGCAGGTTTTGTCCATACCAAATCCTACAACGAGGCTGCGAATTGATCGGGGCCGGTGCGGAGCTGTGAGAATGAAGGACTCCTGACGAAGAGGACAGTGGGTTGGGCGAGCCGGGTGGTGGTTCCATGAGATGATGGGATGGGATAAGAGAGAAGAAAGGCTTAGAGGCAGTCGTATCTGGAAACGAGACCACGAGAACTGCTAATGATATATGGGGCCGTCGTCCAGTAAAAGAAGGTTCTAGCCTCCCCCGTCGCCGTCAAAGCCCCCGACCGTCATTTATTCCAGCCTCCCGGTCAACGCTAGAGCCGAGTGATGGTGAGTGACGGGTAGTGATCTGTGTATCTTTAGCTCGCGGGGCTATGGGGAGATAAAGATAGTATTTGAAAGAAGCAGAAAAGCGAATGGCGCCGGAGTAGGAGTTGTAGTCTATCTATAAAGCGGGGCTATGTAGATATACCGATGCCCAACTAGTACTGGGATTGATCTCCGTGACATCCGCAGGGTGTTCAAACCTTCCGTGGAGTAATCACAGCGGCACACGAACGGAAGGCACTCTCAATTGATGATAGTTACTCTCCGTGATATGAGGTATGTACTACCTACCGGTACATCACTCGTCGTACCGAAGTCAGCGCCAAGCGACCAAATGTTGGGTATGCCGCTCTACTGACGCGTCCGACGTGGCTCAGCCCCGTCACTCGGAGGAACATCAGGCCGTCCACCCTCTTAGTTGCATATGTTTGTATGTACGAGTACCTCAGCCCTCTATCCCAAGTTCCCAACAGTCGCTCTGGAGTACCTAGTCTGCACGGTCTTCTCTGAATCTCTGTTCCTCCACAAGCCACAACGCCACCTCCACTAGCATGATACGGTAAAGCATCGGTACATATCCGCAAATACATACCACCCACCCATGACGGCCATCACCTTGGTACCTCCAGCATGCAAGCCGTCAATCAACACCAACATGCAAGCCATTCGTAAAATGTTAATGTTGCAGCATCACCTTCTCCCTCCCATTCGTGGATTTAGCTTTCCCCCGATTCGTGCGTACAGTTGCGCTCGCCAGGCCAGCGCAGATCTGACGCAATCGATAATTGGTTATCGAATATGTATCTATGATCATACCTACTTGCTGCGGGGTAAGTATCAGGTAGGTAATTATCACGAAGTGAGTTGCTCGCTCGACCATGGAAGAAGATGGGGAAACCCAAGCCCAGAGATCCGGGGCGTATAGTACATACACGTTACAGTACATACAACTTTTCGTCCGCATCCGCCGTTTCGCGAATCGCCGGAGAGCTCGGCCGAGAAAGCGAGCTCAGTCCACTCCAAAGTCGAGTACGATAGAGTAGGTAACAAGTTGATTGTTTAGATATCGGGGTCGAATCCATCGTCGTCGTCGGTACGCCATCCGTGACCCGTCTCTGCGTGTCGGCGATAAAGCATCTACCGGTACATACCATCGGTCTCGCGCGCGCGCGCCCACTTGCTTCCCGAGTCCCGACGACGACCACATGTATAGTATGATACCGCTCCTGGAGATCAGGAGGTAGGTAGTTAGACACGGCCTTGGCGGGAAATATAATGTGGATATATTCCTTTGCTTCTTGCCTAAAGTGGACATGTTGAAACTTGAGACCCTCGAAGTTCGGACACCGCCACTTTTGCTGACAGCCCCATCTGAAAACATTACTGCGTCTCAAGACTTCTCTAGCGACTATCATATTCGATTGTCAATTCGTTTGAGCCACAGATGTGTCCGTAATCCTACCGAATCTAAAATTTACCTTCGGGCCGTCTTCGACCATCGCGAGTTTTAGGTATCTACTATAAGAGCCGTCCGTCAACCAGCCCGACCCCACACAGATACGAAGTCACCACGCGACAACAATGAGAAATTCATGGTCAAAATCGCTACATGTGGTGCGTTTTTGAATGATACCGACGCATTATTTTTTCATCGCCAGGGTGGCCGTACCTGAGCCCGAGCCTGAGCATGAAACGCTCCCGGCATCCGTACGTTGGAATGCGAGATCTCCTACACACATATGTACACACATAACTATCCAACCAGGGCGGATACATCGATCGCAACGGCCCACCAAACGGTAGACCAGACCAGACCGCGCGGGACTCGGAACCGGAGGTGTTTCAGGGGGTGGGGGGGGGGGACACTGGACAGGGCTGGTCTACCTACTTGTACATATGTAACGGAAGTCGCATTCTACATACAGTACCGTACTGGATGTACTGGATGTGATAGGTAGGCAGGCCCAGGAAGCTTTGAAGATCTTCGGCCCCCCCTCTCCCCCCCCCTCTCGGGGCAGAAAACTCGAAACGTAACAATCCCAAGGGCGTCATTGTGGCTTTTTTCTTTCTTTTTTCTTCTTTTCTCGGTGGGACGTGATGATGGATGGAGATAGGCACGGAGAGAGCGGCATTCAAAGGATTGGAGGCTTCAAGTCATGGAGAACTCGAGTACCGTACTCTACCTACATAGCCACTCGACTCGCCCCCAGGCGAATCGGAGACCGAGTTTTCTTTAGCAACAGTAGAGTAGAGTGACCACTAACGGGAGCACCGGCAATCTTGCAACTGCGCATCAACTCTACTCTGCTCCAACTAGGGCGGGGCTGCACTGCTCAGTGCTGCAGATTCATTCGGACCCCTGGCAGGGACCTAGGTGGTATGTGTGTATCGTTCCTAGCGTATATGTAGTAGAAAATACTCGAGTGGTTATCTCCGAAGCCTGAGGTAGGTTCCCTGGGTACATAGGTAAATACTTCCTATGTTGATGTCGAAAGTCAGCACAAAACTCCGCCGGTTCTTGAGCAGTGGGGCATCTGGAACAGAAAAGATGTGTCTCGTTAGTAACGACAGCCTTCGAGAGGAATTTGCCCCGGCGGGATCAGATATCACGGCAGCTGCCGTTACCGCTACCGCATGTCCTGCCATCATCCATGGCCCTGTGGATTCGGAGACCGGAGCCTGCTCGGGGTGGAGTAGATATAGTAGTATATCTCAATCTCGGGCCTACCACCGTGAAGGTCAGTGCGGAACTACTGTGGGGATATGTACTTACCTTTGGAGTCCACAATAAGGGATTGTAGGCGAAGGCGAATACTTCAATCTTTGAGGGCTGAGTGAATACTGGCAGAGGGAAGTTTTTTCACTGAGGTTCAAACTAACTATGGCCCATGAGGTATGGGGTATGGAGTATATACTATATATGTACTTCTGCTTGAAGTTTGAACTAGGTAATCCCCTTCGATAACCCCTTGCGTGGGCCCCATCCCCGAAGATTCGACGCAATGATCGATCGCAGTACCTACATACAGCATCTCTTCGACTGAAGTTGAATTCCGAAGACATTTTTCCCGAGAGCACATCTTTCCCCCCTTCCCCGAGCTTACTCCCCCAGTTCGCCGGATACAGAGTCCATACCCACAATCGGTGTCTCGGATTCGGGTCTCGTTGCCAGGTATCTCCTTGCAACTTGCCTTTGTGCTCGCTATACCTAGACAAGTTCTCGCACGATCACCAATCGAAGAGCTTTCTCCGGTCTGACGCCCTGCGGTCCCTGGACTGGATAATCTACCTGACGGGAAAGAAGCTTCTTGCTGGCTTCGGTGGATCTTGCTGGCTCTTGCTGGCTTTTACTGGCGTCGGTGGATGCTAGGATTTGCGGCCTGGGCTCTCCGTCTCTTTGGTAGGTATATACTTGCGGGTAATCGGACTCGGGGTATGTAGCATCGAATGGACCATCATTCCAGAGAGCTTCGGAGAGGTCCTCTATGTACTCTAGTATACCTACCGGTAGTAGACTGAGGATTCGAACAATGTTATCTTGAACATCTTCAGGCCGAAAATGCGACACATGACAACATCACTGACGGACTTTCCCAATTGAACACTGTGGCCTGAGCAGCAGGTAATATTCCGAACTTTATTATGTACAATACTCCGAGCCGGAAAAAAAAGTGACCCGTGACTAGCTATCTATGGACTGGAGGAACCTCCCCATAAGGCGGACCCGAAACTTTCTTCGGGTTGCTTAACTGACATGGAGAAGGCTTTGAAGAGATATCACGTAACGTAAGGAGTATCGATATATTGGCGACATTTGGTACTACAGTCTACATAGGCCTGCCGAATCCCGACTCGTTCCTTGAGACTCACGATCCTTAGAGTTGGTCTGCTCTAGCAGATCCACTTGCGCTGGGAAGAATGAGCCGAGACGATGGGGACCAGGATGGCTTTGGCGTCTGTTTTGTTTCGGAGACTTGGGACGCCTAACGCAAGAGGGACTGGTGGCCGGCGGAGAAGGTGAAAAGAAGGAAGAGAGAAGAAGGTGAGAACATTTTCGAAAAGCACGAGGCAACTTTATGCTACCTCCCCACAAGAACCGAGATCCTGCGGTCTTCCATCAACACTCGCAAAGTAGGTAGGTAAAGTAGCCCCCAGGTATATCACATACTCGGAACAACAATGGTCCTTTCGCCTGCCTATAGTAATTATCGGTCTACCGGCCGGTGGCATGGCAGTTCGTGCGGCATATACCGGTGCAGGCTAGTTATCCGTGTGCTCGACTTGCTGTGCATGTGCCTGTCGAGGATTCGTGTAGAGTATGGTAAAGGTATTCGCAGCGATGCTGTACTGCGACTTCAGATGTCTGCCTCCACGGCCATAACTAACACGGAGCACATATTAGTAGGTATACCCCACATAGGTAAACCGCACCGGGGCCAACCGAACCGTCTGCAACAGACTCTAGCAGCAGTTAATAGACTCTGGCAGCAGTCAATAGACTCTGGCAGCAGTCAATAGACTCTGGCAGCAATCAATAGCACCCAGAAACTCCATCTGCCTGGACTGCCTGGACGGTGCAACAGATTCCGAAGTTCTGCTCCGGCAAGGGGACAAAATGCTGCCACAACGCCAGTGCCTTATGTCTGATGTATCGATCCCCATGGTGGGAAAGTGTGGCTACGCCGGTGGGATCCTGTTCACCAGTTCTTTCATTATTATTCGTTCATTCTCAGTACTCTCTCTCACAAGTCCCCTGCGCACTTTCGCTTGGTCTGCCATAACTCAGCCTCGCCCGACTTCCTGTTTCGGCGCTACAACGCGGAAAGTGTACGAATCATCATGCCGAGACATGCTGAAGGGATGGTGTGGGAAGGATGAGTGGAGTGGAGGGTGTGCGAGAGTGCACTGCCCCGTCTCGCTCCCCTGCTGCTTCCTAACAGCATCCACATCCACATCCATCCCTCAACCACCACCACCACCACCACCGCCGCTCTCCATCTTCAGAACCACAACGCACTCTCGCTCATCACCCATTCTCCTCTCCTCCTCCTCCCACCACACGATCCCGTACACATACACACCGTATATACCGACCACTGCCTAAGCCTTGGCCACACATAATTTCACCCACACCATCTGAGCATCCATTCTTAGCATCACTGAGCAGTCGTCATCTCCCAAGCCAATCCTTCAACCAGAGCCCAGCATACAGCTCCGCCTAGCCTCCCAAGTTACTTGACCTTCGCCCCCCCCCTTGAAGTCAACTCTATCCACCAAAACTTCCACTCTCGCTCAGCTATCCGAACCTACATCAACGTCACTAAACCTTACGTCGAGAACGAAAGTCGCTTCCAACAACACTCAAATACAGCAGCAATAGTGTGGCCGTCGCCCCCGAAATGTCAACACAACAACGAGACCGCTCGTCTCCTTCTTTCGGAGAAGAGACCAGATTCGCAAGCGAAATCGACTCCTTCCTCGACTTCGACAACAACAACAGCTTCCTAGCACCAAACAGCAACATCCGATCGTCGTTTTCGTCGTCATCCGCCTCGTCAGCACAAAGCACACCTACGATGAGACAAGCGCACCCATCGTCGTCCGGATTTCCTGCACCAAGTCACCCCTACAACCTGCACCCACAACAGACCGATCTACTCGGACTCGATGTTCAGGATGGAGGCTTTTTTGGTGACAGTACGACTTCGGAGTTCATGCGGTTGGACGCCGACGTAGGGGCTGCGCAGCAGCCGGCGTACTTCTTCCCCGAAACGACGGCACCGCCGAGATCGGGAGCGGACTCATTGTCGCAGGGAATTTCGCCGATGATGACGATCGGAGAAATGAATCCTCAGCAGCAACAACAGCAGCAGCAACAAGCGCCACCGGTGCCCGTAGCAGTTGCTCAACCCCAACAACCACAACAACCACAAAGGATGCAGTATTACCCTGGCTATCATCAGCAAATGTACCAGGAGAACATGCGTCTGCAACAGCAAAAGTTGGCACGCCAGAAGGCAGCAGCTACAGCCATGCCCAAGGCACCATCGCACCCGCGACAGGGTGAGATAGATGCAATTCTGGATTCGTTCCGGATCTCGTCGTCGCCGATAAATGGTTGCAAAAACTCGAGTGACATACTGCCGCATATTGCGCGCATGAAGAAGGAAGAGGAGGATATGGATGAGGATGAACGGTTACTGGCTAGCGAGGAAGGAAAGAAGTTAAGCAGCAAGGAAAGAAGGCAGCTCAGGAATAAGGTTTCCGCACGCGCTTTCCGCAGTCGGAGAAAAGGTATGACTATTAGCCAGTCCATGTTTGGAGACAAGGTTTCACTAACACGTCGTCTCTAGAATACATCTCTCAGTTGGAGGCAGAAGTGGCAAAGAAGACCCAGGAGGCAGAAGCTGTCAAGGAAGCGCATCGCCGTCTCGAAGAGGAGAACACCCGACTACGGAGCTTCTCAGAGATGCTGATGAAGCACTCTGCTTTTCAGGAGTTCCTCAAAGATCTCAGTGCCCCTCTAATCAACCAGCCAACTGTCAGCCGCGCCGCCGTAACTGTGGCTCCCGCCGCCGTAGCTGAGCCCCTCTACAACTCCGCTCGTGATGCCAACCCCAATGTCTCGGCCGAAGAGCAATGGCCTCTTGCCTACGCAACCACGTGGAACAACAGCAACAACCTGTCCCACGTTTACAACGTTGAGCTCCCCTCGGGCCCTGCAGTTCTGCAGGATCTGGACGGAAAGGGCGTCTGTGGCGCCGTCGAAGAGGACTACACCATCGCGGACGGCTTCTTCTCGGGCATCCGCGACACCAAGGGCGACATCGACTACAACCGCATGGACGAGGACGAGGACAGCTACTACCAAGCACCCGACAACCTCGAAGATGTGTACCTCGAGGAGGAGCAGTCGAAGCAGAACCTCGACGACCTCTTCCCCGGCGTCGGCGTCAACGACTTCCTCGAGAAGCTGGAGATGGTTGCTGGCGGCGAGGCTCGGCCAGAGGACGTCTTCGAGATGGAGACACCCGATGTGCCAGAGCCCCGCGCCGTCGCCGAGGCCCCCAGGCGTTGTGCTACTGTCAATAAGTCCAATCACATGCTCAAACAGGCCGAAGGCGTGTACCGACGGATTGGGTTGTCGGTTGGCGGTAGCCAGTAGTTTCTTCTTCGCTTTAGATCACGATGGGATGTATGGGTTGGGTTGATAGGGATAGGACGCTCTTTAGATTTTTGAGTTTCCTTTGTTCTGGGTTTTCATTTTTCTTCTGCTGTTTGCATGCGATATTCTTTGGCGGTGTTTTTTTTTATTTTTTTTATTTTTACATGTTTGTGTGTTCAGCACCACTACTACTCAGCTAGGCCCAACCAAACCAACCAAATAAGCCCACGGCAGGTTTTTTTTTATCGATTTTATTTCTCTTCCAATGTGGTTTTTTTTTGATTCATCTCTGTCTCTGTCTCTGTCTGTGATTTTTATCGGTGTTACTCAGGAGGGAAGGGAAGGGAAGGGAAGGAAAGTATAAAAAAAATGGACTGGAATTCCCTTTTTTTGTTTTGTTTTGTTTGTTTGGTGGGTGGTGGGTGGTGGGTGGTGGGGGGACATGGTGGGACATGGGACATGGGACATGGGGGGCCCGGGGTGGGAGCTTACGACGACTTTGCAGGGGTGTGGGGGAAGGGGCTGGTAAGGCGTTTCAGGATTGCCGGGGTGGTTGGGGGGGGGGATGGTGGGGGATGGGATGGTGGACTGGGATGGGACTGGAACTGGGACTGGACTGCGACTGGGACTGCAACTTTGTAAGTTTGTATGGTGGGTGTATATATTGATGCAAAGATATTGGGAAGTTCGTATGCGATGGAAGGTAGGTAGGATAATCTGGATTGATGATCGGAGGAGGAGGGGGATACTTGGGGTGGGTGGACGGGAACTGGAGATGGGATGGGATGGGTTGGGTTGGATTGATAGTCAGACAGAAGAGAAAAATGTTCCCCAAAACAAAACATAAACACAGATACAAGCAGCAAAAAAGCACTCCGTTGCAATCCCAGACAGACAGAAGAGGTGAAAACAGATGATCGCCCCGAGAACAAGTAAAAGCCGTCTACAGTAAGAAACACAAAGCTATTGTAATAGATAGTGGTGATGGTGATGGCGCCTACAGCTCCGCGTCCGCCGCCTCGTCAACTTCCATATCCAGCGTCCCAATCGTTTTGGCGTACGGCACCGTGATGCGCTGGAGTTCCCTGTGTTTGCCTGTGCAAATGTATCAGCAGTGTCGAGTGACGGGGGGCTCGTAGTGAAGAACATACCAACAACCAGGAGCACACTCTGCAGCAGCTCCCTCTTACTGCATCCACAGATTGTGTCCTCTTCCTCTGTATCCTCCTCGCCCTCCTCCACATCCATCCGTCCCATGAGCTCTCTCAGCAGCTCCTCAACCTTCCCCCTCATCCCCTCGCTCGCGATCCTCCGGACGTAAGTCATGAGGTAGCTCTTGAACTCATCTTTCGCGCCGAGCATGATGGCGGCGGCCATACGATTCTCCAGGTGGGCGATTGACACAGCGGTTTCGAATCCCTCGAAGCCCTCTCGACTGAGACATTGCTTTACGATCCTTTGCAGGAAGCGGCCGCGTGGATGCAGGAGGACTTCGGTTGTTGTGCGGCGCTCCAGGTGTGGGATGATTCCGATCGAGAGGGGCGGCTCGCCGTTGAGGGAGTCGGTGGTGGCCGCGGAGGGGCGTACGGAGCCCGACGTGTCCCAGTATTGGCTACCGACTGCCCACCAGCTTTCGCTGAGTTTTTGCCAGCTGCAGAGATCGCGGTTGTAGGCGTAGCCGTCGCCGTCGGTGAGAGAGACGATCAGCACACCGTTGGAGTTGATGGTCACTTCTTGGATGGCTTCGGCGCGCGAGACGCCGTCGGATTTGAGGTAGGTGTTAGCTACGTCGAGGATGGGGGCGAGAGAGATAGGCGGGTGTGCGGCTTTGCCGGTTTTGAGGTTCCAGACGTGCGCTACGCCGACGGCGGAGACGCAACTGAGCCACCAGCCGCGGCAGTCGATGATGCATGGGATGGCTTCGATCACTATTGCGTTGAGCATGCGGCGTCCAACGGGGGTAAAGACGTGGATGGTGCCGTCCTCGCATGCTGCAACCCAGAAGTTGGAGTTGCCGGTGACTAGGACTACAGGTTTTGGCAGAAAGTCAACCCATAGAATTTGTCCGGCCTTCGATATTGTCAGACGCGTGGGATCTCGAGAGTTCTTAGCTTCGAAGATCGTGTCTGTCGGTGCCGGGCCGGTGTTGGTGCTTGATGCTGCCGCCGTCACACCTGGGATGCTGTTGGAAGGATGGCCTGACGCATCGATCACTCGGCTAACGGTGTATCTGATTTTGGGCACAGCCAGGCGCACTTGTGATACCGCCTGGGCTTGACAGACGACTGCTGGCCTAAGGAATTCCGGAGTCCCTTTTGGCGCCTTTTGGTCCGATGGCTGAATTATTGAAACCCGCTTGCTATTGGTAGTAGGCGGTGGTGGCTGCCCTTCATCGACGGGCTCCTCTATAAGTTTCCTCTTGTTACCGATTATCAGAGCCGCCATACCACCCTTAGGGAGACCATCGTAGGGACGCGATAGATCCAATGTCGTCTTGGGGTCAAGATTCGCTGTCGAGCCGGTTGCCGCAGCTTGTAACAGATGTGCATTTGGAAGGTTCGAACGGTGACCGCCGCCTGTTGACACCAGCAAAGGTGCAACACGCTTCTTGCCGTCTTTGGTGATGGTAACTTTCTGTTTGTATGGCTTCTCCTTCTCCACGGGCTCTCCAGGAGCGGCGGTTGCGGGAGTAAGTAGTTGCGCCTGCCACTGCGGCCCTACAGCAGCCCCGGTATTAGCCATCGGGACATCTCCGTTCTGTCCATCCATCATCAGCGCCCCCATTTTGCTTTCCACCTCCCTCCTCTCGCCGGCCTTCGACATTTCCTCCAGCTTCAAGCTCTCGGGACCCTCGGGCAGGGTGGCACCCTTTCTTCCAGCACCGAACTTTTGTAAGATACGCTCATTCTCTTCAATGGGTAAGACCCATCCTAGATCGCCTTCATCGAAGGCAACACAGAGGATACAACCATCCAGAGACGAAACGAACATGCTTTTGCCGTCGGGACACCATGCTAGATCCGAGATCGCCTTCACTGCTATATTCTGGATGATCATCAGGGGCCTTGAGTTGAGAGTATTCCAAATCGACAACGCCTTGTCTTGTCCAGCACACGCGATCACTGTGACAGGACCTGTCGGCGGTAGATCAGTCTCTGGGTCGGTATTGGTGAACATCCGTGGGGCAAATGCACACACTTCGACGGGTCCTTCGTGGCCGATGAGATTGATTTCGCTATCCCAGCTACCACGTGTAATGATAGCCACCGAGCTCACGGGTCCATTGACCGCGTTGGACGCTGCAATGTGCGCTCCATCTGGCGACCACGAACATCTCCGGAAGTATGTGGTCAACGGCGAATCCTGAAATGGCCCTTCAATCGAGACTGCCAACGAGAAGTTCCCCGCCTGGTCGTTCGCTGTCGCGTTGCTTGCTGGCGACGCGTACCTATGTACCTTGACCGTCCGATCGTCGCTCGCAGTCGCAAAGTACTTATTCGCCGGATCAAAGGCGATGCCCTTGACGTGTGACTGATGCACATCGATCCTCTTCAGCCGCTCAAACGTACTGCCCGACCACACAATGATCTTCGAGTCCAATCCGACCGACACCAGGATCGACGAATCCGCAGACCACCCCAGATCCTGCACATCGTTTTCATGCCCAGCAAGCCGTCGATGTGTCCTCCAAACCTCCGTCTGCGACTCGCCATTCCCAAACACCGGCCGTGCTCCCGCCGTCTTGTCGTGCTCGTAGATCAGCACGATCTTGTCGTCCGAGCCAGAAGCTAGGAAGCGGTTGTTGCCCGAGAAGCGCACAGCGAGGACCGCGCCCGAGTGGTGCGACAGCGAGCATAGCTGTTTCGGCATTTCGACATCTTCCTCGCCCTGCGAGGCGAAGATAGCCTCCATCGACCAGATGCGTACCGTTCCATCTGTCGTTCAAAGCTGTCTGTCAATCACCGAGCTTGCGGTTACGTTTGGAGGGCCGAGGATTGGTACCTAGTCCTCCGGTTGCTAATCTCTGCGCGTCGGCAGATATGTGTAATGAATAGACCTCGCACGCTTTCTTGTCCGGCGCTAGAACATAGGGTCGAGTCAGTTCAACCCATTCTACAGAACTTCTTTCTTCTCGCGTTCATCCCGACACGCGCGGTGCGCAATCACGTGAAACATACAAGAATGTGTCAGCCATCGAGGTTTGATGAATTGCACCATTTGAGAGAGAGGAGCCGCGAGGTGCGGCAGGTACGCGAGCGGGTTTTCGTGGGGTCGGGGTTGGTGAAGGGTGGAACGCGGGTTGAGATGATGAAGCAACTTTTTGGCACAACGGTATTGGGGGACGTGTTTGATGGATTTAGAGTAGATACATAGAGGAAGGAGGGAGGCTATTCTATTTACGGCATGGATTGTGCTCCCAGCCAAGCCGAAGATGTTTAAAGCGAGCTCTAGAATTCGACTCTCCCCGCTCCCCGCTCTCCATCATCATCACTTTCCAGTCAATTCCACCACTCAACCACTCAATCGACCCAGTAACTCCAAACTACAGTACACACAATGGGTGCCCTCAAATATGTCGAAGAGATCGCGAAGAAGAAGCAGTCCGACATTCTGCGCTTCCTCCTCCGCGTACGCTGCTGGGAATACCGCCAGCTCAACGTCATTCACCGTGCATCGCGGCCTTCCCGCCCCGACAAGGCTCACCGTCTCGGCTACAAGGCGAAGCAGGGCTATGTCATCTACCGTATCCGTGTGCGTCGCGGTAACCGCAAGAAGCCCGTGCTAGTATGATTCATATCCAGTGTTTTGTTTGATGTCTTGAGGGTGATGCCTGACTCCTGCAATAGAAAGGTGCCACTTATGGAAAACCCACGAACCAGGGGTTAGTGCTGATCTCCTCTTCCTCGTTGACTCATTAAGATGAGAGGTTTGGAGCTCTCAGCTGTCCGGGACCACTGTGTTACATGTTCCGGACGCCGGGCTCCAATGTTTGTTCTACTCGTACCCTCTGGTATGCTTTGATGCTAATGTGTTGTGTTGTACAGGCAAACCTCGGCGGCCAAAGGAGAAACAGTACAATTGTGAATTGAGATGCTGACAAGTGTACACACAGTGTGAACCAACTCAAGTTCCAGAGGTCTCTCCGCTCCGTGGCCGAGGAGCGTGTCGGCAGACGCTGTGCGAACTTGCGAGTGCTGAGTGAGTCCCCCCAGCCATCAGCATCCACCATGCCGGCAACTGACGAGAAACAGACTCCTACTGGATCAACCAAGATGCTACATACAAATATTTTGAGGTGATCCTTGTCGACCCACAGCACAAAGCGATCCGCCGCGACGCCAGAATCAACTGGATAGTCAAGCCGGTCCACAAACACCGTGAGCTTAGGGGATTGACTGCCACGGGTAAGAGGAACCGCGGGTTGGGCAAGGGACACAGGTACAACAAGACCACTGCTGGGCGGCGCAAGACCTGGAAGAGACACAACACTCTGCAGTTGCACCGGTACCGTTAGACGGGGTAATTTACTTGTTTGGTGTCTGCTTTTTGCTTCGGTTGAATCCTGGTGTTTGCTCTGTTTAGTTTGTTGAGAAAAAGTAAATTCCTTCACTATCGTAAAGGTGAAGAATTTGAGCAAAGGTGCAGAATGCCCACTGTGATGCTAAAAAGTTATCCGGTACCCTTCACGATACGCGATACCCTCACCGGCCACAGAAATGCTGCTCAAAGACTGGCGTGGGAAAAAGAATGCAACCTGGGATACTGTAATTAATTGAAATCATTTTACTAAGAATTTACTCACAATTGTTGAATGGCCAATTTGTTTCCAGTCGCGCGTTGTGAATAGCGCAGACGAGATGAGTGGAATTTACGCTTGAGGCATAAAAGCTACTGACTCGCTATGAGAATACCTAGTGACTTGTCATTAAAATGTATTGAGCCCGTCACTGAAACGTGAATGGTAGAGGATAGCTTTTTGGAACCACAGTGGGCATTCTGTACCTTTTCTCTGAAGGAGAGGATTTGTGATCAAGTCTTGTCGGGCTGATATTCGGTGATGATGTGGTGGTACAAGAAAAAAATGACGAGATGTCTCTGTGCCCCCACCACCCCACTTCCGATAACCATCCAACTCTGCCCCACCACAGCACAAGTCGCAACACAACACAGCAACCACCCCGTCTCTTTCACCCCCTCCCTTCCGTCCTCCCTCATTCCTACCACCAATACCACTCGAAATGTCGAAAGTTCGCGAAATCAAGTCGGTCGAGCAGTTCAACGAGCTCGTCACCAACGCCACATCCGACATTCTTGTGGCGTTGAACTTTCACGCACCATGGGCAGCACCATGCGCCCAGATGAACCAGTTGTGCCCCCACAGCCATTCCGCCGCCCCCCTCTCTCCCGCTCCCATTCTCTAACAGAATCAGGGTATTCGAAGCTCTCGCGGAACAATCCTCAGCCGACAAAACCCTGTTCATCAGCATTGATGCCGAAGAGCATCCGGACATCTCAGAGTCGTACGAGGTCTCCGCGGTTCCCTTCTTCGTGCTGATCAAGGCCGGCGCGATCCTGGAGAAGATTTCGGGCGCCGACCCGTCGAAGCTCACCTCGTCGGTGATGAAGCACAGCGACGGCGCGGTGACGCTCCCTCCCGCACAGCCCATAACCGCCAACACCTCCTCGTCGACGACATCACAGCCCGCAGCAGAAGAAGACATCAACACGCGCCTGACGAAGCTCGTCTCCGCCGCGCCGGTAATGCTGTTCATGAAGGGAACTCCGGCTGCACCACAGTGCGGTTTCTCGAGGCAGCTCGTCGCCCTGCTGCGCGAGCGCGAGGTCAGATACGGCTTCTTCAACATCCTCGCCGACGACGAGGTCCGCCAGGGCCTCAAGACATTCTCCGATTGGCCCACGTTCCCCCAGCTCTACCTCGACGGACAACTCCTCGGAGGTCTCGACATCGTACGCGAGGAGTGCGAGAATGATCCCAATTTCTTGAAGGGTAGCACTGCGTAAAAACGGGGGATAGATACGTGAATGGCAGGGGCAGATGTTGGGCGGAGGGTAGATGTTGTTGTTGGGCGGCGTAATGATTTTGTTCTTTCGTGCGTTCCTTTGCTTTTGCTATGTATCGCATGGTGTTTGTGACGATATCATCTACTAGTAGCATATATCTTATGCAGTGCATTTGCATTTCTCCACGCTCTCCGAATAGGTAATCAACCAAAACACTCAAAACGCCCAAACGCCCAGCTCCGAGCCCGCGCATACAATCAATCCATATCGTTCCATTCCATCCCGCCCCACGATCAATCCATATCCATCTCATCCCCAGCACCACCCCCCTCGTATCCCTGCCCCTGCCCCTCGGTGTCCAGCTGCTGCTGCAGCACCATGGAGTAAACGCTCGCCTTCAGCAGCGTAAACACCAGCCCCGTCTTCCGCTCGAGCAGGCGCAGCGAGTCCATTATCTCTGCGGCGGGGGTGTCGGCGAGCGCCGCGGTGGTGGACGATAGCTGCGAACTGTTTGTCAGCGGAGTGGAAACCGGCGGCATCAGTGAAGGAAGGTAGGTACCCGGTGCAGGTTGTCGAGCAGCCGCGAGTACTCGTCGAGCACCTGTTGCTCGAGCGGCGAGAGGAGGTTGTTGTTAGACGAGAGGGCGGGGGGCGGCGAGGACATTGTTGTTGTGGCGACGACGCGGTGGTGGGGGGAACGCGTTGATGGTGCTCGGTTTCTCGTGGGTTGGTGGGGGTGGGGTGTGCCCGCCGGATGGGAGGGTAATCGTGGATCACTTGATCATGCGAAGAGTGATTATTTATGATTGAGTCTGAATGATTTGAACAAGATTCGGTACCATCACGGCTTGAACAGTCCCTCCAAGTCCTCCAGCATGGTCTTGAACCCGTCTTTCTCCACGCACATCATGAGCCCTTGCGGCTTGATCCCCATATCGCTGAACGCCCTCTTCGAATCCGCAACCTCGCCCTCCTTCTCAAACCTAAAATCCGCCACGCTATCCTCGCCACACCTTCTACGGATCGTCTCATCCTCAGGATGGTAATAGAAAATCTCACTCTTCCCCTTCCTCTTCTGCTTCTTCCCCTTCTTACTGGGGCGATCCTCCATCTCGTCGAGCTTCGACGCGACCTCAACGTAGCTCTTCGACAGCACGATGAAGTGCGAGAAGTTGTAGGGCTCGCCCTCCTGCAGGGCCCACTCGATCTCCTCCAGCAGCATCTTGTACATCGGCGGGATGACCTGCACGGGCATATTGATCAGCCTTTCAGTCAGGATCAGTCCGACCTGGGCTGTGCTGCTCGGCGCGAGAAGTCCTGCCAGCTTCGTGCGCAGCGCCGAGTTGGAGGCCGATTTGCTCAGGATGTAGTTTGCGAGCGTGGCGACCGCGGGGTGCGCCGCGTGCGTGTGCAGGTTGATCACGGTCAGGAAGGCGAACGGGTCCGATTCGTTGCCGTCGGTCTTGACGGTGGTGCCGAGGAGCGGCTGCGATAGGATCAGGTCCGTGAGCGACGATAGGTCGAATAGTGTCGAGTCTGCGTCGAATAGCTGCCGCAAAAGATTCTTGATCCCGTGGAAATCGTGCGCGGGCTGCGGGTCGAACATCTCGAAATCTACGTTCACCATGTCCATGTCCTGCGGAATGTGTTAGTGCGTGCGTGTAAGATGGTGGGGCACGGGGAGAGGTACGTCGTCCGAGCCACTGTCGTTCCCGTTGTCTGACGCTGCGGATTCCATGGTGATGTCGCCATCGTCAGTGGGGTCTTGCTTGCGTTTGTTACTGGGCATTGTGTGTGGTCGTGGTTGTGTGAGAGTTGTATAGGTGGTGATGGTGGTGGGGAGATTAAGGTGGGCTGTCTCGCGAACTTTTTTTTTGGTGGGGCTGCAGGCTGCACGTGTAACCCTTCCTTCCCACCTCCTTCGCGTCCAACTCGCTAGAGGCATCTAACTCAATTCCTCCATCACCACCGAGCCGCGACTGCGACTGCGATTGATCATAAGGATACCTATGAAATTCCTGTGAAGCCTTTTATCGGAAAAGCATCTCCGCAAGTTGGAGATCACGAAATAAGGAGCATATTTTTTTCACCGGCGGCAAGTCTAGGCTTGATCCCGCGCTCACCTGCGTACCAGCCATCTCAAACAGCGTGCATGTTGGGGCGGATGCGGCGTTTGGCGCCGTCCGATACATAACGCGCGCTATCTTCATTCTTTTATACTCGAGCTCGTACCTATGCAACAGCGGAATTGATGAACTGGAGGTATGCATAGATGAGGGTGCCGGGTGGAGCTTTCAATTACACATTCCATCTAAGCTCTGGGAATATGCGAAGATCTTACATACGGTGAGGGAAGGGGGCAGTAACGAAGATCAGCTCGGCCCGGAACCAGCAGCTTCATTTGCTCTTGGGGAGCACGCTGCACGGAATACTAGCCGTTGTCGTTTAAGGGGGAGGCGGACCGGACCGATTGGTCGCGTTAGACGGGCCTCGCTCGCCCCCCAGAAAAGTAGATCGAGCAGAGGGCGGAGATGCAGCACTCGCTTCCGAAGCCGAGTCGGGAAGAGAAAGGCGAGAGCGAGAAGAAGGGAAAGAAGGGGGGGGGATGTTTTTGCTGCTTGTTGCCTGCGGGCTGCTGCCTGTGTTTAGAGTTGGAAGGAAGGTTGTGTCGGGTTGGTTGCTGTGGTGATGCGCCAACCAGTGGACGCATCTGCCAGCACTTCAAAAACGTCACCACTCCCACTTCATAACACACACACCACTTACACTCGCGCTCGCTCACTCACCACCACTCGCTCACCAAACAAGAAACACCCCCCTCCGCCTCCTCCTCCACAACTACAACCAACCATCTCGCTGTCATTTATCGCCGCAATTCCCGAGAAAACACATCGCTGTTTGTGGTCGCTATATCCGACAGCTGCGAAAGAAATAACAACACCAGTCACTCGTTCGCGGAATTGATCGGTCCAAGCATCCTCAGAGCACTGCTACGAAACGATCGTTCTGCATCCGATCTAAGACACCTGTCATGAGAAGAGCATCGACCATCTCCAGAGTGTACGTTCGCGTTTCGTTTCAAGCAACAGTGCAAACAGCATCCCGCTCACAGACAACAGCTCCACTCCCGTCAGCTTGAAAAGCTCCACTCCCGTCAGTATGGAGTCCGGCACCTCCACCGTAAACACACGTGCTACCCGTTCCACAGGAGCCACTACACCCGGCCCCACCCCCGCGTACTCGAAAAAGCTCGTCGTCGTCGGCGATGGAGGTTGCGGAAAGACCTGTTTGCTGATTGCATACTCGCAAGGGATTTTCCCCGAGGTACGGACCCCAGCCCCCCTCCCCCCTCTCCCCGCCGCCATCCCCTTCACTTCCGTCCGAGCGTAGCTAACCCCTCGCGTCGCCTTAGAAATACGTCCCGACGGTGTTTGAGAACTACATCACGCACAAGGTGCACCCCAACTCCGGGAAAACCGTCGAGCTGGCGTTGTGGGACACTGCCGGCCAGGAGGAGTACGACCGTCTACGTCCACTATCCTACCCCGAGACCAACGTACTCTTTGTGTGCTTCGCCGTCGACTCACCCCACTCGCTCGAGAACGTGCTCGACAAGGTATTCCTCCCCCCTCTCCCCTCGATGACGACGACACATGCTAACCCACGGGATCTTAACAGTGGTATCCCGAAGTCCTTCACTTCTGTCCGCAAACGCCCGTGGTGCTCGTAGGCCTGAAGACGGATCTCCGCAAGAACCGCAACGTGATCGACCTCCTGCGCACGCACGGCATGACGCCCGTATCGGCGGCGCAAGGCAGCGAGGTCGCGAAGCGCATGAACGCCACCTACGCTGAGTGCTCGAGCAAGGAGATGGTCGGCGTAAACGAGGTGTTCGACCTCGCTATGGACATGACCATAGGGGTCAACGGCAAAGGGCCAGCCGTCGGCATCGGCGGGAAGAGGAAGAAGAAGAAGAGCTGTATTATTTTATAGGCGGCGGACGGATGGAGGGGTGGATGGGCGGTTGGTTGGTTGGAAAGTGGGTAAGGCGGGTACTTACGTGCGTTACGTTACGTGGTGTGGAGCGGTTGGCGTTGGGAGTATTGTTTGCTTTGCTGCGTTTCGTTTGAGGCGTGTGGTGGTGGACAGACAGCTTTTTGATCTGGACTTGCTGTGTGTGTGTGTGTGCGCGTGTGTGTGTGGGTGGATGGGTGAAAGATGGGGATATGGTAGTTTGTGCGTGCGAACTGCGATGTGCGAAGTGTGTGCGAAGTGTGTGCGTGTTATATACCTTGCTTTTACCTTTTATACATCTTCTTCTTCCGATTGCTTAAACTGAAATCAATTGATTTGCGGTGGGGATTGCGGTGAGGATCGCGGTGAGGATGGAGATTCACATGTGTGTGGGGCTGGTAAGCACTTTATCGGTGTCGGTGTCGGTGCCGATATAATAGCGAGCTATTATGATCACTCGATGGATGAATTCCTATCCTTACACACACATCCCTAAGAACCGACCAGACTAAGTAGAGTAGCGAGATTACGGTTGAGACGAGTACCACTGTACCACTGTACCAGCTCTTCCTTGCGAGTTGCGAGGTTTGAGGTTTGAGGGATGGTATATATCTTGCGGAGTTTTGTGAATGTTTGGAGTCTGGAGTCTGGACAGGAAGGATGGATGGATGGATGACGCCGGATGGGGCTGTGGCTGTGGTTCTTAGGGGAAAAGGAGGGATGGGAGGGCGGACCATGGATGTGGCCACTGAACGATCGTCGGAGCCAGAAGAACTGGCGGGGACATCTCCCCCTCCCCACTGCATGCTCGCCCCAGCCGGGAGATCAGGAACAGGAAGAGGAACAAGAACGCGGAATCCGGGGTGAACTTGAGGAGTGATGCCCCGTGGCGCTGCGTGTGGAGAGCGGCAGCCCAAGCCCTTCCTTCCGCTTTGCTTCTGCCTCTCTCGGAGATACTTCCTTCCTTCCTTCTCGTTCAGCCTGATGCCATGCATGTGAGGGGGAGGAGCTGGGCTGGCTGGGCTGGCTCGGCTGGGCTGGCTTCCGCCCGCCTGAAGGCTGACGACGAAAATACCGCGGGATAACCAGGAATAGCTAGGAATAGGTCTCAGTACCTGAATATGGCCATGGCTTGTTTAGGTACTATGTGGCATCTACATCTGGCCCTCCTCCTCCTGAGCTAGCTGGGCTGGCAGCGGATGGCCATGGCATGCTTACATGATACCGGTACATCATACGGGTGTGTTCTTACGGTAGGTATCACGATGCTTTGTGTGAATCAAGCTCGGCTGTGGATCAAGCTCGTTTGTGGGACGGGCTACGGCCTTCAGGTCGTATCTGCTCCATAGAGTAGGCAGGATGCTCGGCTGAGAAGGGCTGAGATCTTGATTCCTGATCGCTTGTTTGCCTCCTCCTACTTCCTATTCTTCATAGTACTGGTAAATATAGAGTGCGACCTCTACGGATCATAACCCGCGTACTCTACTCTAGGTATCCTGCCTGCCGTCAGGAGTCTGACGAGAGATCGCTCGCTCGGGAACGGAACTTGGAAGTGCGGGCGGGTGAAGACGAGTGATATACGATGCCCTGTCGTACCTATGCAGAATAGTGAGTACGAGTCTCCGGTCGCGGAGACAGAGGGTTGGTCGCCCAAGCTGATACCAGCCACTCGTGCATCTCCCCACAATGGCCTCGCGGACCAACGACTCACGAGGGATCCATCGCCCAGCGACCCGGGTACTCTGAGTACACAATTCTGCGCGCGCGGCAAATAGAATCGCGTCCACTCCACTCTTCTGCAGTGCAGGTTATTGAAAGAGCACATACTGCATCATCATCGCGAAATGGAGGTTATCCACTGGCTGACGTCCATATGCCCCCATATCACGCCGCCACGATTGGGCCGACTGTGCAGAGTAGAGAGGTGGAGTGCTGGGTTGGTTGCTGGTTGCTTCTTCTTCTTCTTCGCCTCGCAAGAAATTAAAATGAGTGCGAATGCAGGAACCAGGAACCATAACGAGCGCTGGCTGCACCCACCCCTGTCATGCCGGGTCCGCTCCGCTAACTAACTAGAGTACCTAGAGTAGCATGGAGGCATGGAGGGAGACGGGGGGAGACGAGGGAGGGAGGTGGACGAGGGGGAGGAGAGGAAGGAAGGAAGGAGCGAGGAGATCAGAGCACTCACACTCACACATAGAGTACACACCACCACCACCACCACCACCACCACGCACGCTCTCTTCGCTCGCTTCTCCTGTTTGCAAGCTACAGTGCTACCTACACTCACCACACTCCTTCACCATTCAGCCAGTCAGCCAGCCAGCCAGCCAGCCCAGCGATAGAAAAGTTCCGATTAGACAGTTCGTTCGGGTACCCCGTCATTCATAGTCGCTCCTTAGTCCAGTGCAGTCCAGTGCAGTCCAGCACAGTGCAGTTCTTTCAGCTTCCAGCAGTCAGCATAAACGACGATAACACGAACCGGCAAAATACAATACAAAACCTGGGGAGGGACGGACGGACCGAGGGACGGACGAACGCGGTCGATGACGGCCAGTACCTCCAGTATTAAGAACAACAACAAGGATCGCCATGCAGTTTTGATTGCGGCTTCGACTTCGACTTCGACATCTCGTCCACAACCACAACCACAGCCACAGCAAGTCACCATGAGCAGGAGAGGAGGAGGAGGGGGATGGGGAGGAGGGGGTAGGAGGAGCAAGAGGAGGGGCGGGATCGGGGTCGTCGGCGCGATGGGAATGGCCGTGATACTGTTGCCGGCGTCGTCGTTGGCTGCTGCCGCATGCATACCGCTCGCCGGATCGACAATGTGCTCTGCCTTTGGGAAGTCGCAGATTTCGACGGGGGACGCACTTACGGGTCAATTGTGAGATTGGATCGAGCCCGAGTGCAGAGGAGAGGGATTCTGATTTGTGGATGTGTTACAGCCCATTCCTGAGATTTGTCTCCAACCTTACCCACTTCGATGAAAAGTTCGAGACCTTCACGAAAGAGGAATACGTTACGAGCAAGTTAGTTGATGCCTTGCGGAGTGATGAGGGGGGACGGGTTTGCTGATTGCCGCCGGCGAGGATAGGTTTGGACTACTGTTCGGATGCGACAATGTCACGACGTCGTTACCGAATACGGACGAGTACTATGCTCGCTTCACGTCGACGGTTCTCTGCTCGAGGATGATACAAGACTCGAGGACGGACTGCGGGCTGACGGACGAAACTGCTAAGCCGCTCTGTGCCGAATCTTGTGTATGTTTTTGTGTCCCGTGATTCGATGTGGGTTCCGCGTCTGATGATTTGTGTAGGCCCAGTTCGGGAGGAGTGAACAGATGATCGTGTCGAACCCAGACACGTGCTCGAACGCAAGGGACGATGCCTTCAGCATCGTCTTCTCCGATTACACAATCTGCTCGCCCCCCGATTCTCTGGATCAGTCTTGTATCCTGGGGTCCGACAACGAGTATGAGAATTGTGGTTTCAGGTATGCTGGTTCGGTACATGCTACGGGGCGATCGTCGCTAATTTCCATGCGAAGGGATAATCTCTTGGGATTGTGTCTGTATTGCGCCGAAAATTCGCCGAATTCTACGGATACTTGCTGTTATTCCTCGGGCGCCGAAACGAAATGCGCTGGGCTGGTTCTGCCAACGTTTACGAACCTGCCGCCAATCACCACAGCCACCACGACAACGACAGCAACATCGACGTCTTCAGCCTCGGGTAGTGACGACGATGAGTTGAGCGGCGGCGTCATTGCGGGGATCACAATTGGAGCGTTGGTCGGTGTGGGGTTTCTCGTGTTCGCGTTGCTCTTCTGGTGGAGGCGTCGGAACCGGTACGGAAATCAAACTCCCATCTTCAATCACCCCGCGCGTGGACCACCGTCCATGACCTTCACCACGGTGGGCCCAGTACAAACCGGCCACGGGTACGAAGCGCTTACTGGAAGTCGCGTCGCCCGCATGTCGGCTCTTGAGGAGAGCACTTCTCGGATCGATATTGCTTCTTCAGCCGGTAGCGCGGCACCACCGCACATCTCGCGCGCAATCATTGGCGCTGAATCATCCTCGTCGTCCGAATTCGGACTCCAGGACAGCCCAATATCCCGTCGGGATCGATCGCCACAGCATAGACCGCTGCATCCCCCGCCGCGTGGACGGAATGCGTCGTTGTCCAGCTCGTCGGTCCTCATGTCTGAGGGAGGCCTGACATCCCTGGTTGCATCGAGTGAGAAGGGATCGAGACGGTTTTCGGGCTCGACTTCGGAACAGCTGCCGTACTTTAGGGATTACTACTCTAACGAAGATATCCATCCCGGCGATAAGGTCTCTGTGCTGTGGGCGTATGCACCGCGCGCGCCGGATGAATTCGAGCTCGAGCGGGGTGATATGTTGAAGGTGGTTGGAATTTGGGATGATGGTGAGTTATATTGTTTTGTCTGAGGATGTGGGGGGTTTACTGACGTTTCTAGGCTGGGCAACCGGAATTTTCCTCCCCGACCGCGCCGAAGACGCGTCCCGGCGACGACGCGAAATGCGGGACAGCGGAGTGTCGGCATCGCACTCGCACCGCCGCGGCGGGTCATCGCACGGCTCGCACCGCCGCGACCCATCCTCTCCCGACGTCGACGGCGAGATCAAAGCGTTCCCGCTCGTCTGCGTCTGTCTTCCCGACCACTGGCAGAAAACGATCGAGAATGAAGTGGCACCTGAGTATGAATCCTCCTCCTCCCAGCGCAGCCAGAACCTCGACGACAGTCACTATGGCGATCCGCGAGCTGAAGCATACCCAGGTCGCCGCCTCGGTGAAAAGAGCTCCAGTCGGTTCAAGGATGATCTGAACGTACCGCGACGTTAACCTTAACCTTAACCGGACACCTTTTTTCTTCTTTTTTCTATTCACTTTTTTTTTTCTCTCGCTTTTTCGCTTTTTCGCTTTTGCGCGCAATCGTTTTTCTCAAACTAATGATTTTTCTGTTTCTAATGACGGTGTTTTCCCTTTCGCTTTCGCTTTTCGTTTCGGCCTCTGTGAATATTCCACCTGCTCTGCTCCTTTGGTTTTTTTATGGAGTTTTATATTGTTTTCTTCATTACTCCCCTCCTCCCCTTGGTTCCCATTCATTCATTCTTATTCTCTTCTCTTCTTTCTGATGGGATGGGATGGGATTGGCCGGCTTTTTTTCTGTTTTTTTATGTCATCCTGTTTGAGCGAGCTGCTGGAGGCGCTGCCGATTTTTCATGGATGGTTTTTTTGACGGTGATGGTGATGGTGATTGAGGGGGTTATGTGCATTTTTTTTTTCTTCTTTCAATACCCCATGTGCGCAGGGTGGCAGGGTGGGAGGTTGTGGTTGTGGTTGTGGTTGTATTTGATTTTTATGGGCTGGTTATTAATTGCCTTCAGTTTTTCTTTCTTTCTTTCTGACGCGGCTGCTTCTGCTGTTGTGGAGTGCGTGTTTATACCCCTTCTTTCTGTGTTCTTTGCTTGGGGAATGTTGGGATTGGGCGGGTTGGGGATTTGGGTGTGTTGGGCAGGTTGGGGATTTGGGCGGGTTGCTGAAATTCTGTTCCGTGGAAATAGTTCGTGGTGGGGAGCGTGGTGGGGAGCGTTGGTGTAGACTTGGAAGATGAAGATGTGGCTTGAATGAGGGCTTGAATGGGGGACTCAAACTCGAACTGTAGTGGTATCTGGAATAACATTGGGTTGGCTGGCCGTTACGGTGGATAGAGAAAGAATGGGGAACTTAGGAAGTGCCAGCGGGAATTGAGGAAGTTGAGGAGGCTGAATACATAATGCATATGTACAAGATTTTGAGCGTGAGCTGCTGCTTATACACACCTGCAGAATCGAAAGTCAAAAGTCGATGTCATCACGATTCACCACCCCGCATTCCACTAGGGCACTCCTGTAGGGCAGACTTTCCACCAACTCTCAACTCTCCACCTCTGCAACTCAATTCCACTCACCACCCACGGCCCACCCACCGCCCGCCCCCCAGATCGCACCCCCTCCCCCCCCCCTCACCACCACCACCGCCACCACCAGCACCAGCACCAGCACACCATGCCCCCAAAAAAATACCACACCCACTCCAAGCGGCGCCAAGTCCCCACGACCTCGGCCGAGTTCTTCAGCGCCGCAATCGAGTACGAAGAAGCCGGCGACCGGTGGAGCGCCGGCGACGCCAAAAAGGCGCTGCGCTTCTGGGTGCGCGCTGCGGAGGCGTATGAGAGCTCTCTCAACCTGGCACTGGATTTTGACGCGGCGTATAATCTTGCGCGGGTAAGGTTTAGGATTGCTGAAGTTGAGGGGGGGGTGGGGGAGGGGGTGGGGGGTGGGGTGGGAAAAAAAGAGTGGCAGGGTGTGCTACAGGCGCACTATCGTGCGCTGGAGTTGGCCAGGGACGGGGGCGGCAGGGTCGATGTCTTGTTTAATACTGCGCAGGTGCATACGGCTGTTGCGGAGGTGCTGGAGAGGGGGGGTAGCGGGGATGGGGGGGAGGCGGGGGAGGCGGTCGCGCATCTGCTCAAGGCGAGGGATATGTTCGCTGAGTGTTTAAGATGGCAGAGGGGGGTGTTTGAGAGCTACAGTGAGCCTGCGCTGGTTGGGCAGGGGATGGGGATGAGGATGGGGATTGGGATGGGGGCGGGGGACGGGACGGGGGAGGATGAGGATGAGGATATGGAGATGGGCGGGGTGGAGCTGGGCGAGGAGAGGAGGGAGGAGGGGGAGGAGTACGCGGTTATCCAAGAGCCTGTGACAGAGGGCGTGATTGCGGACACCCTCGTGGAACTGCTAAAGACGCTGAGCACACTGCTACCGCTGCTGCCCGATCCGCGCAAAGCAGCTGCATCAGCGTCGGAGCTGTTACAACAACTCCACTTACTGCACGCCTCCCTCCCCTCGCGGCAAACCGAGCTCTCCATCGCCTCGGCAGTCACACAATGCGCGATCGCCGAATCTGCGCACCGCGTCTCGCCCTCCCCCTCCAGCCTCAGCACCTGGGAATCCACCCTAACCAGCGCCTTCTCACCCACCTGGCCGTGGCCGCACTCCCCAGAAGCGCTCTGCGCGAAATCAGACTGCCACATATCCCTCGCTTCGACGGTCCCCGCCGCGGCCTGGCGACACTACGCCCTGTCTTCGCAGGCCCTTGCCGCAGCCGCCAGCCTCGACGGCGGGAAGACCGCGCGGATACATGTGGCGCGCGGCGATACGGAGCTGCTTCGCAGCCGGACTGAGGCGTGTACTCCCGAGACCAGAGCGGTGCTGCGCAGGAATGCGGGCGTGTTTTATCGTGGGGCGGTCAGGCTCGTGGGCGAGAGGGAGGGTAAGACAAAGAGGGAGGCGGAGGTGAAGGAGTTGGCCGTTAGGGTCGAGGATGGGGTGGAAGAGGCGGGCGGGATTAGGGAGGGGGATAGAGGCGCGAGGGAGGTGCTCGAGGAGGCGGTTGAGGAGGGGGTTTTCTTGCCGGGGATCTGGAGTATGGTTACGCGGAAGGCGGAAGAGGTATATACACCCGGCGAGGGCTTGTAGATAGTTGGAGCTGCGGATCTAGATCAACTGGCTGAATCGCTGGACAAGGACACATCTCGATGAGATGGTTACCTCATTGCCGTCGAAAGCAGGACGTAAATCGTAAATCGTACATTCATCCACGGATCTGGGCGGGAGATCGACATGTGGGCTGTCTTAGGGTATGTCCACACGGCGTTCACGGCACCTCTTCTTCGCTCCGCTAGTTAGCTGTACATAGGCGTCCGGGGGTCTCCCAGCTGGATTCGGGCTGTTCCTGGGTAGCTGAGCTCCGGCTCGGCCGGCAATTTCCCGCAGAGCTCTAAATTGAACCTTGCGATTAGGGTGTCAGGGTGATAGATATACGCACTCATCCGCAGTCTTCCGGACCCGCAACGTTATTTCCCGATTAAGCGGATTCTCCGCTGTAATGACGTCGCTGGCCGTTGTGTAGAGTACAGTGTCCTACAGTCCACAGGCCCCGAAACCCGTAGTCTACAGAGCCCATGGCCCTGATCGTGATACCACTTTGAAGTCAATTGGGTACCTACCTGGCAGAGCACATGCGCCGGTAAAACTCCGAGCTCGGGTGGCGATGGCGGATCGATGGCGGATGAGAGCGGGAAGGTACATCCATGATCCATCACGTCGGCCAGCAGTGTGTCGTGTAGATTGTCTCCCCCATTCCGTAGAAGAGGATATAAACCCGCCCCCTCCTGCTCTCCAGACTTCCACTCACCAGCCAGCAGCGCATCAACTTCTTTACACACTCATCAACACCACTACCAATCCATCAACAATGAAGTTCACTACCCTCCTCCTCTCCGCCATCGTCCTCCTCGCGCCCTCGGCCGTGCACGCCGACGACACGCCGGCCCTGTTCGACCTAAGCAGCAGCACCGACGGCCTCGACGGTCTGGTCTGGAACAACGTGATGTTCTCCGGCGGCAACGCCTATGTCGGCAACGTGAAATACGCTTCGTCCTCAGAGCCTCTGCTGCGTATGTCCCCCCTGCCCCTCCCCTCCTCTGTCTCTTATCTAACAGGCCAACGCATATAGTATCCGGCGGCTCCCCCAGCTACGGTATCTCCTTCACGTCGTTCCACGCGACGCCGACGGGGTGGCGCACACTGTACGTATTCGCGAACGCGAGCGCGCCGCTGGCGTTTACGACGCCGCACTCTGCGTCGATCCCTGCGGGCGCGCAGACAGTTGGCTTCGGCAGCTGGGACGGGAAGTTTCAGCTCGACACTGGCAGCGGGCCCGCTGAGATGTGGGTCGCCTGTAAGTCCCCCGAGACGGAGGCGTCGGGAAGTTGGAAGATCAATTGGGATGGAAATGGTACCCTGGCGAAGACGGAGGGGTGCAGTAGGGTTAGTTTGACTGTTGGTAAGGCGACGGAGTGTAGGTATCCTCAGAGCGCGTAGAGCTCGTTGAGGGGGGAGTGTGAGTGGGAGTTTTGTTGGTGAGGTGGTATGGAGGTGGGACGCGGTGGATGGGAATGCAGTGCGGAGGTGGCTGGTATGAGAGCCATCAATATACTAGTAATGCTGTAACAACCCAAAGTTCAAACGCCGTAAATGATGTGAAATGTACAAACATCCGTTCCATCCCATTCACTCGCCCGGATCCATCTCGGCCAACGGGTTTGCATGTATGGTGACGCGCTGTATGCGCACCGGCACCTTGGGGCGATTCTTCTTATCGACCTTGACCTCCTCGATCTTATTGAGCGTCGTATCCGCATACTCGATGACCTATCACACATTAACACCCAACCTCCTAAGACACCCACATCCACCCCGCCCCTTTTCCACTCACCTTCGCAAAAACCGTATTCCTCCCATCCAGATGTACCTGTGGGGCATAACAAACAAAAAACTGACTGCCATTGGTCCCCTCGCCCTTATTCGCCATACTAACCACCCCCCTCGCGTTATGCCTCAGTGCGGGGGATATCTCGTCTTCGAACAATCCTCCCCAGATGCTCTTCCCGCCCTTTCCGGTCTTGAGCTCGCCGTCCCCTGTCTGCACGATGAACCCAGCGAGGTTCCGGTGGAAAGGCACGTCGTCGTAGTAACCGGAGGCGCACAGCGCGAGAAAGTTCTCGCACGTCTTGGGACATGCTTCGCAGTATAGCTCGAGCTTGAGGGGGCCGTGGGTTGTGTGTAGTGTTACCGACATCGTGAGGAAGGGTGGTGAGGGGTGGTGGAGGGGTGCTGGTGTTGATGCTGGTAGTGATGCGTGCGGGGAGTAGGATGTGGGACGACGTGACGGAGCTTCGTGAGGGACGCGTGGGAGGTGCAATGGACGGGTTGCCAAGGAGGGCGTAAAATTGCAGGCATGTCCTGTGCTACTATACTATTAGTAACTACTCTAACACGTGCTGCTTGTGCGACTATCAATCATGAAGGCGCACTCGAGAAGTACAGTCAAGTAGTGCATTGTCTAATCGTCCGAAAACGAAGTCTCGGTCTAGTGGCCTCGTAATGGTACCGATTTGTTGGAAGACAAGTAGCTAAACCGTAAGCCAGTCGGAGATTACAGACTGTGGTCACTGCTGGGCGTAACATGGGTTTGCCGGATGGGGTGTTTATGGGGAGTAGGCATCGATGTGCCGCAATATTCAGAAGCTCATGGATACATATTGGAGAGGGTTAAGCAAGATCATGAAGGCGCACTCGACAACCACAGTCAAGCAGTGCATTGTCTAATCGTCCGGAAAGGAACTCCCGGACTTGTGACCTCGTCAAGGTACAGATTTGTTGGAAGACCAGTCACCAGTCGCTAAATTTTAAGCCAGTCGGCAGTTATAGACTGGGGTCCCTGTTGTGCGTAAATGGGTTTGCCGGATAGAGTGTTTATAGGCAATGATGTGCTGGAATATTGAGGGGCTAGAGGCCATACATTGGAGAGGGTTACGCAAACGCACAAAGGCGCAATCAACAGCTACAATCAGGCGCTGCATTGTCTAATCGTCCGAAAAGGAACTCTCGGTCTTGTGCCCTCGTCAAGGTACTGGTCTTTTGGAAGACCAGTAGCTAAAGCTTAAGCAAGTCGTAGATCACAGACGGCGGTCCCTGTTGTGCGTAAAATGGTTTGGCCGGATGGCGTGTTTATGGGCAACAATGTGCCGGAATATTGAGATGCTCAAGGCCATATATTGGAGACGGTTAAGCAGCCAGCCAGAGAGCTCGTGGAGTGCGGAAGATACGAGATAAGCAGCCAGAGCCTCGTGGTCCGGCGAACGAGAGAGGGCTTTACCACGAGTGACTTCGCAAGCTGGAGTGTAGGCCTCAACCGTGTCCGTCACGAAAAACACGTCGCAACCAGCCCACACAGCGAAAAACGTAGCCCACACCGAGCCCACTAACCCTGACAAATTCGACCGATTAAGCTCGTTCCTTCCGACTTCTTCATAGTTCACTACCAACCAACGACGACTCGACGAGCTCAAACAATACAATCAAAAGGCAATCATCATTTTTCTGAATTATTAATGCAGTAGGTATCGTGGATGAGCTGACTGGATACTGGATAAGTCCCCGTTGCCGGCGTGCAGGTTTTCATCACCGAAGACACCGAGATAGATCTTTGAGTCGGTCGGCTTTGCAGCTTTTGGCTCTCATTGTTGATCAACAAGAACGTACTACGCAGGTGTGTACTCTCTCTCTCTCTCTTTCTCACACTCCACATGTCGCTTCCGGACATGTGGTAGTGTTGTATCAAAACTGACCGAATAAGCCAGTGTTCATCCAGTCCGAAGTTCCATCAGCCGAATCTCGTTCAGTCACTCGTGAGATTTTTGAGTCGGTCTTACAGCTTTCGATCCTCCTCGTGGATCAACAAGAACATACTACGCAGGTGTGTACTCTCTCTCCTTTCTCTCTCTCTTCACTGGTCTCTTCCAGACCAGTTACAGTGTTGTATCAAAACTGACCGAATAAGCCTGTGATCTTTTGGTTCCGATTTCCATCAGCCGAATCTCGTTCACTCACTCGAGTAGAAAAGTTCTCAACCACCAGCAACGTAAGTACATTACCAAACCCACCATTTCATCTCTTCTTCGAGATGGCGTCACATTATGGATGGGCTGACAGGTCACAGAATACGACGAAAAGACGACTTCAAGCTTCTGACACCAGTCCAACAGAAAGCGCCCGCGATGTCCGACAACGACACCGACAGCGACAACCAATTTGTCCGCTACCAAGAAGAAGCAGAAGATTTCGCCGCCGTCTCCCAGAACCAAACGCGCATCTGCCGTGGAATGGGCACAGAGGTCAAAGAGAGTATTGAAGAATACGTCGATACGTTCCAGGAAGTCTTGAGTACCTTCCAAGGAATGGTGGGGGCCAACGACACCGAGAAATGCCTGGTGCTGCAATGGAACGCTTTCAAATCTGAGCTTCTCCGCATCATGGGCGAGAAGATATGCGTTGCTCTCGACGACACTAGGAGTGATCTATACAAGGAATCGAAGCTGCGGGATCTGGATCAGAAGACTGTGGATGTGCAGGAGCAGATCAGGAAGATCGAGAAGCAGCTCGAGCTCATCAGGACTAGCAAGAAACAGGAGAAGGAGGAGAATCAAGAACATCCGCCCAAAGAGAAGGAGCAGGTTGAGAATTACGAACAGCCGCCGACCGAGGAACAGGAAAATGTCGACAATTCCGGACAGCCGCTCGCTGAGGATGTCAAGAACCTTTAGGTTTTCATCTGATACGTCCCGACTCCCGAGGATGTCACGAACGATTTGGGGTTCACCTGATGCGTCTATAGATCAAGTGTTCTGCTGGGATAACAATGTCACTGGGTTTCGACGGTTGAATAAGTGCTCCACATTGATCTTCTCCATCATCCAAACTGTGATCCCCGTCCATCGTAGATTCGTAATTTCGTATTGTCTTCTGGGCAAGTATCAGGGCTCACTGCTCTTCTCCCACTCGCTCCACACGTCGTGAGAAAAACATCACAGCCCTTCCACCCTAATACCTAGGTTGTTAGCATCTCCCCTGTCCGTAAAATCGGCGACCTGGTAGGTACTTACTCTATAAGTAGGGCGATTCACACGTCCTCACTCGTGGATCTTCGTCAATGAGGGGACGGCTCCAAACCAGCTACAAGAGAGGAAGAGCAATATGTAGACTTCTGCAGTGCGTTTTGACTCCGCGGAAAACAGTGGTAACATGCAGACGGCCCGAGACGGGGGAGAGCAGTGTGCTGCGGCATGCAGTATCACTCGCTGACAACCGCCAATCGGGAGCATGGTTTGCAAAAGATTGAGATAATTTATACAGGCCATATGCGACAACAAATTGATGTTTGCTCTCTCCAATTGATGTTTTCTCTCTCTCAAAGGATTGAATCAAACCGAGACGCTACTGGCGTTGTTTGTAGCGCTCGTGGTGAAGGGTAACGGCAAACCGAAGCCAAACCGAAGCCAAACCGAAGCCAAGCCAAGCCGCGCCGCACCGCACATTTTCACCGCCACTAGTCCGCACCGAAATTTTCACCGGTAGTTGAGCCGCGCCGGCCCAAGTATAAAAGTCCCTTTCTCCCCCAACTTTCAAACCTCATGCGATTTTACTTCATAGTGAGTACCCCCCAACAGCCACCTCCATTTCCGCGCCTCCACCACCAAACAGAGTACTAACCCCCACATCAGGGATCATTTCTATAGTAAATCGTCTCATCTGAACTCTTTACAAGAGCCACAGAATCTCCAACCTGGACGATGATCTATTTCCTCGCGGCCCCAGAGTGAAGCCTGTTTTGCCGGTCCTTAGGGACGGGTGGGTGATGATCTCAACCTGAGTTCCCGTATACTGTGCTTTCGAGTGCGGTGGGGACGAGGGTGGGCGGCGATGGAGGTCTGACAGGCGGTGCTCTTTTTCTTTTCTTTTTCATCTGCTGCTAGGCTTTCTTTCAAAAGAGAAAGGCGTGGGGTTGAGGAAAGAGATTTGGATAGTAGAGTAGCGGGGAAAGATGGGGGGTGGAGTGAGTGAGGTTAAGAATAGGATATATCTATAATCTTACACAGACGATGGCCAAACATTTCATGAACCCCGAGATCCGTCTTTTCCATGTGCTTGAAACCGAATCATCGTGACCGCCGAGTGATACATAAATATACTAGTATGTACGCACATCTGTCAGAAGCAGCGTCACGTTTCGCCCGCCCAAAGTCATCCCAAGCATGGGCTCTATGTATGAAAGCCAGCGCGCATGTACCGTATGTACCTCCCGGTGTCTTCACATTTCGCCACCGGTTTAGATACCTACTTCCCACCCATCCATCGCATCAATCCATCTCCACATCCCACTCGGCCGGCAGTTGAGTTGCATTTAACCATTGGAGCGAACAAATCCACACAATCTGGCTGATATGGCTGTTTGGGTTAGTTCTGTATGTACATACCGTACGTGACGATCTGCAAAATCTGCAGCGGTTTTCTGTCGCACGTGGAACTCACAGCAGCCAGCAGCAGCCAGCAGCGACGGCAGTAGTTAGCAACGGGAAGAATATCCAACGTGGTGGTGGTGGTGGGGGGGGGATGCTTGACTTCTTCGCATGTGGTAGCACAAGACTTCTTTGCAAGGGGGCGATGGGCTAGGCCTTACTCTACCGTACTCGGGAGTGCATAAGTTCAGGGTCCAAAGTTCAAAGTTCAAACCCACATCGACTGCCTACCTGCCTGTCTGCCTATGGACTGCCCGATGAGCGATTTCCGAGCGTGTCGGCTTGTGGCTCCGGTGGAGTGGAGGATTGTGGATGCCTCGTCGACGTTTGTGGCCAATGGCCTTACGAGCTGCCCTGACGGCGACAATTCACAGGTGTCGATCGGCGGCGGGTTCTTCGGCGCGGGGAGCGGTGAAAAGTGACTGCGTGAATGTGCGCCGATGCCGGTCCGAAGCTGTATGTACAATACCTACTCTAGGTGGAGCTGTCCACTCATGACATCGCCATGTGGCTGGTTGACGGGTGATCACCGACCAAGGCTGTGAGTAGGTAGATGGTCAACAGGAGGAGGAGGTGGGACGGCCCAGTCTACGGAGTCTCGGGTTCCCATGGTAAGCCGTTCCTACCGCGCCGTCCAGAGGCGGCGAGGAACGAGAAACCCACAATCCCGCAGAACCACTGAAGTCTGGCCTTTAACCACTCGTCCGCGCTGTCGACGGTGGCAGGCGCGGTCACGACCGCGCACTCGTGCCAAGCAGCTGCTCCCTCCAGATGTGGCGCTAACCTCGTACGGGACGAATACCGAATGATGAACGGAAAAAAGCACCGCTAACGAACCATCTAGGTAGCTAGCCCTGGAGAGGGCCGACTGGACATATCAAACTTATGCAAGCCACCACAGATCACAATCTGGCGTGTGGGTGGCCTGTTTTCCTGGTGTCTCTTACGAATCGGAATCAATCAGATGTGTTGCAGTATTCCGTCTGTCCTCCGCCGCTGCCATAGTATGATATGTACCCTCGGTGGTATATATGCGACGGGCAGTCGCGGGTAGGTGACGCTACTATAGAGGCAGGAGCATAGAGCTGTGGTGGGTCGGTCGGCGATCTAGAGCGCCCATGGACTTGGAGCGGCTCCACTCGATTTTCCACGCACAGAATCCCATGCCTCTGCAGTATCAGATTCAGAAACCCGATGTCGATGATGGGGCTACGATATGTGCGGTACTCTACATAGTTGAAGGTGGCCAGACAGGGCCCCTAGATAGGGATAAGGATAGGGAAAAATGCCCAGGTTATCGTTATCGTATGTAGTGTGCGTCTCGCCTCTTTGTCTGCCTTGTTGGTTGCCGTTTCAGTTTCGTGTCCAGACTCCACTCCAGAGTTCTCATGTATACTTAGTACACAGGTATGCTCCCTATGAATCCACGGAGAAGAATTTGGGGCTCGTCGGTCTCGATCGTCCGGAGTGGTTGGCCGTCCACTGCAGCCATCGTTAGTTATGCTGCAGGCCTCAAGCCTCAAGCCTCAAACATCAGAGCTCAGGCCTCAGGCCTCAGGTTCGGAGTAATGGGTGGCATGGTTCTTGACACTGGGGAATCCCCTTTCGAACATACACAAGGCGAACCGTACTGTAGCAGAATCCCTAGAGTATGTTTCTGACAGCCGCCTGAGTATTAGAGCTCCTTCTTCTTTCCGATCACCAGAGCGGCGCGGGCGGTGGCAGATTATGACAACTGTGCACGCGTTATGCAGCAATGGGGAAGATTCCGTACCTGTATGATTCAGTACATAAATCGTGCTGGATTTCCAGTAGCAGTCGCGGCATGGCCGTAAGGTTCGGATTTGAAGAAGGGCCTAGTGAATGGTTTGATAGGTTCATGCATTCCGCAGAACGAAGCCTTTGGTACCCAGCCGTTCTGGCCCCACAGGCCGGCTAGTCCAGAGCGGGTACTCTACATGTAGACAGGTTCCCGTGGACATCCGCCCGCCTCACACATAGATTTGAGAACGTGAACCGCACCACCACCACCACCGCCGACCCGCCGCCACCACCACCACTACGGTTACAAAAGCACTGGGTATGGATGCTGAACCAATGGGCTGCGTAGTGGCGGTCCACCCTTCTCGGAGACGAGATCTACAACCTGTTTGTGGACGAGGCGCGTATCAATCTATGTCTCACTCCACAGGAGGGAGTCCACAACGAGACATGCATATCCCCACCAGCAAATTACCGCTGGGTTCACCGGGCACTTCTCAAAACGTGCTGAGCTTCGCCCCCTCCGTAGTGTGGTGCGGGGCATGGCGAGAATCGGATCCATCACAAATAGTTCGTTGGCGGGGGGAGGTGTGGTGGTGGGGGAGAGGGGGAGGGGGAAGGGACGAACGAGTCCCGCCCGATCCGGGGATGTGTCCAGCCGGATACGACGGTTCCGCCGGACATCGATCGGCCATCAAGCAGCAGTTGCTTCGACGAGGGAGGGAATCCCACTGGTTCGTTCGCCCACGCGGAGCCTCCAGGTCGGTCGAGAACATTTGCTCTGCGTCTCTACGTTTCTTGGGAGCTGGCTGCAGGCAGCTAAAAGCGTACAGCGGACATGTGTGCGCCAGGCGGGGCCAGTTCGGAATCCGCTCGAGCCTTTCCCCTCTGCACTGTAAATCCCCTCCGTTCTCTGCAAATCCCCTCCGTTCTCTGCAAATCCCCCTCCGTACGGCAAATCCCCTTCCCCTTTCCCCTCGCCAAACCTTCCCTGTCCGGCCTGCCAACGAAAAAAAGCGAGCTGAATAGTCCCTAGGAGCAGTAAGGGCGTTTTCGGCAATCTGGTGCACTCCTCCATCTCAGCTCGAAATTCCTCCGCTCCACCGCTCCACCGCCCCACCCCCCCACCCCCCATCTTCTTTCGTCACTCACTCAGTCAGTCAGTCGAAAGCGTGGCAATTGTGCGATTATCCGTGGGTAGCGGGCAAATCCTTCCTCATACTGCCCTCCTCCTTCCCCTTCCACAAGTTCGGGCGCGCCCCACAGACGAGTTACGGCCCATCAGTCGCCATCTCGGCCATTCCCCGCCCCCACCCCATCCGACACTATGGCCGAACCACACATTTTCCCCACACCGTTCGTGGTCTCTCCGATAGGCGAGCACACGCACACGCTCATCCTTCTCCATGGCCGAGGTGACAGCGGGCCCTCGTTCGGCTCGGGCCTGTACATCGCCACCCCCTCCAGCGGGTTTAGCCTGCCGTCGCTGTACCCAGGCCTCAAATTCATGTTCCCGACCACGGCGGTGCGCTACTCGACCACGTTCAGGGAGGACATGAACGAGTGGTTCGACACGGCGTCGCTCACCTTCCCCGAGGAGCAGGGCCACCTGCAGCGAGAGGGCTTGCGGGAAGCTGTGATCCACCTCTCGGCCCTGATCGAGGCCGAGGTGCGCAACGGTATCCCGCACGACCATATCATCGTCGGAGGCATCAGCCAGGGCTGCGCAACCGCCCTGCACGTGCTCCTTGCGCTCGGCCATCAGCTCGGCGGCTTCGTGGGGATGAGCGGGTGGTTACCGTTTGCCAGCAACATCCGGGAGATCTGCGGACTCGGGTCCGGCGCCGGACTGAGGGCGTCAGCGGCAAGGCCGAATGATACCGACGACGATAGTGAGAGCGAGGAGGAGTATGAGGAGGAAGAGGAGGAGGAGGATGAGAAGGCCGGGGGCGCCGAGGCCGATCATATCGATGCTGTTCTGAAGATGCAGTGGGGATCGGGCCGGAAACTCCGATATCCCACGCCGTCCGCTGCGAAGCAGGTGGAGGCGTTGGCGTTCGTGAGGGAGAATTTGTCGATGCCGCCGCCGCCGTCGGGGGTCTCGCCGCTGAATGCTCTCAAGACCCCGTGTTTCCTCGCCCATGGCGATGAGGACGAGACTGTGGACTACAAGCTGGGAAGGAATATATACAGTGCGCTCCGACACGGACTAGGGATGGACGTTACGTGGAAACGATACAAGGAGTTTGGACATTGGTACAAGGTTCGTTGCTGTCCGGTCTCGTCCTCACCGCTTCCTGTTGTACCCGATGTATCCCCCTCCATATGGATGTGGGGCGAAGAACGAGAGAGAAAGAGAGAGATGATGATAATGATGATGACTGATGAGATTTCCTCGTAATCAGGAGCCAGACGAGATCGATGATATTGTGGAATTCTTGGGTGAAAAGTGCGGGCTTATCCCTCAATGAATCGACGGGAACGGTGCGGGCCGGGCCGGGCGCCGAGCGGGGCGAGTGGACTTCATTTTGACGTATGACCAATCAGAGTGGGGGAAAAGTTTTCGGCAAGCAACGGGCGGGAGTTAGTATCGACAATGGGGGCGATGGATTGAACGATGGAGGGGACAGGGCGGTGATGTACAGGAAAGAGTTGTCCTATTTACTTAGAGCATACTTCGGTTCGGTCGGGAGGTTTCATGTTGGTGCTTGCGTCTATTTTTTTTCCTGGTATGTACTTACATCGTTTTGGAGTGTTCTCCCATAATCAGACATGGCGATGTCAAGTGCCAAAGCGGCGACAGACCGGCAACGGGCCGGCGACATCATCGCCGACACTCGCCCGCTCTTACCCGCTCTTGCCCGCCCGCCCTCCCCCTAGCATTTTATTCGGCCTCCCACCAGCTTAAAATATCCTCCCTCCCTCTCGACATCCGTCTTTTACCCGACTCCACTGCGAACAACACCAACCACAGGATACGACAGAGGGCACAACTACGAGAAATACCGGCTGCAGAAGCGCGGGCATCTGCAGACTGCAGCTCCACACGTTGCGTTGGAAACAGTCTTAGACAGAAGTGCCACACGACATAGCAAGCGACATACGACATACGAACAGGATATACCTACGAGAAGAAGAAGGTATCTAGGTAAGTGGGCGAGTGATGGACTGGTGGACGGGTGGGTGGGTGGGTGTGGCATATCTATATAGTGGGGCTGATAAATTTCGCAGAGAACGGGAGGAAATACGACATACGAGCTAGCAGTTCTTCCAACATACCTACCATACCGTCTTTGCGAAGGAGAAGGTAAAGACGTTGTGACAGGTGTGTAGGGTGAATCGATCCAGGAAGACAGGGCGCCCGTCTGATCAATCGCCGGCCAGAAGAAGTTCACGAAGAGGGGTCTTTCACACTACCCAAAGCTCGACGACGACAAGACCATAGGTGGGTAAATCCAACTCGCGGAAAACGACTAGTAGTATCAGAATTTGACAGATGACCGGGAAAGCCACCAGGAGAGCTCGGAGACTTCCCTATATCTCAGACTTCGGACCCGAAAAGACACAGCACAAGTTCATTGCTCAAGGTGAGTCGGTACTACATGTCTCGCAGGTTTTGCGAGTCTTCAGAAGCTCAGATCAGGTAGACTAACGGCCCCGTTCAGGTCCCCTTCCTCATCACGAAGAAGCTCACCGACCTGTCCAGCTTCTCCAACTCACTCGAGCAGAACCCGCACCATCACCCAGCCTCCTCTCAAGTTTCCATCAGCAGTCTTCTTCCCTCCCCCCTCACCAAGCAGCCATGTCTGTCTCCGGCATATTCCGCTACTACCCGCTGCGGTCGCCCAAGCCCTCCGAGATCGCAAAGATGGACTTCACAGAGCTTCTATCGCACATCACGTCGCGCAAGCTGACACGTCGGGGCTCACAATTCATATTCCAGGCGCTATGCCAGCGTGCGACGGTGCCGCTGCTGTCGCTCGCGGAGCTGCACGAGTGCATCCGTGCGCTGCATGTGCGCCTCAAAGTGAAAAAGAAGAAGGACCCCAGATTCATCGACGATAAGTGCAAGAATAGCGAGGATGAGCGCTTGGATGATGAGGAGTGCGTGCTCATCGGCGGTGAGGAGTGGTGGGGTTAGTATGTGCATCCCGTGCGTGTGTTTTTCTTGGTGGGTGGGGTGCGTGGGTGGGGGTGCGTGGAGAGCAAGGCTAAGGTGCGCGGTGATACTAGATGCCCGCCCCGTTGACGAGGAGAAGGCGAGGAGGGAGATGGCGGTGCGCAGGACGAGGGTGCTGGCGTGGCTGCAAAAGTTGGATGAGAAGGAACCGGTGCCGGAGGGAATTGATTTCTGGTTTTACTTGGCTCTGAGGGAGAGAGAGAAGCCGAATGAAGCTGGATAGGTACCTACCGTATCCGTACTACTACCTATGGCTTTGGGCATTCGATTTTCCTTACCTGCTTACTTACATACCTATACCCTTGAGCTCCGTGTGCCGATGGTTTGAGTGGTTGGCTATACTCCCTATATAGTAGGTAGTAATCATCGTTCACTTGTGCTTGAATCCTCAACTTCAACTTTTGGTGGAACTCGGGGTTCCTGTTCGCTCTGAATCTGGGTGTTCCCCCCCCCCCCCCAGATTTTGGTGGAGAGAATACAAGCTCAAGTTACTGTACATACTTCAGGACTTACATGGGTTCGTTTCTTTGGCGGATGGCTTGCGCCTGATGGCTCAGAGCATAAGCAGGGTAGGTACCTTCACACACCCACACAGTAGAGGTCTCGCCCGTGAATATGGGAATATCGAATCAAATCAACCTAGGCTACTGATTTAGACCTGTATCGACGGGGCGCCGGAGAACCGCAGCCCAAACATAGCGAATCTGTTGCCCAGCTGGCGAGGAATCCGTCTCGGATTTTCGGGCCAATTCACCCGCTCTATGAGCGGTTACAATCACGTGAAGGAATATCACAGCAACTTCCGCCTCGCCTGGCAATTTCCCGTGTCATTCATTAATCATATTCCCCCCTCCCCAGCATATCCTAACGGTGTACCCCCTCCACAAGTTCCAAAATTTCTCCCAACCCCATCGGCCTCCACATCTCCTTGTCCTTACGGTCCTGGCACCACACAACGTCGCCACGGAAGTAACATACCACGCCTCCAGCACCACTCGCGCTCGCCGTAATCCTGAATAGCGGGCTCCCGCTTCCATCGTGTGCCTTCCGTAGTGGAATGAGCAGAACATTGTGTTCCGCACACCAGTCCTCGACCACGTCTCTGAATGTTGTTTCCTTCAGCTCGCCTGGGGGTTGTGGCTTGAGCGGTGGCGGGACTTCCTTGGTGGTAGTGCGGGAGGACTTGACAAGACCGGCGGCGGGCATGGGCAGTTCTTTGGCTGCGCGGTCGCCAAGGTCAAGAGCATCGTTCACCATGTCTAGTCCTTTCCGGAAGCCTTCAATGACAGCGGGAGAAGCGCGGACGTCCGCAGGGAAGACATCCTGCCAGAAGAGGTACCACTGCTGAACTTCGGTAAAGACCGGGTCGGCGGTGAGCCACTGGTGTAGGATGGATAGCCACTTCGGGAAAAATTCTGCGTCCATGAGGCGGCCGAGGGTGGAAGGTTTGAAGAAGTCGGACCATTTAAAGACGTCTTCGAGTGGCTGGAGGATCTGGTCGGCGGGGTTTATTTCGAAGTCGGCGCGAAGGCGCACGGCGAGGCGTGGTAGGAGGTGGCGGATTAGGATTTGCTCCAGCTTGTCCGTGCCGAAGACTTCCTTCCACGCTTCAAGACCTTCGATTGTGCCGCGAGAAAGATCCCATGTGTCGAGGATCACGCCAAATTTGGTGCGCATTTCACGGAGGATCTCGTCCATGTTGTGCCCACCTAGATATGGCAGCCATTGAAACACCCAGATGTGGGGAGGCGGTGTTCGTTTCTTCTTTTGGAGACGGGGATTCCATGCGGTCACGGCAGCGCGGAGTTTCGGGAAGATGATCTGGCCGAGGATGTTGGACTGTATGTAAGATGGGATTACAGAACTCCAAATATCGAGGAGGGATATGACCGGTGCCGGCTTGTGGACATCCCACTCGTTGTTGATGACTGCACGCACTTTAGGGAGCCACAGAGTCAAAATCATGCTCTCGTATGGTGTTGCGTATTTGCTGCGTTCAATAAACCCGTTCTTGGAATACTCGTATTCAAGATCTTCTCTCGAACGGATAGCAAAGACTCTGCTTAAACGGCGGAAATAGTCTCGATACATGAAAGGATCCTTGAGAGGTTGCCAATCTGCTAGCTCTGCTTTGAACTGCAAAACAGTTAGTATTGGATTAGATAGGGGAATGGAAAGAATGAACGTACCAATGGATGCAACGCGGAAACAGCTAGGTCGGACAAGTCGTGACTTTCAATCTCGTTCTTGAACTCTACCTGTAGCATTTCAAGCTGAACCACAAGTGCCTCTATAGCCTCGGACCCGGCTGTTCGCTGCAGCGACAAGGCTTGCAGTGTCTTCGCAATGTTGACCATGTCGTCCAGCCGTTTCAACTCGGCAACCTGCGCATCAATCTCAGCACCAAGTCGCGATTCCTCCTTATCGATGAATGCTTTTCGATCTTGTAGTCCCTTCCACTCCCCTGCGAAGCTTTCCAAGTCTCTCCTTGCCATCTTTGCGAGTTTCGTGTTCTCGTCGTCCATCGACGGCGCCTGCACCATGAGTCCAGTAGCCGACGACAAAAGCTTCTGCTCTTTGCCGGTGAAATCGATGATGTTTTTCAGCGATGATGGAATCTCCAAGCCCTCAACACTCGCCGAAATCTCTTCTGCCGTCTTAAACCTCGTCTTCTCCTTCCTGATCCTCAACGGTGTCGAGCTGGGTGTGGTTTCGGTAGACCCAGCATGCTTCTTCCTCCGTGCCTTCTTCTTCTCTTCCTCGCTGTCCGACAAGATCTCTCCTCGCAGAAGAGCTGCCCTCCGAGCCTCTTTCTTCTCCTGCTCTGACATTTCCCTGACCGCACCGACACCAACACCCTGAGGTCTCACTTTGGGTGCTACCGGCTCGAGTCGACCCTGACCGGCCTTTCCGAGACCTTCCCCCGTCTTGTAGCCCATCTTTGCCATCATCCTTGCGGCAAAACTGTTAGGATTCACAGCGAGTATCCCATCGGAGTCATTTCCACGACCTTTGCCTTTGCTCTTCCGTCCGGTTGGATCTGGTGTGCCAAACGCGCTAGGGCGTACAACAGGGGGTGCTTCGTAAGATGGCGCTGCTGGATTGAACTTAGGAGTCGCAGCCCGTGCTGCTGCTGAGGAGGAAACGAATCCTCTACCGAAAGGCGCCGGGTTCTGTAGTGTGCTACTGGTAGCTTCGGGCGTGGAAGCACCCGGCCGGAAGCCTAGACCCGAGTGCGCGTCGATGGACCGAGGGGTAGAGGTTCCCGAAGCCGCCGCCGATTCGCCGCTAGATCCCGCACCGGCATCGAGACCTCTGTTATGCTTGCTGAATGCGCGGCCGCCCAGACCGAGCCGTGGTCGGTCCTGTGGTACGAAATAGTCTTCTTCCATCATGTCTTCATCCTGCGTCGCCGCCGGTTGGAAGCTCGGGGGCACAAAATGATTCCCTCTGGCACCCAGTCCCAACGTCGGTCGCTCGTCCTCTTCCTCTTCCTCTTCTTCCTCCGTAGCTTTTGCCCCCGAAAACCCCAGCCCGCTACTAGTCTTCACTCTCGCCTCCTCTTCATAGTCAATCTCCTCATCATCATCCTCCTCCTCAACGTTCTGCCCAGCACTAACGAAGCCCATTCCACGACTTCTTAAATTCTTCGATTTCCACGCGCCGCCCCTTCCGGGCCTCTCATCCTCACTCTCACTGCCAAACACTCCGAGTGCCACCGCCTCTCGCGCTTCCTTCCCCGTCCGTCGCCGTTTGTGTCGGTGGCCACCGCGACCGGCAAATTGATTTGCTTCATCTTGTTCGTCCTGGGTCGCGCCGGGGAGAAGGACCTCGTCTTCGTCGCCGCTGCCGCTGTCGGAGTCGGATGCGTACTCGTCCAGAAAAGTCTTTCGTCTGCCCATTATGCTGTCGTCACGCGTTGGGTCGTGGGTGTTGCTTGCTGTTGGCGTTGACGTGTTTTGTGAGCAGGGCGAAGGAGCTTGACGACAGTTGCATCGATCGGTTGGCGCTAGACAGTTTTTAGCGTAGCCCGTTGACACCAATAACGACAACGTTGAGCTTCTCTGTTCTTCCACAATTCACCACCAACAATTCACGAACAACCTACGAGATGTCCTACCGCCAACACGACGTCGAAGACCGTACCTCTCGCAAACGTACGCGCTCGAGCTCCCCCCCACCATGGCGTAAAGAAAAAGAAGCGCATCGGTCGTCGCGGCCCGACGAAGCCAGCGGCGGTGGTGACGACGACCGTCGTCGGCACGATCGGAACATGAAAGAGCAGACACGACTCAACGCTCTACAGGAAGCAGAGCAGGCACGTCAGTGGGTTCAGCAGGAGGATGTGTTTGTACTTAAGCAGGCAAAGAAGAAGGCGGAGATTCGGGTGAAGGAGGGCCGTGCGAAGCCGATTGACTGGCTTGCGGTGAATCTGCGCGTCATTGATGATACGGAACGGAATCCGCTTGAAGATGAGATCCCAGACGATGATCTAGATGTCGTTGATCCGGAGAGTATACTGGAAAACCTGGGGGAGAAGGAGCTCGCAGAGTTGCAGACGGATATCGAGGCGTACATTTCGCTCGAGACCAACCGGGTTAATAATGAGTTCTGGAGGGTGGGGTTATTCTACATGCGCGGGTTCGTGGCAGAGGAACGCTGACGATATATTCAGACTATGAAGATCCTATGCGCCGACCGCCGCTCGAAGCTGAGTAGCGTCAACCCGGACGGAAACCGTGCAGTCGGTTCGGTTGCAAGCGACGTCGACAAGCTTCTCGGCAGCAAAACGCTCTCGGAACTCGAAACACTAGAGGAACAGATTGTGAAGAAACTCAATTCCAATGAGCCTATCGACGTCGACTACTGGAATGAGCTTCTGCGCAGCTTGCGCATCTGGAAAGCTAAAGCTAGTCTCAAGAACGTCTACTCACGCGTCATCGCTAACCGCCTTGCAATATTGCGGAAACAGCAGCAGGAAGAGGCGGAGACGGTACGCCAGAAGTTAGAAGCAATTCTCGGGCCAAAAGACGTGGTCGAGGAAGGAAGCGAGAACCCAAACACCGAGAAGGCATACCGCGACGCGCCTCTCGTGCTCTACTCCCGCGAGATGGATCCAGAGCCTTTGCTGAAGCTCCGGTACGAAGACAAAGGCTTCGAGGTTATGGATGAGAAAGAATTTCTCGCCTCGATAACGGCGAAGCGAAAGAAGATCCACAAAATGGGCTATGTCCCGCACAAGCCTCGCCCGCAAGACAAGGTTGTGTCCACCAAATCTCTCTGGCCTACATCTCCCTCGAAGCCCGAGTCCTCAACAGCAGTCGCCCCTACCTCACGCTTCGCAGCAGTTTTTAACGATGATTTCTCGCAAGCCACCAAGGCACTCTATGAGCGAGAAGTTGCTCGCGGCGTCTCCGACAACGAAGAGATCTTTACCGGCGAGGAAGAAGTGTCCACCGCCAAACCCGCCTGGGCGGACAAATACCGCCCCCGCAAGCCCCGCTACTTCAACCGCGTGCAGATGGGCTACGAATGGAACAAATACAATCAGACACACTACGACCACGACAACCCACCGCCCAAGGTCGTCCAGGGGTACAAATTCAATATCTTCTACCCAGATCTCATCGACAAATCGAAGGCGCCAACCTACCGGATCGAGCGAGAAGGAGGGAGGAAGCGTGGGCAAAGCTTTGCGCCCGCGGGTGAAGAGGATACGTGTCTCATCCGCTTCATTGCCGGTCCGCCGTACGAAGACATCGCGTTTCGGATCGTGGATAAGGAGTGGGATTACTCTGCGAAGCGGGAGCGCGGGTTTAAGAGTAGCTTCGAGAAAGGGATTCTCCAGCTGCATTTCCAGCTCAAGAAGATTTACTACCGCAAATGAGGAGGGGCCAGTAGGGGTTTGGTTGGACTTTCCTTGGTGTTGTTGGGCGTGTTTTAGTTGTTTTCTTGTATGAATTGAATGAATGAAGAGAGAGAGAAGGGGAGAGGGAGCTTCGTGATATTCGTATGTATCGCTAGAGGTCGCATTAGGTGACGGCAACAGATCTTCTTGCCGGCCAAGCGATGTTCATTGGTCATTGGTCACTGGTCACTGCTATACTCAGAAAGTGTATGTACCGTATAACTAACTAGAACCAGAGGGAGCAGTGGACTCTAAGCGCTGTGGCGTGGACGAAAATCGCATATTGAACTGCGAGCCTTTTTGTCTCAGGTGGTGAGTTGCTGCAGAAATCTATTGGTCGATTGGGTACCAATCAGTCGGAACACGTATCTGGGTCTGTAAGTACGCCGTGTATTCTTTCTCAGCCCTTCAATCGTTTGGACGTGCGGGGTGATTCACAGTCTCCATCTATCCCAAAAGCCTCATTCTTACAACCAACAGCACCCCTACAATCAAGACAACAATGCCAAAGGAAATAGGCCTCAGGCTCCGAAGATCGATTCTCTGCTGCTCTAGGCCACCGTCGACGGATCTTGCAGGCACCGGCCCCAACTCCCGCATCGCGCAAGCATCCAGTGGGAATACTACAAGGTGGGTGGCGCGTCATGTCGCAATGCTACAGGGAAACTAATGGGTTTTCTACGTTGTTATCTTGAAGCCCAGGTGCGGCTACGACTCCGAATACCGTGGCGCAAGCGGTGGATCCTCAAAGCAGTGCACCTCCCCTCGCAACACCTTTGGTCCCGCGAGTTCTTCCTGCGCCGTATTGTGGGTCTCCGAGTGGCTCTACACCTCCGCCTCAAAAAACTGCTGCTCCGACAGGTCCACCGGGTATTGGATCCCGAACAACCTCACCCGCCTTGCAAACCCGGGATGACGCCCCCTACGCCCTGGCCGCACTACTTGATCATACGGACCCTGCGGATGATATATTCCGCGAGGAGCTCCAGCGACACAACGACGAGCTCAGTGCTGCCCAGAGAACCGCTTTCCTTGGTGCTTCAGCCGTCGAGTTGCTTGGTGTGGTCCAGGACCTCAATCAGCAGCACCACACTGACAGCGTCCTCCGTGAGCCCATCATCAAGGCCCAGCGCTTTTTACAGGCGACGGATGGCTACCTGAAGGTACTGGCGGTTCCGGCGCAGTTCAGCCAGGTCGCGCAAGTGGTAGTTGGCGGGCTCAAGATCTTTATCGATGTATGTTGTTGCCTGGCGGTGCGATAGTATGGTATTCATGAAATGCTGATACAAGGCCGGCGGTGGTAGATTGGAACGAGGTATGCGGGGTTCTTTGATAAGCTAGCAGAGACGATTTCCTTGATGAGTGAGAATCTGGAGTACCTATCGCGTTACGGCAAACTCTACAGCGGGTATTCAGAGGTGAAAACGGTGAGACTATTCTTCTCTTTCGCGTGTGGATGTGCTGATTGATGGTGTAGGCACTTCGCGACGCGTACGGGGATCTCATCATGTTTTTCAAGACTGCTTGCGGGATATTCGTGAAGGAGGACGGAACGTTGAATGGTATGTTATGCACGGGATATCTACCGGAAAAAGAACTAAGCACAACGTGATAGACAAGATATCGGCCAGGGTATTTTTCAAACAGTTGTCGAGCCCACTGGAGGACACGTTCGACGAAATCAATAAGCGCTTCAACGAGCATATAATGAAGATCGAGAAGACGGCAAACATTATGGAGAAGGGGAGGCAGCTGTTGCAGGAGGCATTGAACGCGCGGAAAACTGCAAGTATGTACATACGAATCTGCAAAAGTTGAGGATCCGAGTGCTCAAGAGAGCCGGCTAACAAGAGAGACCACGAACGACGGAGCCAATTAGCGTGGCTGTCAAACCTGGAGCCCGAGGATGACTTCGAGAGGTATTTCGTGCAGAGACATCCGGGAACGGGGATGTGGTTGGTTGAGTTGACGGAGTTGAAAGAGTGGATTGATGACGTGAAGCATTGCCTTTTGTGGTGTCATGGCTCTGGTACGTCGTCGGGTCTCCATCTTGTATTCGTTTTCTAACCCGTAACTAGCCGGCGTAGGGAAATCTGTTATTGCGTGAGTGAAGAACTTTACTCTCTTGTCTCAGAGTAAATGCTCATTTCATGTGATAGATCCATCGTTATAGAGGAGACGAGGTCCCTATATCTACTTGACCCCCGTGTTGGGATTGCCTTTTTCTTTTTCAGCTTTCAGGCCGAGTCGACGCCTGTCCAGATATTATCAACATTGATCAAACAACTCTGCCGTCGAACAAAGGATATCCCTCAGCACATATTGGATCTCTACACTCGATGCACATCCGATGACCGCGCCCCGCGATTGACAGAGCTTGAAGACCACTTCGAGAAGACGATCGGATGTTTCGACCAGGTCTTTCTCGTGATAGACGCGATGGACGAGTGCAAGAAGGACTACCGCAAAAGTTTACTCGTATACATAGTGCGCATCTTCCAGAGCTCACCGAGAAAGCTGAAGTTGTTCGTAACCAGCCGCCCGGAGCCGGATATCAAGGAGGCCTTTGGGTCGGAGACATTCAGAACCATTACGGTCGAGGCGACGAAGGTGAAAGCCGATACGGCATCCTACGTAACATATGAACTGGAGAATCGCAGTCATCCTTATTATAATATTCACACGGATTCTAGTCTGAAGAAGCAAGTGGAGGACGCGCTGGTGAATCAATCGAACGGAATGTAAGACGTATCCTAGCACAGCTTTTTTTTTAACGACAGTACTGACATTGAGAAGGTTTCTGTGGGTGAAATTTCAACTGGACCACATCTTTGAGCTGCCGTCAAAGCTTGATATTCAAAACGCATTGCAACGGCTCCCTACCAACATGACATCAACCTACCACCGTATCCTGATGAAGATCAAATCTCAACACCCCACAATGGTGGAATTAGCTCGGCGAGCGTTGGTCTGGGTGATCACGGCGACGCGGCCGCTCAATACTGGAGAGTTGGCTATTGTGATAGCCATTGAATCGACAACGAGAAAACTCGAAGAGCTCAAAGGGAAATATCAGGACCATGTAGCCATCGACGCATGCTGCGGCCTTCTTAACAGCGATGACGGATTTGTAAGGCCGATTCATTTCACTGTGAAGGAGTTTCTCAACGACAACTTCGAGTTTATCCCCGATGAGAGCGAAGCCAACTCGGAACTTGCGAGGCGGTCAATTTCCCTCTTCCTCTGTGAGAACTTCCGCCAGATCCAAAGCCGTCAATGGATTCTATATGCTGAGGGAACTTTGAATGGTGGCCTGGCCTATATATTCTCAAACTGGGATAAGCATCTTCGAAGGGCACCATGGCCGCTAACAGCGGGTTTAATAGCCTTGCTAAAAACCCTCTTTGAGTGCGAAAACTATATTGCCCCTTATATAGCAAGGAACAGAAATTTTCCGCAAGTATTCAGCGTGTTGAGCTTTTGTGCCCTGTTCGACATTCTGAATGTCTACACCGAGCTCTATACCCTCAATGGCTTTACTGTAGATTCAACGCAACTGAAGCATGCGCTGGATGACGCTGCTCGTGGAGGCTCGGTTGATGCCGTTGACCGGCTGCTCAGCCTTATGAACGAGGCCGATAGCAAGGGCCATTATTCGATCATCGAAGCGGCTGGGAATGAGCAACTGGAAGTAGTCCGCTTCTTCATCAGACGAGATACCGGCATTACATTTTACGGCAATGCACTTCAGGCAGCGGCCTCACGTGGCCATGAGGCGGTGATACGGTTGCTCTTGGAGAAAGGGGCGGATGTCAACGCCCAAGGTGGAGAATACGGCAATGCACTTCAGGCAGCGGCCTCAAGTGGCCTTGAGGCGGCGATACGGTTGCTCTTGGAGAAAGGGGCGGATGTCAACGCCCAAGGTGGATTTTACGGCAATGCACTTCAGGCAGCGGCCTCAAGTGGCGAAGATACTGCGGTCCGGTTGCTCTTGGAGAAAGGGGCGGATGTCAACGCCCAAGGTGGATGTTACGGCAATGCACTTCAGGCAGCGGCCTCACGTGGCATTGAGGCGGTGATACGGTTGCTCTTGGAGAAAGGGGCGGATGTCAACGCCCAAGGTGGAGAATACGGCAATGCACTTCAGGCAGCGGCCTCAAGTGGCGAAGATACTGCGGTCCGGTTGCTCTTGGAGAAAGGGGCGGATGTCAACGCCCAAGGTGGATGTTACGGCAATGCACTTCAGGCAGCGGCCTCACGTGGCATTGAGGCGGTGATACGGTTGCTCTTGGAGAAAGGGGCGGATGTCAACGCCCAAGGTGGACAATACGGCAATGCACTTCAGGCAGCGGCCTCAAGTGGCGAAGATACTGCGGTCCGGTTGCTCTTGGAGAAAGGGGCGGATGTCAACGCCCAAGGTGGAGAATACGGCAATGCACTTCAGGCAGCGGCCTCAAGTGGCCATGAGGCGGCGATACGGTTGCTCTTGGAGAAAGGGGCGGATGTCAACGCCCAAGGTGGAGAATACGGCAATGCACTTTGGGCAGCGGCCTCAAGTGGCGAAGATACTGCGGTCCGGTTGCTCTTGGAGAAAGGGGCGGATGTCAACGCCCAAGGTGGAAAATACGGCAATGCACTTCAGGCAGCGGCCTCACGTGGCCATGAGGCGGTGATACGGTTGCTCTTGGAGAAAGGGGCGGATGTCAACGCCCAAGGTGGAGAATACGGCAATGCACTTCAGGCAGCGGCCTCAAGTGGCCATGAGGCGGCGATACGGTTGCTCTTGGAGAAAGGGGCGGATGTCAACGCCCAAGATGGAGAATACGGCAATGCACTTCAGGCAGCGGCCTCAAGTGGCCATGAGGCGGTGATACGGTTGCTCTTGGAGAAAGGGGCGGATGTCAACGCCCAAGGTGGATTTTACGGCAATGCACTTCAGGCAGCGGCCTCAAGTGGCGAAGATACTGCGGTCCGGTTGCTCTTGGAGAAAGGGGCGGATGTCAACGCCCAAGGTGGACAATACGGCAATGCACTTCAGGCAGCGGCCTCAAGTGGCCTTGAGGCGGCGATACGGTTGCTCTTGGAGAAAGGGGCGGATGTCAACGCCCAAGGTGGACAATACGGCAATGCACTTTGGGCAGCGGCCTCACGTGGCCATGAGGCGGTGATACGGTTGCTCTTGGAGAAAGGGGCGGATGTCAACGCCCAAGGTGGAGAATACGGCAATGCACTTCAGGCAGCGGCCTCAAGTGGCCATGAGGCGGCGATACGGTTGCTCTTGGAGAAAGGGGCGGATGTCAACGCCCAAGGTGGAGAATACGGCAATGCACTTCAGGCAGCGGCCTCACGTGGCCATGAGGCGGTGATACGGTTGCTCTTGGAGAAAGGGGCGGATGTCAACGCCCAAGGTGGAAAATACGGCAATGCACTTCAGGCAGCGGCCTCACGTGGCCATGAGGCGGTGATACGGTTGCTCTTGGAGAAAGGGGCGGATGTCAACGCCCAAGGTGGAGAATACGGCAATGCACTTCAGGCAGCGGCCTCAAGTGGCCATGAGGCGGCGATACGGTTGCTCTTGGAGAAAGGGGCGGATGTCAACGCCCAAGATGGAGAATACGGCAATGCACTTCAGGCAGCGGCCTCAAGTGGCCATGAGGCGGTGATACGGTTGCTCTTGGAGAAAGGGGCGGATGTCAACGCCCAAGGTGGATTTTACGGCAATGCACTTCAGGCAGCGGCCTCAAGTGGCGAAGATACTGCGGTCCGGTTGCTCTTGGAGAAAGGGGCGGATGTCAACGCCCAAGGTGGACAATACGGCAATGCACTTCAGGCAGCGGCCTCAAGTGGCCTTGAGGCGGCGATACGGTTGCTCTTGGAGAAAGGGGCGGATGTCAACGCCCAAGGTGGACAATACGGCAATGCACTTTGGGCAGCGGCCTCACGTGGCCATGAGGCGGTGATACGGTTGCTCTTGGAGAAAGGGGCGGATGTCAACGCCCAAGGTGGAGAATACGGCAATGCACTTCAGGCAGCGGCCTCACGTGGCATTGAGGCGGTGATACGGTTGCTCTTGGAGAAAGGGGCGGATGTCAACGCCCAAGGTGGAAAATACGGCAATGCACTTCAGGCAGCGGCCTCAAGTGGCCATGAGGCGGCGATACGGTTGCTCTTGGAGAAAGGGGCGGATCTCGACGCTCAAGGTGGGGAACATGTCAACGCTTTGCAGGCATCGATCGCAGATGCAAGGAACGGTATAGCGCAGCTATAAGTGCGGCGAGGGGCCCTCGATTAGCGACAATGGATAGGTATGTTTTCTCCACACGCTATTCAACTCCATGCAATCCTCGCTGACCTATTGCGGCGTTGCTTGATTTTTCAGTTGCTGTTTTGTGATGGACGTTTTCGGCTTGATGGAGCATTTTAAGCTGCGCAGAGAATATAAGATGGCGAACATATCATATGTGTGGCGATTGCTTGTATTTCCTAGGAAGCTATGGGACGTGACAGGGAGTATGGGTAGAAGTGGTTGGGGTGATTTGGGAAGGAGCCGGTGGGTTGCAACGTTGACTTTGTTCGATTTCTAGCCTACGTTTTGATGGATCATGTCCGGAAACTCAGACTCTTGGTAGATTAGTAGCGGTTTTCCGCATGGCCGTGAATTGAAGCTGTACACTGCAAAGCGTTCGGCTCAGAGCTGCGTTAGTTTCGTTCCATCCCCATGGCGTGCTGAACTCTTTGCATGTTTAGATTTATAAAAATGAATACCCAGCCTCAAGGCACCCGCTGATATTACCACCGTCACTGACCTGTGCCTGATTGCCGGGAGGGTCAACCGGGAATGGAAGATTTGGATGCGCCGCATCTACGGAAGTAATTTTTGGGGTCACGCAGGTGGTCGGAGTTGTGTTGTTTTCGACACTTTCCTGTGTGTAAGCCGAGCTGCCGAGCTCGCATTGAAATTGTGAAGCCTTGTAAGTACTAGGCCGTTGGTTGCATGGTCATTGACGAAAGGGACTACGTACCTGGTCTCGCTATCATCCATGGCAGCTGACGTCAAAGTTTAGCATCGAGTGATGCTGCAGGAGGTTGAAGAGGCCAATCGAGAAACAGGTTTAGTTCCTCTTGAGTCTTGAATTCCCCTATCAGATCATACTAAGTACGTGCGAGTTCGATAATGATCTACCGCTTAGGCGGATCGCGATATACCGGTGTAGTGGGAGACAAACGGACATTATTTAGCAGGTTGTTGCTATCATCTGAGAGCGATGATGTGCTCATGTCCATTCCGTAGATCATCTGTACATAGCATCTTCAAATTTTTTGGACTGTTGCGCAGTGGAGATGTTCGCCGTCCCCGTGTTTCCTGGAGGCCCGTTCGACTCGATACCTCAAGTACAATCAGACCTCGGAGAGAAAGCTTCCTGCCCAGGAAAAATGCTGCCTGCCGGGATGCTAAATGCCTGTCCGAGTACTTCTGCCACTATCCGAGAAAATGAGCAGCATTTATATATCGTGCTACGCAGTCTATGCTATGGTGCTGTTGGTGGCCAAGCTGGCCAGTTACGCCGCTCAATCAGCCTTGCCTGGAATTTGTACGGAAATATCTTGGTATAAATATGCAGGGAGAATGAAGGCGATGTCTGGATATGGCTTTTAGGAGGACTGATGCCCGAGCCGGAGGAGATGTCTGAATATGACTCTTAGGATGTGGTGACGGCGATGTCCAGCAGTTATATATGTAAGTCTAGAATTCAGATAGACATATGTTGTAGATACCAGTGAAAGTCTGCCCAACAACCTGTGGCATCTTGATGACCTCATTAAACAATAGTCGTGGTATTTTCGTATTCTGTCTTAAAGCCCCCAGATAGCCGGTCTTTCTGAAGGTCTGCGTGAAAGTTGGGTTCAGTAAAGCCACCAAAAGAATATAGACCCAGAAATCAGAACAACAGGCCAATCTTTAGGGACAAGGTCTAGAAATGGGTTCCTTCCAGTGTTCTCTATCGTCCGGTCCGTCCGTCCTGGGCCTTGGACGAAGACGGACGGCGTGCCTTCCATCCGTCCGAGCGTCGGACATGACGGCCAAGGTTATTTCAGCGGACGGACCAGACGGACGACCGTCGACGACCGTCCTGCGGCCGTCCGACGCCAAGCCTTGTGCAAAAACCTGATTTCGGGCGTAGAAGTTAGGCGTCCGAGTCAGAATACTGATACTCTTCGCCTCAACAGCGTCGGCATGACTGGGCAATTTGTGCGCAGTACAATCTACTCCAAGTCCTCCTCATCAGTCGTGTTGAGAATTGCCACATCAAAAGAGTAGTCGGTGTTGAGTGAGCAAGGTAACATCTGTCGGTATAGTAAGTGATGACCAGCAATTGCCAAAGGTCGTTGATCCTCATTGCAAAAGATATCATGATATCTCAGTCGTGCATCTGCAAACGGCTAGTGTATGCCCCTATTGGGACGAGTGATCAGAACATTATCACGTGATATGGACGGTCGTCCTCCACCGTCGGGCGAGGACCGACCCGTCCGTCCCAGGCTCGGACCTGACAGAGAAATCTTGCAACCGTCCGTCCGAGGATCGGACCGTCTGGACCGGACGATGGAGAACACTGATTCCTTCAGTTGATGAAATGAGTTCGATACCTAGTACTTTCCACGAAGACAAACTCATTTCAGAGTCCCATGCGGTTGGAATCTCGGGCCAAGCACTGTGCTTCATAGTAAAAACTGTAGATGTGACAGAGAAGCAGACAAACCTGGATGACTTTCGGTATGGTGTCCTCGAGGTCCGAAATCGCTGTTGTGGTTCTCCATTGGTTGTGGCGTGACAGCTTCTCGGGAGGACTTGCTCCTGCATCTTGCCGGAGAAGCGTTATTCTCTTTGGGCTTGCAACTTGTTTCTTTAAAGTTTGAGGCCTATGATGAGTTAATCGTATCTGGGAAAGAACTCTTATCCGAGTTAAAGAGAGTACTCTACTACTGGTAGGTACGAAAGACAACGGTGATAGTCTAACTAAGCACCTAGTGATCCCTACCACGATATCTATTATCGTGTCTAAAGGGACTGTGTACTATGATTCCCACATACCACTTCCCACAACCTTCTTTATCGCCTTGATTCTTGATAGAAGTAGCGAAGGTAGGTGGGTGGTGTTGATGAAGCTGTTCGCGCTGAGAATGAGACGGTTGGGGTAAAGAATGAGTTGATCAGCCCGACACCAACGGTTGTTCGCATCTTCCACCGTTCTACTCCTCGACATCAACTTCCACCACCGTTTGTCACCTACCACTCCCCACCCCACCCACCCCACCCCAACCACCGCTATATCCTCACCATTGCCCGAGAATCCTGACAACCGCTCCTGTCCTTCGGGGAAACTATGGTATACCTGTGCGGCGATTGGCTTCAGAGGCTGCTGCAGCGTCGATGCATGCAATAATTCCGAAGAATGTTTTGCGGAGTTGGTAACTACGCTGGTGACAACTACTGGTACCAATTCGATACCGGTTACAAGTACCAAGTCCACTACTGCTACACCGAAAACGACGGAGCCAATATTGGGTGATCCCACGACGACTGGACCGGACGCGACTAAACCGACGCCCGTTGCTCCCACTATGACTATACCTTCGGGCGGTACAGTTGTCCCAGAGACCAATGTCGGTTCCTTAACCACAGTGCCGTCCGTCACCTTCATCACCACTCCCTCCTCATCCTCATCCTCCACCACCATCACCACCACCACCACCTCCTCCTCCTCCTCCGAAAAGCACAATTCTCTCGCCCTCCCCCTCGGCATCGGTATAAGTTTGGGCGTTCTTACCCTCCTCCTCCTCGCCCTCGGGTGGTTCTTTCTTCGCCGCCGACGACTCAAACAACAGAATGCGGAGCCTACGCCGGAGGACAGGAGCGCTCCTAGGCGCTCGATCAGGTGGAGTTTCTCACCTCGCATGCCGTGGGCCAGCCACGGAGAGCACAGGGAGTGGGATGAATCGAAGACGGAGGCGAGAGATGATGCAAGGAATGATCTGGCCGCTGTGGGGGGTGTAGGAGAGTTGCCGGATAATGCTGTGCTTGAGGAACTGCCAGCGGAGGAAGAAGCGGAGAGGTTGGCGGAGCTTGATGGTGGCATGAGGAGGGTGAGAAGGGGCGCGGTGATGGCGGACAGCGGGGCTGCCGCACAGGTGGACCCGCTGGCGACGCTGGCGAATAGGGACGGTGATGGACATGTGCTGAATTTCATGGAGTATCATGGGGGCCGGTGAGGTGATGGGTTAGAGCATTACTAGATCTCTACGCTATGCCATACGTAATCTCGTGAGATTTTTCTTTCCAAGGGCTGTGCATTGTGAATGGGAATCCGTATGATGATATCTAGTTATGGTCGGAAAATGTCTTACCGGGCATTCTTCTGCACTTTACCCAATTCCTCACAGTAACTTCACTTTGAACAAGGGTTTACGTCGAAATCACACGGAGGGCACGGCTAGTGATTCAAAAAAGACGAGAGTGCTCGAGCGTTTGACTCGAGACCACGTTGAAAAGCTCGCTGAGACAAACCTTCCGCAGTCTGCAGGATGAGATATTTGCACTTTGCAGAGCTATCGATTAAACCGTTGGAAGTTGGGGCCGACTCGAGACCCGGAAATACAGTATTAATAGTACTGGTTGTAACGGCTACTAACAGGAGACGGAGAGCCAACGGGAAGCGGGAAGGGAATGTGCATGGAGAAGAGCAGCCGACGGGAAGGTGAAGAACGAGGAATGTAAACGGGTGGCAAACGGAAATGGAAGGGGTGCAATGATGAATGCAGGTCGATCGATAACTGACGAGGGAAGGCGGCGAAGACACGAAGGGAGACGGATCTGATACGAATGCCGATCGATAGCTGACGGGTGCAGCCTCCAGAGTAGGAAAGAGTGGAGACGGGTAGTCACCGGGGGGTGGTGCGACTCGGGAATGAGATTGGCAGTTTCCGGTGACATGTAAGAGGGCGTGACCGGACATATATTGTGGTTCCCGCACGCCAGCGTGGATGGTCTGCGACTCACGAGATATCATTCGCACTTGCCCCGAGGGTGCCCACATCTGGAGAAATAACAGCGATATACCACTGCATACTCGAACGGCGACAGAGCTGAACGGTGGAGTAAAACTTCCGGTAGTCTTTCTACTCACGCGTGAGTGACCTTTGATGATACCTTGCAGATTCAACATGTTCATGATGCAAATGTTCCTGAGCAAAGTCACCTTACTTGAATGTTTGATTTACGGACAGTGAGTACTCCTTCTAATCCCAGAAGTCACCTACGCATGGAGAAGCGTTTGAGCTGGGTAGTGAGGAAGAGAGCTGATCATGCGCAAACAGGACTGGTGGTATGTAATTAAGTAGATGGACGTCGAGCTTGCATAAGTGGAAGCAGATACATCATGCTTCCGACCGATTTCAAAGCTTACCGCAATGTCAAGATTCACTATTTTACATCTCGTATCATCGTTTCACAGTGACGGGCGTGACATTTCTTTGTCCTCTGATGGTCTCGTTACTAACCGCAGGCCGTCACCGTTTCACGATACCCGTCATCTGAATGGATACTTCTGCTTTGTCCACCAAGCGCATATACCCAGCGGGTCGGATCCGTCGTGCTCGCAACTGCGCAAACCTCCATAGCAAGCCGCAATGTCCCAACCAACACCCACCCCTACCGCCCGAAAGCCTGTCCTCTGGACCTGCACTGCGTGCCCCCGCCTAAGTCGAGTAAACCACAGTCCGCGCCACTGTCGGCCACGTGGCTGCCGAGACCTCGCTCAGGCTCCTCAGATCACCGCCACCAGGAAGCGGAAACGTCCCGCGTCCGTGGAAGCAGAGGAGAGGAAGGTTAAAACTCCAGATCGGGCACAGAAAGGGAACGGTGAGGCGGCTACGGATGGAGGTGGAGAGGTCGAGGTGACGCTAAAGATGGTCTATGATAGTTTGAGGAGGTTGGAGGAGTTGGTGAGGCGCCTTGAGGGAGCGAGACTGGTGGTGGCAGGGGAAGTTGGCGGAGAGGATGATGAGGGTGGGGAGAATTGGGAGGACTGGGACGAGAGTCAGTCGGTTTTGACGGAGTTTGGGAAGGATAGCAGGATACATTTGAGGGGTGTACGGCGGCTTGTGGAGGATGTTGATGCGTACGAGGTGATCACCGAGGAGGAAGAGAAAGAGGATGCAGCCAGTGAAGAGGATGATCCGGATTGGGAGGAGGCAGATCTGACTACGGATAAGGCACGTCGAGGGTACGAAGGGGACGAGCACGGCAGAGATGAAGTTTGTGCAGCTTGTGGACGGGAGTATGAAAACGAGTATGCTGATCTCGAGATCGAAGAGAATGGTATGCAATCTTCGGCCAGCGATATCGAGTCCTCCAATACCGAATTTATACATAGTAAGGAAAATTGCCGACCAGTTCTAACCTGCTATGCTATTCCGCAGAGTTCCGCAGGTCAGGGGTTTAGCCTCGCCCGCTGCGCGCGAGCGCTTACTCTCACGCAGCGCAAAAAGCGCAAGAATCCCACCAACCTAGCTATCACTCGGTCCGGCACCCCAACCACAAAGCCCCGCCCTACGGTAAACACCACGTCACGTGCACTCGTATTCGTGCCCCACGTTAACCAGCCCCCACAAGCGTACCCCACAAAACCCGCTGCACCGCCACATCTCAGTGCTGCGCCACACTTGACTCCCCTCCACTCCGGTTATTCGATCAGAACAGGAATGTTTTTGCGACCATCAAAAGTGAGACAATTTTACGGTTCTAAAATGAAAAAGAAAGTTGATGCAATGGCGGAAAATCGCACCAGGAAGACGCAGCTGGTGCATAGGCCGCTCACGAGACAGGATAACTATGCCACCGGCAGTGACGAAGTCGCTATGGATACGGTTGAGAGTATGTCATCAGGTCCTTTCGAATACGAGGTGTGACTTGCAAGCTGCTAACGTGGGCGATGTGTGCAGAGACTGAGACTGAGAATGATGAGGAGAATTCGTCCGATGAGAAGGTGGTTCCGACCGAGAAGGATGACAAGAATTCATCTCAAGATGGAGAAGCGGCCTTCAAGACTTCTGCTGTTGGCGGTAAGTTCTCGGATCCTTTCGAGTACCAACTATGAGCTGTGAATGAATTGTCTATTCTGACTGATGAAGATGACAACAAGGCTTCCACTGTAGTCTCTCAGGCCAGTAGCGCTTGCTTCGAAGAGGGCAAGGCTATCATCCATGATACACATGTCTCCTTTCACGACGATCAAGCCACCCTCAAAGCTTCTGCCTCTCGTGACATGGAAGTCTCTGCTTCGGCTGCCTCATCTCATTCTTTCGATGGAACCGAGTTCGAGAAGAATGTCGGGTTCTCTTCGGTGGCCGTGTTTCCTCCTCGCACCCCTTCCATGGTTAGACTGCACAGGACTTCTGTTACAGAGGGTCAGCAAGATGTCAACAAGGGAGCAGAGGAAGAGGTGGCTTCTGTGTCTAGATCGGTCAAGGGTTTCTCCGTCTCAAGTAAAGAGACGAAAACTTTCGGGTTATTCAGATTTCGTTGTGGTGCGATCCCACTTCCCATTTGCTCGAGTCTGACGAAGAAGGGTTGGTACAAGATGAATTCGCTCAAGTGTGATGGTGCCCTTGCCTCTTCTTCGAGTTCAGATGTTCCAGGCAAGCAGGATACTCGCGTGGAGAGTGATGTTGCTCGATCTCCCGCGGATGAGAAGGATTCCGTGTTTGCTGTTGGTTTGGATGGCTCAAGAGAAGGAGAGGAGAAGGAAATGGCTCCTGTCATGCCGAACATTCCCATCAAGGAGGGGTGGTACTCGGCAAGTGTTGCGGAGCTCGAGTCTAGCAGCGAGCTAAGTTGCTCCGGCGTCACCGAGAAGGACAACAGGTTTGATCCAACCAAGAAGGAGGAGTACTCAGCAAGTGTTGCGAGGCTCGACTCCAGTAGCGAGCTAGGTTGCTCCGTCGTCGCAGAGACGGACAACAAGTTTGATGCTAGTTTGGGTTTGCGCAACCTTCCGGGCTACCAGAAATATCTTGGCGCCGTCGATTCCACACCACATATTTCAAGTATTTATAGCTCCCCTCCTTCCCCTCTCTTCCTCCCTCTCATCCATCCTTCCATCATTTCCTACAACATAAAACTAACTTACGAAAAGTCAACTTTGACGGCTGCTTCACCCACCCAGCAGCCGGCCTCAGTTGCCCGAGTGGATAGAATTTCCTCCACTCGGGCAACTCGACGCCAGTCTCGCTTTCCTCGGGGCGGTCTGTGGATACGGTCGAGAGTAGGTCATCAGGTTCTTTCGAGTACCTACGAGGTTTGATTTGCAAGCTGCTAACGTGGGTTGTGTGTGCAGAGACTGAGTCGGAGGAGGTTGAGGAGAATTCGTTCGACGGTGACGAAGTCGCTGTGGATACGATCGAGAGTATGTCATCAGATCCTTTCGAGTACCAACTGTGAGCTATTCGCCGCTAATACAACGATTTAGAGATCGTGGCTTCTCCGGCCGAGGAGGAATTGTCTGTTCCGACCGAAGAGGGTCACGACAAGGCTTCCATTGCGGTCTGATGGGTGGGGGGGTTTCTTTTACCCAGGGAATAAATGGAGTATGTTTTACTCAGGGAATGAATGGAGTTTGTTTCCGTTTTCACGCTGTTTCGGTTCTGTTTTCTCTTCATCATTCTGTATACCACCGTTTCCGATCATAATGTGACACGGCAAAGCGGATTATTGTAGATTATCGGGAGAGGCGTAGATTTAAGTTGGGACGAGTGCGGTCGTATGATTGTGTAGCCATCTATGTAGGCCACCCTCCAACACAGAGCCGCCTCGACCCCCGCGCTCCCTCAGTAGGTAAGTGAGTGCCTAGGACTCCTGTCAGCGGGAGAAACTGAATGTGGTTAGTAGTGGAAATCGACGTTAGCGAGCATGGCGGGTCTTGTTCTTCATTTTCTTCTTTCTTGATCATCGTTTACAGAATAGACGACCAACCTCTACCTCCTCCTTCTTCTATGTGCTCTCCTCTTCACCCCCTCGCCGGCATGAAGGGGTATTGGCAAAAGAGCCGTCTGAAAAATGGGCTTTCTCTGCGGTCAATCGGACCGGAGGACTACGAGATCTCGGCGGAATGAATCAGGTTTAAAGTCACTGCCCGTTAGATCATTCACAGTTATCTTGGCTAATAGTTCAGATAATAGTAATACTTCAAGTGGCTGCTCGGTATACTCGGCTGTTCGAAACGGTTGCCTACCGTTGTGCAGAATCAGCAAAAGGCAACCGGATGCATTTACCTCTGCCTTCCCCGATCCTTCGGTACGCTTGGAGTTTGCTTCTTCACCTCTGGGTCGTGATTCCCTCTCAAGTTCCGTGTTGGAATATTCGGGTAGACGGGAAGAGATAATCCATTCGATACAGCAACAATGTCATCCGCGGCGAGGTCTCTCTTTACATACAGACTGAGGTGCCGCCAAAGGTTCCTCGCCCCGCCGACACTCGGTCTCGACCGCCCGCCGCGGAAACATGTTCATGCCAACATCTCCGGGCGTCCAAAGTGTCACAATATGGGACGTCCGGAGATGACGATGTCCCTAGTGTACTCTAGTGGAGCATCTGTCAAACTCTAGTCGCCCAGAGATCTCGGCACGAGTTAAGGTTTGGCGGCCACTTTTCCTCCGACGGGAGCTCACGATCTCATTCGGCTAGGTACTCCATTCTTCTTACTGTGTTCCAATCAACTGCGATTTTCTACACTGGACTTGAAAGAGCCCCACCATCTCAGAGCTCGTCTACTATGATATCACATATTTCCCATCCAATTTCCCGAGCGGCCAAACCATTTGAATGCGTCTCCAGCTAGAATCACGAAACTTTAAATGGTCGCAGTGGCTCTCCCACCAAGTATAAATCCTTTGCGCTCTGTCCCCCATAACTAGTTCCAGACGATAAACAACAGCATCTGAAATCATCATCATCAGTAGCTACCATCAATCCAGCGCAGCCATATTACCACACTCGATTTCGAAATCATCTTCCGAGCGCCACATTACCTCTGCCATCGAAACAATATGGTCCACCACACGGATTTACTCAAAGGCAAACTCGGCACGATCACCTACCAGGAGCTTCTCGAACGCATCAACCATTCAAAGTTGTGCCAGATTGGAGGCGAGAATATCTTTCGCGCTCTTGCAATAGGGCCCGACTTTACCCCCTTCATCACCCATGTAGAGCACGAGATACTCTGCAGGGCCATTCAACGGAGAGCGAGAGCTGGACTGCAAAGTTGTGAGCGCATAGTTCCTTACCAAGTTACTCCTCTCATCCAGCCTGGTATGTGACATCTCATCGACGCTGGGCCGGGCGAGAGAGCATCGATTTCAGCACTTCCAAGTGCTCGGGGGCGGGGGGCGGGGGGCGGGTTGGCTCGTGCTATCCAGTACTGGTAACCATTTGAGCTTTTTTTTTGTTGGAAATGTTTCTCTAATTCGCTCTTTGGATGGTTTCGGCTTTTCCTTCCCATTTTTCTTTCTAATCCGTGTATTTCCTTATTTCCTTATTTTCTTCGTACATCTTTCATATTTCCTCCCTTCCGCTTCTCTTCCCCGTGACCGTTCATCGTTCCATCGGCGCCTGCGGAGCTGGAAGCTGGCCGACCCATGGGTCGCTGCCATTCCCGCCCACGTGATGAGCAAACCGAGTGAGTTTACATTATTACATTCGAGCGGCAACTACGTATTAGCAAAGGTGGTGGAGACTGGAGTCTGGTGCTGTGAACGAGCTGCTGGAGACGCGGCCATCAACAAGCCTACGGCAAAGTCCCCCGTTCTTTTGGGAGGTGTCTGCGTGTATCCGTCGCCCACGGCCCACCTTGATTCGCGCGATGGTTGAGGGGTGGTGGATATACTTGGTGCTGGAACTGTACTTCCTTATAATCACAGGGGCCATAGTTACTCAACTCTGTTCTTGAGGTCGAATATGAGAATACGTGGTACCCCAGTACAGCAAAGAAAACTCATCTCATCATTACGGGTATGTGGCTACATAACTACAATATAAAAAAAACCTCCGCCTCGCCCTTTCAGATCTTCTCATTCGCCCTCTCGATCTCGGTGGCCTCAGCACCATGCAAATTCTTCGCCTCAATTTCATGGATGCGTTCATCGAGCTTACTCGTGAGATTCGACGACTTCCAAGCGGGAATGCCCTCATCGAACAGCAGGTCGATCTCCTCGAGCGCCTTTCCGCACGTCTCGGGGAACATGAAGAACGCGTGGATCACGCCGCAGAAACAGAACACGCCGAAGATGATGTACGTGCGCCAGATGATGTTCTTGAACGCGGGCGGCACGAAGTATGCGAGCGCGAAGTTGAACAGCCAGTTGGCAGAGGTGGCGAGTCCGACTCCCTTGGCTCGGTACTGCAGAGGGAAGATCTCGGATACGTAGATCCAGGTGCAGGGTGCCCACGTGAAGCCGTATACCGCCACGAACAGGTACGTGCACGCGATGATGCCCTTGGCCGGGGCGCCGGTGACTTGCCAGACGATGTTCTTGTTGCCGTCAACTTCAGGCATGGAGTGCTGTTTTCAGTTAGTATGAATTTTTCTTGAAGGGAGAGAGAAGCAACGCACCCCGTAACCGCCCATCAATCCCGCGACCAGGAAGTTAAGAATGCCCATCAGAATACCACCGTAGATGAACAACGGGCGTCTTCCGATGCGGTCAATCAGTGCGAGGGTGACCACGGTAGTGAGCAGGAAGATGATGTATTGAATCGACGAGGAGACCAAGTTGACGTTTCCGGTGAGACCGGCCATCTGGAAGACGTAGACGATGTAGTACATCATGACGTTTCCTCCGAGCATCTGCTGCCACACCTGCGCGAACACGCCGACCGTCGTGCGCTTCCACATCGTCTTGCCGAAGAGGCCCATCCACGTCGCGTTGGCGGCTTGGGCGGCGATCGCTTGCGCTTCCCGGACTTCCTCGTACTCACTAGGAGCTTGTCAGCGTGGGTGCACCAAAGTGCAGGGGGGTGGGGATGCTTACGCGACCACGGCAGGATCGTTGTGGTTTCCCCCGGCGTGAAGGTGCGCCAATACGTCCAGAGTCTCCTCCCAGCGGTCCTTGGATGCCAGCCATCGGGGAGATTCGGGGAAGAAGAACAGGGAAACAAAGAGGATAAGGCCCGGGACAGCTTGCAGACCCCAAGAAAGACGGAAGCCGGAAGGACCCTTGATGAACGAACAGCCGTAGGAGATGAAGTACATGATCAGGATACCCCACTCGATGGCCCATTGCTGGATCCCGACAACACGACCACGGATGTTCTTTGGTGCCAATTCGGCGAGGTAGACGGGTGTTTGCGAGGAGGTTATACCGACACAGAAACCGTTGACGACACGACCGGCGATAAGATGTCCAACGTTCTGTGCACTGCAGGATATCACACTACCAATGATCCAGATCAAGGAGGCGAGCTAGGGAAGAAGTCAGCACCGAGTTTGCGATCGCCTCAACTAGAGGCGAGTGAAGAAGCGCATACCATCAATGTCTTTTTACGCCCAAAGTGATCGGAGAGGAAACCAGCAGCCAATGCACCAATCCAGGAACCGGCAGACATGGAGGCAGTGATCTGTAACGCCAATCAGTGACTCGTTCCGGGCATTAAAAAAGTTGGGTGGAGAACTCACTCCTCCCTGCAGGTTCTCATTGGGATGGTTGAAGTAGTCCATGTAGGTCTCCGTACCAATCCATGCGCTCATGGAACTGATATCGAAACCGAAGAGGCCACCTCCGATGGTACCGAAGGCGGCCAAGACTATGTCACCATTCCCGTCAGCAAGCCAATTCGTATGGAATATGGAACGCGGGCTTTGAGTTCTTGCTACGTACCGTATATATTGTAGATGGTGTACATGATGGCTGATATACGCAGATGCGTCGGATGCAGTCAGAATCCGGACTTATCGGTCGAGCGAGTATTGGTAGTATGCACCTCTTGGAACCCGAGATGGCGTAACGAAGTTTCGGAGAAAGGAGGAGATCCCATTGTAAGGGGGGTCTTCGTCGCACTTTATACTCCAGACAAGGCGTTGGCGAACCCCAGTTTTACCACTCTACTAGAGTACCAAGGTAGGTACCTACCTACCTATGTCGCGTTATCTAGGTACTCGTGTGTAGTACGTACATACCCCATACGACGAGGGTGCGGAATCTTGCTCCCCCGTGGGGAAAGACGGAACTTGGGAGCTGGCCCCACCGCCGTCCCATCCCATGCGTATGGGATCATTAACCGCCCTGAACCAAACGCCGCCTCGCCATTTAGCCTGAATGCTAAAGCTTGATCAACAACGGTTGACATCCGAGGTGGCGCACGCACAGTGCACACACACCCGCAACCCGCACCGCACTTTAAGCGTATGCCCAAGTGCTGGAGATTTTCCGGTGACGAACGCAGCCGAACTGCGAGCCGAGAAGGCTGCAGTACCCCAGCCCCGCACTATGGCGGGGTATTTAGGCTAATATGAGGGGGATGTGTCTTGTTCGCTGTCCACTGACCGGCGTCTGGACGTGGGACGGTGGGGAGAAGAGGATCAGCGGCCACCTACACACACCACTATGGGTAGGTCAGTAAGCAGTTAGGTACTTGGATACCATCAGACACTAGACAGCACTCAATGGCGCCGGGAAGCCGAGTCCCCTCACGTGTGAAATAGTACACTAATATATAGCAGTGGTAGTTACACACGCACGTTCACCAACCCATTCATCCGCATAAACTCGAAAAGGGCACACACACACCTTCCGGCAAAACGGCGCACTTTTCTTCTCATCGATCATGAAACGTCCATCACCCGGGGGTCATCCCGGCGACTGGAGACCTGCCGATCAGAAAGGATTGCCTCGGATTAACGTGTTTCCGGGGGAGTTAACCGCCATAGTATTAGGCCGAGAGGCGAGGCTAAGATGGAACGGCAAACAAAAGACGATATGTACGATGTACATGGGCGAATGTCCTTCTACTTATAACTGCGGACAATAGTTAGCCACTACGGTACCCGTTCGAAGCTTGAAAGCCCGTGCAGCTAGTTTATGTACGGTACCTACACCAGAAGACGAGGGGATCTCATCAAAACTCATCCCGTGCAGATGCAGATGCCGAGCGGACTTCGGCGTAAGTGACGGTCACAGGTCCGAGAAAGGCTGTTGGTGATCGCAATCCACCAATGCAAAAAGTTTCCCACCCCGCAAAACTCCGCTGCCAAAGTAGGTAGGTCGGCATATATTTCTTTCTGTATTTTTTTTGGTGCGCCGGTTGTTGTCTGGCTGTCTGATTGTCTGGCAGCTGCCCTCGCGTGGTCGAAACGTTTTAAAACCGTCTGCGTCTGCGTGTGGGGAGGGATGGAGGGGGTGGGGAAGATCCGGCAAAGTACAAGATCGAAACTTTGAAGCCATGAGTTTAGCCGGCTAGCGCTGCGCGAAAACCAACACCCGCAAATGCGGCTGCTGCTTCGGTGACCAGGTCGCGACGGTCGAGATTGGACGGAATCTGCCGGATGTGGTCATGATGTTCAACGTCATGCACCGGAAGGATTGGCAGAGCAACTACTGGAGGGTTGGAACAGAACACCCGCAACAGCGGAGTGGGTGCATTCCCGGGTCAGTAGCATCATGGTGGCTTGCAGTTGGGTCTATTTAACCAGGACGTGCAGATAGATATTCGACTCTACCCGGAGCGAGGAACCACGAATCGGACTCTCATCGGGTATTCCCCATGAAGATCCTCTGTCGGCCCAAGGGAAGCGCGGGATTTGTTTCACCAGAGTCGGGCTCGTGGGTCAACCATGCAGTACGGATATACCAAGTAGACGGATATTGGGCCACCGAGTCGGGCTACACGAACCCGCATGTTCGGCCGTATTCCACATGCGAAAATATCTATCTCGTCCGGCATGTCGCTTTTGGGCTGGCTATCATGCATCATCCACTCAAGGCGCAAGGCACTGGGCGCTGGGCAACATACCTGGTATTGCACGGATCAAGGCCGGCATCAGGCTTGTTGGCCACCACCCTCTCCCATGATCTGGACGGCGGAACCCAACCTGGGACCCTCCAAGGTCGAGACATCGACAGATATCTGGCTGTGGCGTTTCCAACCCCCTTCCCCATCTCCTCATCCCGTAAGCTGCATCCCATTTCCTCCGTTGGAAGAAAAAAAACTGCAGTGCGTTGTCACCCTATCCCGGAACGTTTTGTATTACCTATCATCTGCTACCAGTACAGTATTATACTAACCAACGTCCTTCAGAATTGCCCCTTCGCCTTCCCCGGGCAACGATCATATAGGTACCTATGCCGGCAGAGCTCGCAGGTAGTTAACTATGGTATCCGGGGGTTGGGCGGCGGGGGTATGAAAGGCAGGGACGGTGGGATCTGTTTCTGCTTCTGCGGGTTTTCCTCCCCAGACCCACCACGCCATTCTCCTCCTTCACGTCCCCAAAAGATATCCATGAGCCATCACCACCACCACCACCACCACCACCCATGGGCACATGGAGCATCATGTAGAGTGAAAAGAAAGAAAAGCTGATCGACAAAGTGTTCCCCAAACCCAAAACCGCATATGAGTGCTACCGTGGTACTGTGGTAGTTACATACTTCGATAGGTTCTCGGATTGGGAGACTATGTAGATACTGGGAAGGATTCAATTGGACCACATTAATTCAATCAGGCCACATTGTCGATCGTCATGGAGAAAAATAAAATTCTATAACACACGCCACCAGCACCAGTACTGCCATTTGCACACATGATAGCAGTGCAGTTCATAAAATCTACATCGGCCCGAGTGACCCAACAACCGCCTTGTAATGTATGTACATCTGTCCAAAGACTGAGCTTCGGGTCCTTCCCACCGTTTTACAACTTCGCCTGCTGGCGCATCTCAATAAGCAAACTCTCTGCCATAGAATACACGCCGCCGATCCCATCCTCCAACGTAGCATTGATAAACAATTTCCTCCGCTCCTTCCTGACCAGCTTGGTCTTACACAGCACGACACTCGGCGTGGGCACCGGTCTCCTGAAAGCGACGTTTATGTACGCCGTAACAGCCAGAGTATCAACCGAGGCGGCTACGGCAATGTCCAAGATGGTGGCTACCATCCCTCCGTGCAGGATCCCCTCGTGGCCGTTCATGCCGTCGCCCAGCGAGATGAGAAGGCAGGCGTCGTCGCAGGGCAGAATGCGGAACAGCGATAGTGCCCGGAACGTCGACGGGGTTTGCAGCGTGACGGCCGTGAGCGAGTCTTCGCGTCCCAGCGTATGCTTCGGCTCGAGGATGATGCTGTTGGTGATGGGGACGGTGGTGGGCAAGGTGAGGAGTGCGTGCGCCCATGGTGTGCTAGCGAAGTCAGGGTGGGTGGGGGCAGGGACGGTTGGTTTAGCCATCGAGTGCGGGAGATATGTACAGAGGTGGAATTGAAGTGGAATCGGAGTGTGGATTTGGAGTGTGGATTCGATTACGGTCCGGCCGGGCGAATCGGTGGGCTGTAGTTATTTGTGTGTTGAAACATCCAGACTCCACAGCCGAGCTTGGAGCTGTCCAACGGCTAACCGATGGTCCCTGGTCCCTGAGAGAAGCAATCCCACGTGATTCCACGTGACTTGGCACAGATCGCCAGCAGGATCGCCGGATTGTTCTTCATCTCGCAACCCCGATTCCAAACCCGAGTACATACCCACGGTCCACGGACTATTTTTGTTTCTGTTTCGACCTTCCCAAAGATGCTCGCCGTTGTCCTCACATCTCCCTGCGCTGATCTATGCACGGGCTAGCATCCCCGACCATTGCGGATCCTCCTAAAACTCACGACCGACCTCGGCTACTACACCAGTCAAAAGTTAGACATATACCGTCAAGACAGGCTTAGCCAGTTCTTGGTGGCCAGAACAAACACCCGTGCCACAGGCAAGTCTTCCAACGTCAGGCAATCCTTGACTGTTATCCACAGCACGGCTGGTCGACCGGCAACCAATCAAATACTAATTTTTTGCACTAGTTGGGCCCGGTCACAGCAGTCGTCCGCAAACTTGAAGCCAGTCGCGCACATGTCCGGTGCTGAAGCAGCCCTGGGGATCGTACACGGGTGTTGGCCTGGCGAAACTCGACCAGAACTCATCGGCCTGTGCCTCAATTACGGACGAGCTCTCTGGGAATAGACAGAGCTCCTACTACCGCCGAGCTGACAAGACCCTCAACAAGAGCCAACTCCGCGTCATCGCATTGAGGATGACTGCAGTGGGTCAAGCTCCAGACCGAGCTGCCGTTTGCGTGTATCCAATATCCTCCATTCCGACAAAACTGCCCAACGGCAACGATACCGTTAGCCATTTTCACGAGTTCTGCAGCAGCTCCTAAGTGAGCTCGAACCATGCCGACCTCAAGCCCGAGAACGCTCTGATCTTCGCAAGTTACAACCGACGGCCAGCCTGGTTTTGACGCCGATATCATGGGCCGTGGTCAAAGTGACGGATTTCGGATTCAGTGGCCTCAAGGTCAGCGGAGATTCGGGACAGCCTCGTGGCGGTATAAGACAGTGGGACGCCCCGGAATGTTTGCAGAGTTGCGCGAACGACGATCTTGTACATACATACGGCAGAGCGGACTCCGGAGAGGTCACCAACGATATCTACTCGGTTGGCCTCGTAATGGTTTACATCATGCTAGATGAATGACAACCCTTTCCTTTTCGCGATTACCCAGTGGTGGAAGATATAAAAAACTGCGGGACTGCGCCAGAGAAGTCTGGGAGAGGCCCACCGACATCTGAGGAGCCATCATTCAGAACACAAAAGCACGCCGAGCCATTTGAACTGGAGCGCTTGTAAATATTCATATGGGGAGAGAGCTACCAATGTATTTCGTATACAGCCTTAGGCCCTTAGACTATGGCAAACCAAAAGCCACGACCTCCTTAAAAGTGAATTAGACCAGAAACGAAGCATGATATAGCCTGACATAGCGTGCGACGGGGTGAAATATCCCGTCAGCATATGTACATATCTTCGGCAGCGCATGTTTCGATCAACACTACCGCAGTGATCTACTAGTAGTCTAATCGAACCCGCAAAACCGAATAGACGCCTCCGCAACGGATATCCGACTGAACCACTGTTGTCGGCCGAGTGAGCGAGTGATAATCAGTGATCGACTCGGGGGGTGATGTGACCGCAGCCCGACGGGCACGTTCCAGATGATCGCAGCGGCAGCTGGCGAAGCAGCTCGAGTCTCCACGACGGAAAGGTCTTGCTTGGCGCAATTCCACAATTGAGGTAGGAACCTAAGTAGCTTCGAGGTCATTTTGGCTTCGTGTCCTGTCGGGCCGGATCCAGCTCTTGGTCGATACCCACCCACCTATGGAAGCCACTTCGTCACACACATACGCCCGCTGTCCCGTTCGGTGACTGGCCGCTCACTCTCTCCATGAGTATTTATTTTCACTCTGGAGACTCCGTTCTTTGAGTTGGAATAGAGTAAAGGAAACACTCCACAGTCATCTCACTGCAGAAACGCATTTGGGCCGTCCTCATGTCTGTCCTTGCAGCAACTCCTTTGCAGTCACGTGCGAGTACAGCCAAGATGCTACTCTCAGTCCTAAAGCATGTCACGGGTTCCATCCCACAATCATTTCCACCCTCGAGACCTACAAAAGCGTAAACAAAGCTCCCTCTCCTCCTCATCTTCTTCCCACAACATTCCACCCCCTTTCCCATCCACATTTCACAGCGGCATCTGGTACGTGGTAGCTCATGGGCCAGCCGCTACCAATGACGCCTTTATCAAGGAAGCAAACGTCCCTCGAAGGCATACTATCTCCTAACACATACAACTAACCGTCCTACACGTACGGCGCGCTTCTAATCCGGCACTGACGGTTCGGTCTGTCTTTCGACATCATCAACACCATGGCCAACCGGCTTCCATGCCGTTTCGCCTCGCTTTGCCTCCCAAACATTTGGGAGGAAAACAGCGACAACCATATTTGCGAATATTTCGCCGGTTGTCTGCGCACAACGCTGCGCAGTGACAAAGGTAAGTGATTCGATTCTACTTTGGGGCATTCCGAGAGAGTTTGTGAGCTGACTGGATACGACGAAAAGATGCGTTCGGCCTTCTTCTAGTTGAACTGGGTCTTTGTCAAGACTCAAGCATCAAGCATGCAAGGCACTTTTCCACTCCCGAATCTCCCTGACCGGTGCGAGACATAGTTATGTATCTAAACTGACACCAGTCCAACAGACATCCCCGGCCATGTCCGACAGCGACACCGACAGCGACAACATATTTGTCCGCTACGAGGAGGAAGAAGAAGCATTCGCCGCCGTCTCTCAGCAGCAGAGCCGTATCTCCCGGGGATTGGGCTCCGAGGTCAAAGAGAGTATTGGAGAATACGTCGATGAGTTTCAGGCAGTCTTAAGTAACTTACAAGGAGTGGTGGAGGCCAACGACACCGAGAAATGCCTGGTGCTGCATTGGAACGCTTTCAACTCAGAGCTTCTCCGGATCATGGGGGAGAAGATATGCATTGCTCTCGACGACACCACGGGTGCTCTGTACAAGCGATTGAAGCGGCGGGATCTCGAACAGAAGACCGAGGATGTCCAGGACCAGATCAGGAAGATCGAGAAGGAGCTCTTGCTCTTCGCGGCCCACAAGGAGAGGAAAAGGTTGAAAATCCCGAACTACCGCCCACCAAGGAACAGGAGAATGTCGAGAATTCCGAACAGCCGCCCACCGAGGAACAGGAGAATGTTGGGAATTCCGGACAGCCGCTCACCGAGGATGTCGCGAACCTTTAGGGTGTCATCTGATACGTCCCGAGGATGTCACGACTCGCGAGCGATTTGTGGTTCATCTGATATGTCTATAGTTCAAGTGTTCTGCTAGGATAAAAATACTACTGGGTTTGCTGCCCAGTGTCCTCGGGCTGGCTTAACTGGGAACTACTTCCCTCCCCAGCCGGATCCAAATCGCGGCTCATCGAATGAGGAAGGAAAATTACGTTCCGCACCACCACTTTCACTTTCCACGCCTTTTAAGGTAGGTTATAGTAGCCAGCTTTTACTATGTTTGCCCATGCTAACGGAATGATAGGCGTGGCGATGAACTACATAAACCCACACTACACCATGACGTTTACCAACGACTAGTGCTCCGTCGATGTTTTTGCTGGAGGTTTTCCTTTTGTTTCATTATATAATTATTACTATGGATTTCTATTATAAACATTGAAATATGACATGAATCAATTCTTCTTCTGATGATGAGCCCCGCAGTGTTTGTTTGTTTGTTTGTAAGGCGCCCTGTGCAGTGGGCAGACTGAGTTTGTATGTAGTCTGTAGAGATATCCAAATCGATGCCGGCTATAGATGTGTAGGGAGAGCGGCGGTGGCGGCCATAACGGTCTGTCCTCTACGGTAAAGTATACACCAGCGGCCACCACCACCAGTGCCCCCACGACAGACTTCAGAGGAACGAGTGATCTGTGCCCTGACCCGCCGCAGTGCGTACTTGGGCTCTTGTAGCTCCTTGAATTTGAAGGCAGGGTATAGAGAACAATAAAAAGCAAAGCAAACGTGGACAGAAACCTAGTATGTGGAGTACTGGCCTCCAGTCCCCCGCTTCGAGTGGAGAGTGGAGAGTGGAGAGTGGAGATTGATGGCCCATGGATGGGCACGGATCAGCCACAACACCACACAGCCACATACCTACCTGGCAGGTAGCCACACCATCGCTGGCCACACGAGCACACACGCGCCCACTGGCATGCTTGTTGAAAGTTGAAACGGCTTTGCAGTGTAAAACCGGTCACGACCAGTACTTGGGAGTGCACTTTGCAGCTTTGTTATATGTGGATGGCATGTGCATGTGCTGTACAATACACGAGGAAGGCTGGCGTCACTGAAAGCCGCGCGGCTGGAGCGGTAATGTATGAACGATTGGTGGACGATGGATGATGGATGATGGATCCTGGCTGCGTTCCTGAGTGCAGAGTGCAGCCTGTGATCTTCCTACCGTCATCTACTACTCTACTAGGTATATCCGGGGTTGCCGAAATAACCATGGCCCCGAAATACGGCCCTGAGAGTCGCGAGTCGAGAGTCGCAAGCCGATAGAGTACCTAAGGTAGTTATGCCCATCTCCGGGATGTTACTCATACTCACAGTTACGAGTCATCCCTACCTATACCTACCGTATACAACCGTCTCACTCACGCCTCACCTCACCTCCACCACCGCCGCAAATAAATAATCTATAAATCTCGCCGTCCGACCGCAAGAGTGTCTTCCAGGCGAAATCGGAGCGGAACCGGAGCGGCCGTGGAGGCGGAGGTGAAAGGACGTTGTGTTGAGTCGAGTTGAGTCGAGCTTTCGGTGGATGAAGAGTGGAGGGCTTCGACTTCGACTTCGACTTGCACAGCTGGCCGCTGGCTGCTGGCTGTTGGCGAGTCTATGCGCTCAATAGTTCATACAAACAATACCTAGCTAGAGGCGATCATATGATAGGACCGCCACCCACCTACCATACCTACCGTATGCGCATCCCGCTCGGCGCTCACCACCATTTCGACTCTGGTGCCTGGACTCTGGAGTCCGGAAGCCTAACTACTGTGAGCTCTACCCTACCGTACACGACCCCACCACAGCCCAGTCCGTCGCGTCGCCCCACCCCCCTTCGATCTCACCCTCCATCCGCAGCGCGCGACTCATCGCGCAGCACGCGCCAGCACACGTGATCCGTGCTGGGGGGTGGGGGCGGCGATGCGATGCGTCACACCGGCCCAGACATAGGCCAACACCCAACACCCAACACAGCCTCGCTGCCGTCGTCATCCCTGCAACAACTCTAACACCGGGCAGGCAGGCAAGCAAGCTCTGGAAGCGGGGAGGAAGGGAGGGAAGGGAGGGAGGGAGGGATGGTAAGGGCTAGCTACGGTAAGTAAGCAGATGATTTGTCGGTAATGCAGGTTGCAACTTGAAAGCAACCAACAGGCAAGCGCGTGCGAGAGATGCGTTGGCTGGTCCGGGCGACGGGTGCGTGTCATGCGTAGGGCGGGGGGCAAGTCGGGGTACACGAGCCGGAGGCTGGACTGGACTGGAGTTATCGTGGATGAGGGAGTGAGGTGGCAAGTCTGCGATCGATTGAAGGGATTTTCTTTTGAGGCCTGAGCTCTCTTCTCGTTGGGAACAGGGAAAGAAAACACAAACAGGAAAGCAGGCGGAGGGATGAGGGAGGGAATTCCAGCCACCGCCCCGATGCGATGACGCTTCTCGCCTTCCATTTGCCATCCATCCATCCATCGCTGTGGGTGTGGCCTGCACGGTTGTCTCTCTCCCTTTGTTGCAGGCACACCCAGGGGCTGGTTGTGGTTGGACCGACGTGATAGGATGGCTGGTGAGGCTTGAGCGAGAGGAGGCGCTCGCTTCGGATACAAAACCATCCACTCGCCCGTCTCCCCCCCCGCTCGAAGAGATTCAAGCACCAAGCGCCGCTCACGATCAACATTCTTCTTCTTCATATTCCGAGCGGACTTTCTACACACAACCAAAACACCACACACACAAACTACACAACAAACACAACAAACAACCAACCAACACCGATCCTCCGAACGACGATGTACCTGCCCTCTCCGCCGAGTTCGCCCAAGCCCGCGATCGCGAGCGGTGGCGCCTCACGTCGGCGCACCGCCTTTAGCCACACACGAGTGATACCGACGCTGCAGCGACACGAAACGCTTCTGTGCGATCGGCGCCGCGGCGTTGGCGGCGGCACAAAGACGCTCTCTTTTGAGGAGCTCGAGGAGCGCGAGGAAATGTGGGCTAGCGAGGCGAGTCAGGAGAGTGAGGGCTGGAGGAGCGATACCTCTATGGCCTCGTCGTCGTCTTCGGTCGCGAGCGCGAAATAACGAGCTACTCTACCTACCTGGGTAGAGAGGCGTGGGTGCGCTGCTGCTGCTGTTCCAGATTCAGGCGAAGAGGGGAAGGGGGGGCTGGAACAAGGAGGGGAAAGGCACGACACACCGACCGACCGACCGGCAGGAAATGCGCAGGGGAAGCGAAGGGAAGGGAGGGGAGGCGGCAAGGACTTTCCCCTCAGCCCTTGCCCTTGCCAGTCTGCCACGCGCTCTGTGACGGGATGGCCGACCGGCGATGATGATGATGAAGAGTCATCTGCTGCACAGCGAATCGGAGCGCACCCTCCCTGCAACTTCGAGCCATTTTCTGTACCCAGCCAGCCAGCCAGCCAGCGAGACAACTCGATCACCGGTTACCGGGGGGCGACACCAGGATGCGATGCGATGCGACAAACAAACAGCAGATCTGAAGTGGCGCTCCGCGCTGTCCCAACAGATCTGAACTTAACTGCGCCACAGTTGAAAAGAAATCCCTCCAATCCTCGGCCTTCGTACCGCGCATCCACATTCGCCACAACTGCTATCTAGAGTGGAGTACACGACTTCCGCCACACATCCACATTCTTGTTCGCCACAATAACAAGGCTTCGGCCAAACATCCACATTCCTGTTTCGTTTTGTTCTCTGTTCTCTGTTTGGATTCTCGGGCGCAATACGGGGGGCTGGGGCGGGGGCGGGGATCTTGCTTGCTTTCTTGCTGCTTTGATTTTCTCGTTTCGATTCGTTCCGGCGTTCGGTTCAACATGGCATGTCTCATTCGACTTGCATCTATTCCGTTGGAGCCGCTCTTTCTTTTTCTTTTTTCCCACCAGTTCTTTTCTTTTGATCTTGCTTTTTTCTCTTTCTTTTGGTTTCTGGTTCTGGTGTTTGGGGGGCATGGAACAGGAGGCACTGTACTTTTAGTTTCCTTTGTCCTGTTTCGTTTTGTATTGCATTTGTATTTGTATTTGTATCTTGTTTTACTTTACTTTCTTTGTTTGTTTGCGCGGAGGAGTGAGGAGTCCAACTGTATGATGTACCAGTAGTAGTGTATATACAAACGCACGTACACCCTATCCATACATCCATACCTACGGAGCAAGACAGATGAGTGAGATGAGTGACGGCCACCAGTGCACGGGCTGGGCGAAGGGGAACAGCGTGAATGGTGGGCCTGGTCCAGCCAACCCGTCGGTAGGCAGTACTTATTTTCCATTCCTTCATATCTATTAGATTACGTGCGACTCACCTAGATAACAGTGAGTACTTACACAGTACAAAACCGTAATGGTGTCTCACAGTCCGAAATCCCATCTCGAAGCAGCTCCCACAGGCCCCCAACGCCTCATGAGTTTAGTGCAACTGTAACTCTCGACTCACAAAGCCTCCCAATGCCTTCCTCTCGAGTCTCGCAAAGCCTCGCTCTCGAAGGAACAAGGACCACGGAACAAGGCTGCCAGCCTGCTACTATGTACGTCTTGCTCATCCGCGCCTCGCTGTCACTGACACTAGTCATATCCTGACGAACGGACAGCTCGCTCGCGTGGACGCTTGTCGGCCGATACCGATGGCAAAGGTACGTACGTAGACACGTATGGTCTGTGCTCCCCTCGGTCCGTCGGTCCACGGTCCCGGTAACGGGCTCGGTGACTAACTGGCTCGGTAATTAACGGACTCGGTAACAGGCTCGGTACCAAGTGACGCTGTCATCTTTCGGAGTGATGTGTGAACAATGGTTCGTGTTCGGGCCGCGTGATGCCTTGTGATGCCTCGTGAGTGATATCTCCACTAACCACTGACGGCCACCGCTCGCCGGTGCAGACCACGAACCACGAGATCATGTGAACACATATATCCCTCCCTCCACCCAAACGTGCGTACCAAATTACCGTCGTAGCTTCAGTACTATAGACTTTGTCAGAACCATCCAACGAGCAACAGCAAACGTAAAAGCAAAAGCAAAAGCACGCTGGTTGTATTATGTATAGTCTATCAGATATCTCCACATCTCCACATCTATCTCCACATCTATCATCTATCGTTCTATCATTCTATAATCTATCGTGCAAACCCACACCAACGAAAGCAAACACCGCCCCCGCCCCCAGCGTAAACACTGCTCCAAACCAAACCAAACCAACAAACCAACAACCCCACCCCCCCAAGAAAAACCCACGACCCGCTACCATGGAAGTTACCAACTCAACTCCCTAGCCCTCTGCTCCGAAACCACAAGCCTAGGCGTCCTCCTACTCCTACTCCCACTCCTACTCCCAGCGCGACGCACACTCCTCTCCCCCATCTCCCTCCTATCCCTCCGCGCCCTCCGGGTGGACAACACCCTCGGCGGCGGCGTGAGTATGCCGTCGCGGCTAGCGCATCCCCAGTCATACCCCCAGTCAGCGCCCCAGTGGGCGTATGCGCGCGGCGGCGGCGGCGTGAGCGCGGTATGGGTGGTATGGGGGGCGGAGGTGGAGTAGGAGTAGGAGTATTGTTGTTCGTGGTCGAAGCAGCAGCAGGCGGCCAGTAGCCGCAGGAGTGGCGGGAGTGGTGGGCGTGGTGGATGTGGTGGGCGGTTCCTCATCGAGATGGTATCTGGCGGGAATGGGGGCGGGGGAAACATTCGGTGGGGGCCGCGAGCGGGAGGAGGGGGGGAGAGGGGGTGGGGGGCCGGGGGGAATGGGGGGCCGGGGGGTATTTATTCCGCTGGATGGGGGGAGTTCGGCTTTAGCTCCAGCGCGTGGGCGTGCTGGGTGACGCGGAAGATCTGACGTCTCGAGTCGTGCTTGGTGCTAGGTGGTGTCGGCGCCGGATGGGCAGCGGGTGGGAGACAGGCACCAGGCACCAGGCACCACTGGTCAGGCACAAGCAACGGGTGGGGTGTGCGTGCTGGATATGTGCATGATGTAGATGTCTGGTAGATATGGTGGGATGACCGGTGGGGTGTGGTGGTGTGCGCACGTGGTCCGCCGTTCGGTTGAGGTCTTGTGCACACCTGCAGCTCCGGGCCTCCGGTCGTACGTGACCATAAAGTGTCACTCGCACACCTGCAGCTCCGGTCGGAGGTCGCCATGAGATGTCACTCGCACCCTCCAGTGGACGACAAGCCGACCAGACGCCCGCTGCGGATGGATGGGCATCTGAAGCGGAGCGCCGCATCGGGCTGGCTAGTACCGGGGCTTTCACCTCGACTGGCCAGGGCGGGCAGGAAAAGAAGTTCGTTGGTTCGCCATACCTAGTCTAGATACCTACCTAGGCTGCATGCGGAATAAAACAGGAAGATCTCTCCCTCTCTCCCGCTGCGGATGGTGCCGCTACAAAATATACTCGGCAGTTCGAAACGTTTGCCTACCGTTGTGCAGAATCAGCAGAAGGCATCCGGATGCATTTACCTCTGCATTCCCCGATCCTTCGGTACGCTTGGAGTTTGCTTCTTCACCTCTGGGCTCGTGGCCGTGATTTCCTCCAAAGTTCCGTGTTGCAATATTTGCGTAGACGGAAAGAGATAATCCATTCGATACAGCAACTATGTCATCCGCGGCGAGGTCTCTCTTTACATACATACAGACTGAGGTGCCGCCGATGGTTCCTCGCCCCCGCCGACACTCGGTCTCGACCGCTCACCGCGGAACAATGTTCATGCCAACGTCTCCGGGCGTCCAAAGTTTGACATTCCGAGGCCACTTTTCCTCCGACGGGAGCTCACGATCTCATTCGGCTAGGTACTCCATTCTTCTTACTGTGTTCCAGTCAACTGCGATTTTCTACACTGGACTTGAAAGAGCCCCACCATCTCAGAGCTCGTCTACTATGATATCACATATTTCCCATCCAATTTCCCGAGCGGCCAAACCATTTGAATGCGTCTCCAGCTAGAATCACGAAACTTTAAATGGTCGCAGTGGCTCTCCCACCAAGTATAAATCCTTTGCGCTCTGTCCCCCATAACTAGTTCCAGACGATAAACAACAGCATCTGAAACCATCATCATCAGTACATAGCTACCAACAATCCAGTGCACGCATACTACCACACACGATTTCTCACCCATCTTCCAACATCACGTCTTCTCCGGCATCGAAACACGATGGTGCACCACACAGATTTACGTAAAGGCGCACTCGGCACGATCACCTACCAGGAGCTTCTCGACCGCATCAACCATCCGCTGTTGTGCCGGACTAGCGGCCATAATATCTTCCGCGCTCTTGGAATGGGGCCTGACGCTACCCCCTTCATCACCCATGTAGAGCACGAGATACTCTGCAGGGCCATTCAACGCAGAGTGAGAGCGGGACTGCCAAAGTGTGGCCGCGTAAATCCCCAGTTCCCGGCTTATCTCACACAGCCTGGTATGTGACATCGCATCGACGCTGGGTAGGGCGAGAGAGCAGCGAATTCGGCACCTCCAAGTGCTCGGCGCGTGGCGGGCGGGCGGGGGAGGGGAGAGCTCGTGCTATCCAGCACTGGTAACCATTTGAGCTCTGGGTTTTTGTTTTTGTTGGAAAGGGTTCTGGTTCTCGGATCCGCTCTTCGGATGGTTTGAAGTTTCTGTTTCTGTTTTTCCTTCCCATTTTTCTTTCCTTCTAATCCATGTATTTCATTATTTCCTTATTTACTTATTTCCTTCGCATGTACATCTTTCGTATTTCCTCCCTTCCGCTTCTCTTCCTCTCGCGGTGACCTGCTCACAACATTGAATTTAATTGAATTGAATTCTTCCCGTCCATCGGTCCATGTGTCCATAGGTGCTCCGACGCTCCGACGCTTGCAGAGCTGAAAGCTGGAAGCTGGCCCACGCAGTGCACCCACGTGCACCCACGTGCCGCTGCCAGCCATTCCCGCCCCACGTGATGGGCAAACCAAGTGAGTTACGGGAGCACCTTTTTAACACTTAAGTCCCGTCGGGAATCGAAAAGTCAGCAAAAGACACTGCAGGTACATAGAGGCCCGAAAGAAGACAGGGAGGGGCAAAGACCGCTGAAAAATCCGAGACCGCTTTGTAGACGGGAGGTGTAGTCGGGACAACCTAGGCGAGCTTTTCTACACTGCGGTGGGTAGGCGGATCCCAGAGGTCGATGAGGAAGATGTGGCAGGTGAGGTGTCCGGGTGGGAGCGAGAGGAGCGGGAAGAGAGAACGGAGCTGAGGCGACTCGAGGAGGTGGGGGGTGCTGAAGTTGAGGAGCCAGGGCCACTCCCGCTGTTTCTCCCCACACCTTCCTTCATCACATCCTCTTCTGAAGAGGCATGAGGCAGCGAAGAGGCGTAGTGGACTAGGGATTCGCGGCGGAGTAGGGACGAGTCGAGAGAGCGGACGAGTCGAGAGAGCCGACGAGTCAACGGAGCGAACTTTGTCTTTCCCAGTGTTATTTCTTTAGTGCGCCCTTTTTCTACCGATGGGACAGGCTGGGGCGGAGGGCAGGGAAAGCCACATCGGTTTGCTCGATGAAAGTCCGGTTGGACAGTGGCGTGGAGACGGAGTGTGTATAGGTGGATATTGCCATATGTAGTCTACATAGGCCTGATGCTGAGAGACCAAAGAATGGGCGAGTGACAAAAATTTGATCAATTGGACTAGAATGCTCGGTCGATGATGGTGATGATGATCTGGTACAAGGTGATGATCTGACGAGAGACCAACTCGGGACCGAAGACAGGAAGAACAGAAATAGCGACAACAGAAACAATTCAACGTCGAACGACCGCAACGGGTCTGCATATGTCATCGGGTCCCGCCTCCATAACACATAGGATGTAAGTAAGTCCCACCAGGTCCCCGCAAGGTCTTCTCTCTCCGGATCTATGGCACTCACCGATGACTCCAAAGTTAAAACCGCGTCTGCCTCCGCGCCCCTCCAACGACGTATGAAGAAACCAAAAAACACATATTGTGGATGCAATTACAGTGATACCAAACTTATGATCCATCAAGCACAGCAACGACACCTCAATCGTCATGTTCCATTGTAAATCCACATCGTTGACCATCCTAATGCAGCACATCATTAACCATCTTCCATGATCCATTGTAAATCCACATCGTAGCCAATCCCAATCCCAATGCCGCACACCATTACCCCTCCCTATGCAATCATGCAACCATGGTATCATCTATCCCATTCCTCCTCACCACTACACGCCCATCACTTCCTTGACCACGGCCAGCGGCTGCCCATACCACGCCCACCCGGCAAGCATCATGCCTCCGACACTCGTCAGGGCGGCCATGGCAAAGTTCACACCATTGTTACTGAGGATGTTCCACCCGGTTTCGATCCTACGACTCGGCGCATCGTGTGCATGTTCCTTACCCACCTCCACCTCCAGCTGTTTCCCCGTCTTATTTGCTGCCCTCTGCTCCTTCCACTGTCCCTGGACGCTCTCCGCGCCGACGTCGCCCACCGCCGCGCCCGCCGTCTCCGGCGCCTTCCCGAAGCGACTGCGTAGCTCCCCCGCCACGGTAAGCCGCTTCTGACTCGGCAGGACAAGCACCTTCCCGCCCCCCGGTGCCTCCACGACCTTGCCCGTGCGCGTGTCGACCACGCTCGCCTGCAGCAGCGCGCCGAGGAGGGAGTCGAGAAGACTCCCCGCCGTGCCCATGCCCGTAATGAACGCTGCGAAGCGCGCCTTCTCTGCTAGCGACCAGGAGGCACACCACGGCAGCAGCGCGACGGATACGACCGCGATGACGCCCGCGCCGCAGGCACCCGCGATCAGCCCCGTCATGGACACACCTCCGTTCGTGCCGGGCGCACACCGCCGCGAAGTGGTGATTAGCCGCGGTCCGCTGCGCGAGAGGATGCCCAGCTCGCTGGAGAGCGTGTCTGCCGTGACAGCGGCGTAGTTCCTTTTCCCCGTCAGCATCCCGCGTCTCCAAGCAAACACACATGGGGAACATACACGATAACTCCTACCATGAGCAGCTGGTCAGCAAAGCACTCCCCGCCATCTCCGCCAGCCGTGGCATTCCACGCGCTGAGCGCAGTGAGCGCACTCGCAACGACCGAGTTAGCAAAGACCTGGGTAGCGCCGCGGGCGCCGTCGCCGCCGGCGCCGCCGGCGCCCGTGGCGCTGACGGTGAGCGTCGCCTTGACGTCGTGTTTGACCTTTGTCGCGGCCGTGCCGAGCGCATAGAAGGTTATCAGCAGCACGAACGGGAGGTTGTAGGCGTGCGTTCCGTGGATGCAGGCGGTGAGCACGGCGGCCAGGATCGCGGGCGGCGTTAGCGACCGACGGGTGTACGCCCGGTAGATCAGGAAGGATAGAGCGAAGACGAAGATGTATGGATTCATCGTGGAGCGGTGATGGATCGTGGTGGGTGGATGGGGGTTGGGGTTGCTGTGCTCTGCAAGCGAGCGAGGGATGGGAAGGTATGTGGGACTGGAGGGATGACGTATTTATCCATGTCTGTAGCTGGTCGCACGGTCTCGTCGTATTCTTGTGGTTGGGCCGGCAGAGGCCCAGTGATCACAGAGTCCGAGCTGGCCTCGCTTGGTGCACGAGAGAGCAGCTAACCGAACCGTAGACGTGTCCTTTTCGGCCCGAGTGATCGGAATGTATTCACCTAAATTGGAATACACAGAACCACAGATACACGCAAGAGAGAAGCATGAATATAGATACACTCATCACGACCAAACCATCTCCCCAACCGAAACCTGATAGCAAAAGCAGATCCCTCATTCACCCCACCCCACCCCGTAACTGAAACAAAATGAGAAAAGAAAAGGAAAAAAAAACCAGTACGGAGAAAGAAAGAAAAAAAAAGAGATGCAAAGAGGAAAAAACTATATAAAGTCCGACTCCTTGGAAAATTGTAGCCCAATGGATCCCCTCCAGTAATCTCGTAAACGCACCAGAACCCACAGTAAAACCTAGAAATGACAAACACAACCCCCCTTAGCTCTCCAAGGCGCTAACGGCTCCCCAATTCCCACTAGGCTTAACACCGTTGTCAATCCATCGTCTCTCCTCACCGGACTTTGTCGACGATTCCTCCTTCTTGATCCCGGCCTCTCCCATCTCGACGTCCCGATCCCGTGAGTTGTACTCCTGGCCGTTTCCAATCTTTCCCTGCTGTGCCGCAAAGCCGGCCAGCGCATCCAAAGACCCGCCCTCCTCCGTCTTTAGAACGACGGTCGGCGGCGGCGCCTGTGGTTGTACCACTGCGGCGGGGATAGGCGTATTAACCGCCATCCACCTCTCGGATCCGCTAGCGACGACTGGCTCCTGGTTGGCAGCCAAGAGCAGAGTGTCCACCTCGGAACTCGGGCCACGGCCCTGAGAGGACGAGGGAACAGGAATTGGCCCGGCCTTGGGAGTGGGCGGCGCGAGGAGGGAGAATAACCGGGTACGTTCATCCTGATTCGGCTTGACCAACCGAGTCCTTTCCTCGAGAGCACTTCCATTGTCATCGTTCCGGATAAATTCTCCCAATTGCTCGGCGACGCACGTCTGCATGTTCACGAGCCCGGCAAAGCTCTCGCCCGCCACAGCCCATCGAGGTTTGAGGGACTGGATGAATTCAACCGCCTTGCGGGTCTCCTCTCCGCTTCCCATCGGCTCAGCGCCGTGTATCCTCGACACACCAGTCATGTAGCCACGGATATCCATCCACGGGAAGTTGTACACGTACAATCCCGAACGGGCAGCACGCTCTAGTGCGAGGATGATGAAAGGTGACTCGATCCTAGAATTCCACTCCTGCAGAGACGAGACCAAAGTGACGAGATCACGTGCTGAAGCGAGGTACCGTTCGGCCGAGTCCGAGTAGAAGCGCTCCTCTTCCGAGGAAATCGGTTTGGTGGGCTCCACGGGGCCAAGAGGGTGCGGCGAGTGGAATGGAATGTTCGGGAGGCACTTGCGCTCCAAAGTGATGCGACACAGGAAAAGCGCAATGTGCAGCACAGCGTACGAAGAAGAACTACGGGTAGAAAAATGCACCTGCAGGGTATTCTCCGAATACTCAAGCTGATGGGGAAGCGATTCCACGAAAGCGTCGAGTGCTGCCGAAAGCCTGGCATACTCAGAGTTCCGAGATGACGGAGGTGCGCTGTCAACACTGATGGGGGAAAAGTCAGTACGATTGTTTATTTTTGATTATTTATTTGCGTGTACTTACGTTTCTGTCCACGATTGAATGTGTCCCCACAACTCCATGGCTTTGACAACATGGGCTAGTATCCTTTCACCCGCACCAATTTCGTGTGATTCATCGCTCCTTCCAGGGTGGAGAAGACTGTCGGAGTTCAAGAAACCAGTCTTGGTGTCTGCACCAAACATGAATCCCCGCTCGTCGGAAGGCAGCTGGACCCTGTCGGCGTCGGCGGACGGAATTCCACTGGGAAAGTATCGGCCGGACGAAAGAGATCTATCCAACACAAAGACAGCCCAGAAGGTTCTCCGCCGGATCTCCTTCTCGACGGTGTAGGCAGTAGCCGCCTTCGCGGACGCTGATGTGCCGTTGTCGAGCTTCCGCCTCTTGAACGGAAGTGGGTCGTCGCTCTCGGGCTGCGGCGAGTACGGAGCCGTGGCGGGGGCGTCGTCGGCATCAACCCACGACAGACCCAGCGCACCGGTCATCCGGATGGCGAGTCCCAGCCACATGTAGGCCTCAGACTTTCTCGTCTGGCCCCATTCGTGGATGCTCAGCATCACGAGCGCCTGTACCTTGTCCAGGGACGGAACCAGCAGGCTGTCGTCGTCCTCGTTCTTCAGCCGGTACTTGAGCGCCGAGGCGTAGAACTCGGAAACTGCGGTCGGAGTCGCAAGGGCAGGGGCATGGTGGGACACGAGTGGCGCGATGTGGCGGCCAGTCAACGTGAGCATGCCAAGCAACAGCAACGGCGAGTGCGGCTTCTCCGGTGGCGGAGAGTTGCCGGATGACGATCCGGGGTTCGCGGTCGATGCTCGCAACCTGTTCAGGAAGGTGGGTGGATGAAGGAACGGAAGAACCGGAGAGTGGTGCAATTGGAATGCATCGAACTGCGAGCACATTAGCTACCGTGCTCCGGACGTGACTCCTCCTTCTCCCCGCCTTCCCCATGACCAGGAAGAAGGGAACCAAAGAGGAAGTTGCGGCTGGTTGCTTACAATCAGCTGCCACACGGCCTGCGTCAGCACCGGCGCACCCAAGCACTCTTTCCAGGACGACGGCGTGTTCATGCTAGCAGCTGTAGCCGCTGCATTGGCGCTTGAGGTGGGCTTCTTCGGCTTCGCCTTCTTCGGTGCCTGGATTCCGGTCAGCATCCTGGCTACACAGCCTCATCGCCAGAGACATGCAGTGCAACCCTAACCTCAACTCGCTCTGCACCACCCGCGCCACCCAATCCGCCCGACCCGGCGCCGGCCACCGAACCGATGGACATGGTGGCACCACCACTTCCCCCCGACGCGCGAGGAGCGCCCGAGGCCACAGGCTGTGGATAGGTGCATTCTCTGTTGCTGGCCTCGCACGCGCGACAGGTTGTATTTGGGCCAGTATTAACGCATTTGACTTTCGATCTCCTGCATCGAACGCAGGCAATCGAGGACCGCATGTTTTTCGCCGGTGAATCTATGGTTGCGGTTGCTTTCTTGTGACCTGGGCTTGGCCCGGGTCCGTTCGCGTTGGGGATCGGATTGATGTTCTGCATATGGGTAGGATTCGGCCGGTTAGACTTCAACCCGATAACCGGACGGAACGTTTCCCCTCCTTCCTCGGTGCTGAATCTCGGGGGCGAAGAACTTACAGTGCTCTGGGAGCGACTATGACCGCCGGAATGCGATCCCGAAAAAGTTGACGCCGACGTGGTGGAGGTTGTTAGGGGGGAATGAGGCTACACTGGCAAAAAGGTGGAAGAGCAATGGAGGGGAGGTTGTTGTTTGGAGGGGGGGCGGGAGGGCAGACGACAAGGACAGCCGGGGGGGCGACCAGTAGCGTCACGGAGTTGGGAGGCAAGACGGGGGGTGGGGAGGTTTTTCGGACTGGTAGGAGTATTTAGTTTTGCGCAATCGAGTTCTCTTTTTTCGGCGGACGGCTTTGACCGAGCGGGTTGGGGGCGGGGCGCAGAGGATTTTTTGGTTGGAGTGAATTTGTGGTTGCGAGTTGCCAATGTTTCGTCGGGCCGCGGGGAGTTCAAACAGTGGTGGGTGGGAGGGTTATGACGGAACAGCAGGCAGCGGACAAGGTGGTGGTGGTGGTGGTGGTGGTGGAGGGCGGGAGATAGCCGGGTAGAGAACGGCGCGGAGTTGTTGCTATCTACGAGACAAGAGCGAGAGGGGCGGGATCGGGGGGGCGGGGGTGGGTGGGCGTGATGGAGGAGAATGGGCCAAGTGAGAGGCAGGGAGAAGAGAGAGAAGCCGAGAGGGAAGTGGAATTGGGGGGGAGGAGAGTCGGGGGGTGTTGATGGAGAGGAAGGGAAGGGAGAATGGGGAGGGAAGGATAGAGAAGAGGAAGAGGAAGAGGAGGAAGAGGAAAAGGAAGATGGGGGAGGAGGAGGAGAAGGGAAGGGTGGACCGTGGATTCCGGTCTGATTCCGGCTCGGTGTTTGCCGAGTTTTTGGTGGTGCACGCGAAGGGGGACTTTTTGCTCTAGGCTCGAACCAAGGAGAGCGAGCAGACAACGATGGCGAAGGACAAAAAGGCAAGAGGGCCGCCTCCCTCCGTCCACAAGTGACTTTGCGGGTCCGCCTCCCAGAGGGCAAGTAACTCCTCGGCAACGGGTTCACCGAGACTGCACCACCCACACCCACGCAAGCCCAGAGCAACGAAAGCTCCTACCTAGCAGGTAAGTAGGGCAGATCCGAGCTGTGATCCGAACAGGCAAACAGGATAGGCAAACAAATCAGAGCGGAGCAGAAGTCGAGCGCAGACAGCGGCGGCGGCAGCTGGGGTGGGGTGGGATAGGGTAGCAATAAAAGAACGGGGAATCTGTAGCCGTGAGTGGGAGAGAGAGGGAGGCCGGGCGACGGATACGATGCCTCAGCCAGTTCAATCGAATCGATTATCGATTATCGACGGGGGGTCCTGTCAGGCGGCGGCCGGCCGGACTGAGCTGGGGGGGGGGAGGAACTTCAAGGAAGGAGGGGAGGGGTGTTTTCGCTCTGCTGCACTGTGCTTCCCTTTGCCTTTCTCGGGGGCCAGACTTGCCGACCAAATCCGGTCGGTCGGATTCTTCCGGTATGTGCTATAGGCAGCCCAGAGTCGTCTGTGGTGGTGGTCGTGGCCTTGGTCGTGGTCGTGATGGTGGTCGTCGTCGCCGTCGTCGTTGCCGGGTGCTAACCGTCGTCGTACTCGTCGTCGCAATCTCTCGCGGCTGACTGACTCTGACTCCGCCGTTATGCTTCCGAGCCCTCCGTGTCGAAAGACTATCCAGTGTCAATCAGGTCACCCATCGCAATCCCCCGCCTCCGATCGGCCCTCGTCCATTCCGTGTACATGGCGGAATCGACATTCTGCCTATTCTGGTCTCGGTTCGCACTCCACGCTCCACTCTGCTCTGCTCTGTCCGCTAGTACACACTCTGGGTACTCTGCTCTGCGTCATCTGCTCTACTCCGATAGGTACTCTGCTCTGTTCTGTTCTGTTCTCCTTCACCTATCCGTATACATGACATACTCAGGTATGACAAGACTTCAGGGTGCTCGACCTCGACCTCACCTCGTCCTCGTCCTCGTCCTCGCCCTCGACCGTATCCTGCTCGTCATCCGGTGGCTGCCCAGCGAAAGCCTCGGACTGTGGGGCGGCTAGAGGATGTAGTTACTCTAGGGGACGAGCAAATGAAAACGGAAACCTTCTCCCGTGCTGGCTGCTGCTGCCGTGCAGGACACTCTCCTCGGCTGCGAGCGTCCAGGCATCGGCGGCAACAACGGCCGATATGTGAGGAGACGGGATGCTACCCCCCCTCCCACCCACCTCCCCCCATGCCTCTCTCCTTCTCGTTTCCGTCGGTATGTGCACCCCCTCCCATCGCCTGCCACTACCAACTACCAACCCCCCCGCCCCCCTCCCACACCCATCATCCCCCAACCCCATCAAACCGAAACCGGAGAGAAAGCGCGGTTTGATCTTTGAAGGGGGTTAAGACCATCCCGCCGACTTGGTGCTGACATGTTCCGTGAATAGATCGAAGGGAAAATGTGCTGCTGCAACACTGCAACACTATCTAGAGTAGAGTATCTAGAGCACAACACTGCTCCACAGCAACCTGGTGTGTGTGTGTGTGTGTTTCCCCATCCCCATCCCCCCGATCTCGAGCAGCAACGCTCTAGATCTATATATTGATTCTGCCCGGGCCGATGACACATCACGTTGTCGACATCTGCGTCTGCATCAGTGCATCTGCGCCGTCAGCCATTCCCTTCCCCCCTTCCTCCCATCGTTTCCCCTCTGTGGCCCGCGCTGGGTCTTGGCTGTGGCCTCGGACAAGGCAGGCAGGCAGGCAAGCGTGCAGCCCACCCGGAACTCGACACCTTCAGGGAGCCGGTTCGGCGACTCGCGTTGCTGCAATCAGCGAGACTCGGCCCTCCACATACATGAATACATACTCTACATACTCTACATACATCCATACGTGCATATTTGCTACATACACAAGTACTCTACCGTACCTACCAGGTGAACATGTGCGACATGACTCGCCGGCCGCCTCTTTCCTCTGCTCCTCCTCCATCCTCCATCCTCCCTCCCTTGCTTGCATCGTCGTCATCCTGCCCACTGCCACCGCCTCGCTTGCAAGTTGCATCGTATCATCGTATCAGCCATACATACAGCAGAAAAGTCCCCGATCCCCCCGATCTGCCCGCCGCCCGCCTGTTCGCCTGCCCGTCTCTCCGTCTATCTGTCCGTCTCTCTGTCTCTGCGCTCCCGTCTCTCGTTTGCACCGGATGGTGGTGGTGGTCGTCGCTAGCTAGCGTAGCGCCGAGTCGAGTCGGGCCAATTCGAGTCGGGTCGTCGCCTCTTTCATTCTCCCTTATCGTGCGTGCGTGAGTTGCGTGTGGAGTATCGTAGCAGCGGTACTCGTGCCGGTGCGGTGGAGCAAGCAAGCAGCTGGCCCTCTCGGGGAATCCCTTCTTTCCCGACGAACCTGCCTGGCCCTGTCTGGCCTGCTTGCCTTCCGACTTCGGCGGTAGTTAGGTAGTTAGGTAGTTGACGTGGTACAAGAGCACTTCGAGCAACGGGCGAGCTTCCGTGCGTGCTGGGTGGGAGATGCATGTCGGCATCAGAGCCCACTCGCGAGAGTTAAGAGAGTTACGCAATCGAGTAAATCTTTAGCCGCTACTCCGGGAGGGGGCCTTCTCATTCGGGTTCTATTTTTTGTTTTTCGAGTTTGTTTTGTTTTTCGGGTTTGTTTTGTTTTTGGGGGGTTTTCGACTGGACTGGCACTGGCGGCGGGGAGTCGGGGACAGACAGACAGAAAAACTGCACCGGTGCCCCCTCCTCCTCCGCCTCCTCCTCGATAGGAAAAGGGCTACGACTCTACCGTGGCTACTAAGGACCGGCTGGCCCGCAGACCTTGGTCTTGTGCCCGTGGCCCCGTGGCCCGTAGGCTGTGCCTCTGGCCGCACCGTATCCATACCTTGCGTCCAGACAGATGATATGATACTTGCACTTCCTCCAGCTTTCCTGTTGGCCCCCCGCCGCCCCATCGGGAACGAACATCGGCACAGTTCCCACTCGTGTCTCCGACAGCCTACTCTACATGCCTAGCGTCTCGTCCTGTGAGCGCGCGAGCGCGGTCAAGTGTGACCCGACCCCGACGGGGACGGGGACGGATCGCGGGTTTCAGCCGCTGCCAGCTGATGCTGATGGCGATGCGCGCAGGAGCAGAGGCAAGGCAAGGCGGCAGAGATGGTGCGATGCGAATCCACGGGCTACAGGTTCGGGGCCATGGGAGATGCCTTCCATGCTTGCGCCGCCGCCGTCTTTGACTGCGCGCGCACAGATGGCGCCGAGGAACCCAACCCCCCCAATGGCGAAAGAAAAAGGTTCAGTTCCGAGAAGATGTGCCGGCTCCTCTGAGAGCCTCCTCCTCTGAGAACCTCCTCCTCGTCGCTACGGAAAGGACAGGACAGGACGCTGGACAGGACAGATCTGCCGGAGCCGGAAGCGGCAGTCGCGTTCGTTCGCTCGTTCGTAATCATCAAGTCTAACTGACTAACTGACCAACATCCGCGCCCGCACGCCCGCCCGCACGCCCGCACGCACACACGACCGCACGCACCGGGAAAGGCAAAGGCAAAGTCGGGAAGTGGCCGGCATCGTTATCGCGTTCGCATGGAGTATGTACGAAATGTGATGCAACTGCAACCACCTCTCCCACAGCACCGCACCACCTGCATCCGCATCCGCATTGCCATCGCCATCGGAGCATGGGGTTGGGATTGCTATGTAGGGGGGAGGAGGATGGAGGGAAGGTGGGTGGGAAAGGTGGGTTTGCCACGCGCAAGTACCTACCCACTCCAACTCCAACTGCCCTCAGCCCACACTCCTCCGGCGACGAGGAGTGCACAGGGGGGGACGGACGGAGCATAACTTCTCTCACTCACGGGAAGGGAGGGCTGGAGGGTAGAAGCTGAACGGCGGGAGGGAAGGCGCACGGGGAAGGCGCACGGGGAAGGCGCACGGGGAAGGCGCACGGAGAACCGAGACTTTTTGTTTTTGTTTTTTCCAAAAAGATTATCGAAGAGAGAGGGAAAAAAATATTATTTCATTGGCCGGCGGCGGTCCGGGAGCGTTATGTTCTGTTCTGTTCCCTTTGCAGCGTTACGACGGGTTCTTCTCCCTTTCCTTCCCGCAGAACGAAGGAATGCGTTCCGTTTTGCTCTGCTCTGCGATGTTGTTGGAACTGCACTGCACGCTGCCGCTGCCGCTCCGGCCTTTGATGTTTGAATAATACCTATCAATCTTGATACTTGGCACGGGCGGCGGCAGCAGCAACGGCAGGAACAGCAGCGGCAACGGCAGCAGCAGCAGCCAACGTACTGGGTACTTTTTTCCCTTCCCTTCCCTTCCCTCAGCTCCCTCAGCTCCCTCACTCCCTTCCGATCGCAGGCGCCCATATCCATTTCCCGCTCGAGCTCTGTCAAATGCCAATTGCGCCACAGCCTCGGCCACCGGCCTCGATTCGGCTCTTGCACCCCGCCCCGCTCTTTTATGTAGGAGGGAGGGGGGGGCTAGGATCGCGTTCCCCGGCAATGCGGGGCTTGGCGCGGTGCCGGGCCGGGGCCGGCGAGATATGGGAAGTGGGGGGAGAGTGAGGACAGGTGTTGTTTTCGTTCGTGGAGGCGCAAAAGAAAGTCAGGGAAGGCAAGGGCTGTTTCATTTTCTTTTCCTTCTTTCTCTGGGAGTCTGGGGACACCCGGAGAGTGGCGGGCAAGGCGTATCGGAGCTTCTGTGGGTGCATCTGAAAGCAGCAGTCGGTTGCTTTTTTAATTGCTCTGCTCGCCACTGCTAGTAGGAAGGTAGGTAGCAGTCTGTGGGTAGTGTACTCACCGTTCAGGCCGGGTTTCCACCACCCTCGCCCTTCCCGCATCCGCGGGAACTGGCGGACTTCGCGGATCATCGGATCATCGGATGGGCTATGTATGGTATGTGTGTATGGTTTGGTGGGTCGTTCTTGGAAGTTGGGAGGGGGGTGTGATGTGGGGTACTGTAGCGTGGATTCCCAACGCGGAGATCTCCCCCTGGGCACCAGGTAACTCGACGAGATGGACGGAACGGTGCGGAGATGTCACTCGGGTCCGCGGGCGAACGGGGGTTAGGAGGGGGGCGGGGTCGGCGCACGGGGCGGCCGCGCAAGGGGATGAAGACTGCGGCCCCGACTCTAAAGCCCGCCTCGGACCGGAGCAGCAGCTTGGGCTGTGTGGCTGTCCGGTTGTTCGTATGTACACAGGTATATATCAGAGTATGTATAGATAGGTATCAGCAGTCGCCTTCTGCCTCGTTGGTAAATGGTGAAGAGCCTCTGATAGAGAAGTTACCGTATTGTAGCCTTCCTTCCTTCCTTCCTTCCTTCCTTCCCTTCTTCCTTCGCTTCTTCCTTCCCTTCTTCCTTCCTTTCTTCTTTCCAGTCTTCCTCCCTTCCTTCCTTTCTTCCTTCCTTCCTCGCAGCCTATTTTGCGGGAGCAAAAAAGGATTACACATCCCACGTGCCCTGCTGTGTTGGCACGAGTCGACTCCAGTCTCCGGGTCGATGTCGATGTTGATGGACCATCGGGATCGAAGGGGCGGGGTCCGTGCTTGCATGTATCATACCGGTAAATAGCTGGGCTGATACACAAGTATCATAGAGTGGTAGATTTCCGATCGTACCTAGAGCACCTACCCCAGGACCCACCTGAGCTGAGACATCTAATCGGAGTCGGAGGGGCACACTGCACAGCCGCCATTAGCTCGCCGGATCCCCCAAGTAAACCTCCATTCAGGTTTCGGCGACTCACCGCACCGGCCGAGACAAGGAATTCCGCGTCGCGTCAATAGTGTAGAGTCGGCCGCGGATGCGGATACTCGTGCCGGATCCGGGTGCCGGGGGGGAGGGGGAGGGGGGGCCGTTGGGATTGGCGCATCGGCAAGATTGGCTGTAGGGGGGCGGGGACCGTCGCGTTTCAGCTGTGTGCTATGTACCCACGGGGAACACGAACCCGAACCTATCGATTGTGCAATCTGGCAGTGAGAAGAACGAAAGTAAGAAAAAAATCCCGCCTCTCGCGATACGCTTCACTGAAATGAATTGAAGTGAAATGAAGTGAAACGAATCATGTACATACCGCATGTTTTCTCCCGGATCCTGCTGATCATGACGGGATCGTGACGGGATCGCGACCGGTACCGAGGGTCGACGTCGTGCGTCGAGTGATCCGCAGTGGAGCACCACAGCACCACAGCACCACAGCAGACGATGCCGAATGCCGATCTCGGAGTTTGCATCGTTGCATCGTTGCATGTGTCTGTGCCTGTCCCTGTAGATTCTCCGAGCGTTGTGAGCGTTGTGTGTAGATAGATAGCTGACATGTGTCATGTGTCGTTGCGGATTGATTGATTATGGGCTGGTTGGATAGGATGGGATGATATACCTATAGTAGTTATTGAAACAGTAGATGGTATGCATACATGACAGGAGTGAATAGGTTCCCCCGCAATGCACAACAGAGAGTACATCATATGTACCTGAATTACCGTATCACGGTTATGGGATCGCCCGGGAAGGCATATTGATCTGGGATTTCGTGTCGGCTCTCGGCTGCCTCGTGCGCCTCGGTGGATTTGCTGGTGGACTGTTCGGCCTGTTCGGATAGAATTTGGAGGTCAGCTCCAGCGCTCTTTCATCTAGTGGTATTGCACGGGGCCGTCCACTCCGCATCCGCATCCGCATCGACGTCGCTGCTTTTTTTATTTTTTACCGTGGAGAGATGCATACTCGAACGGCCATCCTCCTGACTCCCGACTCTCGGCGCGGTGGTGGCCCGTATCTTGCGTACACGTGAATAAGTGATCCCGAGCCGGCGTGGCAGCTATCGATTGAGGTTGTCTCGCTTTCCCATGGGTTCTAGGTATTGGGAGACTTTATGATGGTTTTGCGAGGACCCTTTGTCAATGCCTCTTCAGGCTGACAGACATGACGAGAGAGCGGAGATGGGGTTTTTCGAGGGCTCTTTCGCCAATGCCTCTCCAGGCCGGCAGGTGTGCCGAGAAAGGGAGCACACACAAAGGAGAGAGCGGAAATGGGGGGTTGGCCGTCTATTCGATGGATGATGATCAAGAAAGAAGAAGAAGAAGACCCCGCCATGCCCGCCAATGTTGAGTCCCACCAACGTTGATGCCCACCACTCCTAACCACATTTGTTTCCGACGCCGGCAGCCTGAGTCATCCTTCACTTCCTCCTCTCGCCGACAGCTCCTCCATCACTCCGCCACAATGGTTTTGCGATAAATGTGATTCGGAGGCGGACATATATACCAACCTAAATACCCAAGTACATACCTACCCACGATCCGAACCTGTGAGACGGCGGTAACGGCTGATATTTGGAATACCCATCTAGCCACAGAGTCGTCGACGTGGAAGCCATATTTTGGCTGCAAGCCCGGCCTGGAGTCCTCATCATCGTCCCTTGGACGAAGCTCCTACATACGCACCCTCAAAACCATCATAGGTACCTACTTCCGGCAGACAACCGTAGAGAACCGGCGGGAAATCCTCCAAGTATTCTCATCGTGACCAGTCCGTATGGCTACTAATAACAGCCGGCCGCTCGGAGGAGGAGGAGCAGCCCCGGACGGCGAGACCTAAGCCGACTACAGTCAGCGGGTAAGCAGCTATCCGAATGAAACGACTGTCGTTTCAGACGAGAACTGACGGGCTCATTTAGATCACCAATCCCTCCTTCCCCCGGATCCGGCAAAAGCTTCGTTCCTTGTTGGATATGGCCGGCTGGTCGATATCCAACGGTTGCGGCCTTGCCGCTGACGTACCTGGCAGGAGATTGCATTCAGGAACCCTCCCGAGTCCCTCCAGCGAAACGAGATGCAATTGGAGTGGATATCCCCGCCATTGGCGATGTGAGGCGGGACCTTCGTATCGGTCGGTCGTGCGCAGCTCAACGACTGGTAGTGGTGATACGCAGCATATGTGCATACCCAGAAGGCAGTTAAGCACGTGAGCTTACCGAGTTAGAGCTGTTGTTGCCGTGTTGGGAATTATGGCAGCGTTTCCTAGAGACATAGCTGGGAAGGGAGCCTTTCATTTTCGGAGGTTACGTTGTTCCGCTTAGATACAATTCAACAATACGCTGTGGATATATATCAATGGGGCAGTACCGTGGTTAAGAGTGTCTCACTACATAGCCGTGGAGAGCCATGTGAGAAAGCTCGCAACGTGATTGACCCTGGCGCCGCCGGCGGGAAGCGGGGATCTTCACGATTGAGTGCATTATACCCCCACAAGTTTTGTATGCAGAGACTCGGGATTACATACGAACATCGGTATGACAATTTTAATTACGAGGAAAGACTGTGACTCGCAGAAAGCCGCAAGCGCGTGATCTTCACGTCCACCGCTTATTGACGGTTAAAATCGAGCTATGACCACAACTTGAGGTATGACCACGCGTAGCCAAGTACGTCGGTAGATATCTTCGTTTCTAATCATCGTGAGAAAACACGAGTCTTTAATGTTTAGACGGCTGTGCGCCATGGACGAATCGAAGCCTCGTTTCAGTTACAATACTAGGACAAAAAGGATTGGACAGAGCCCGTTTTACACCAAAAATGGCCATTTTCAACTACTTATACAACCACTCGATCGTATCGAAAAAAATCAGAGACCGTTGAGAGACCTCTATAACTACACAGACAACGATATCAGAGCTCCGCGCGAAGTTTTGAATTGTTGGCGTTGAGCAATACCATACGGGGGGAAAGTTAATGGTTGCCAGGTAGCGTTTTGTATGGGAGCCCCATACAAAATCTAATGTCACTTTTCAACTCCTGCACAATACAACATCATACAGCCCCAATCCCTGATGAAAGTCGTCAAAGTTTTTGTTGATGAAGAATCTTGTGATTCTAACGCTTCTATGAAAGAGATGATTTTTTCCGACCAGGTGGAGGGTAGGTTTAGGTTGTATGAAAATGGGCATTTTTGGTGTAAAACGGGCCCTGTCCAATCCTTTTGTCATGGTAGTTGCTCTTGACGACATCCACTCACACAGACTCGCAAACATCGTAGAGCAGACGAAGGTCCCAGTATTCTCGCCGAAGCTGGTGGTATTGAGACGCTGGTTTCCGGCTCGGCTCGGCTCAGCGGAGTCGACTGGGTCACAACCATCGTCAATACGGCGAAGAGGATGAAGATGAATTGTAATCTCTATCTACGTGAGTTAGATATGAACCTCGAAGCAACGCACAGCTCCTAGTGCGAGCGGTGGTAGAGGGACAGCAACTTACCGCAGAGTTTTGTTTGATTAGAAGGGTGATGGTGGAGGAGAGAAGTGGAGCACCGTAGATTGACGGCAGTAGGAGGTCGTAGTTGTACGTCTGCTCAGGAGCGAGACAAGGTAAAGTACCGGTGTAGCATACTCCAGGTTTAATCGGCACTCATGGAAGTGACTCCCGGAAGAAACAATCTGCCGAGGATTGGATCAATGAAACTGTGTGTTGTGAGAGAAGTGGCCATTGATGTTGAATCGTCGTGAGGATGGAACTTCATTGAAGGAAAGTTGGGAGTAGAGTATTTACCCTTGGACCACGATAGCTTGCGGCTCTGCGGCAGCATGCCAAGCTTCGGTGACCAACTCCCGATATCTGAGAAAGCTTCAATTGCGGAAGGAATCCGCTGGCCAAAGCTGGAGAAATTCACACCAGCCTACAGTTCCAGCTTGAGATTTCCAATCCGGATGATGTGGGGCTCTTGAGGGTGGCGTGACTACGCTAATCAATGGCAATCCGCAACCAGCCCGCGAAACCCGTCCGGAGCCGGGTTCTCCACCCATCGCTCAGCGGACACTTCCGCTTCGGTGGGGTGGATTTCTCACAGCTGCATAAGCTCCGCATGAACTCACGCACGATCTCTTCAACCGATCACTAACTACAACTCTATGTACGAGATGTCCGGTCACTAATGACGGCTATTTTTGGGTTTCTAAAGTCCGCCGATGCCTGACAAATCCACGGCCCTTCTCGGCCCATTGATTTTACGTGAGGATCGCATAAACACTTCGTGCTTCATACACTGATCCCAACACATTTGTGGCCTGGTGGGTGAATATGGAACTTTGTTGCAGCCTGCACATCGACGGTTTAAGACTTTCGTGGAAGCATTCAATTGCAGGTGCGGGAAGGGAGCCAGCTCGGGACTGTTTCGATGCGCGGAGCGCGAGGTATGGATGACGTCGCTATACCATATGTGTTGACCTGCATTTCGGCCGATCATAACAACTCAAGATCCAGCTCAGTACTTCCCGTCTACCCATTCCTCTACACACATACTTCTTCTTCACTCACCATCCGTTCTTGTTCACAACTCATCCCTCCACACACACAATTCATCTTCAATTCATCATCTGTTCTTGTTCGCAACTCATACCTTTATAAAAACAATCACAAACTCTTTTTCAACCCCCATCCCCATCTCCATCTCTCACCTACCCCGTGGATAATAAACTATGTCTCCCCTTCAATTGCATCATGGCAATACCGCCCTCGATGGTGAGACGGCCGATGACAATGTACATGACTCCGCCGCGAGGATCCTCGATATCCGTCGGGAGAAGCTCTCCATCTCTCTCGAAGGCGAGATAATTAAGGGCCTTGTGGGCAAGGCCCAAGGAGAGAAGACTTTACCAACTCTCCTTTTATACAGTGCCGAAGGGCTCAAGCTCTTCGAGAGCATTACGTACCTGGAGGAATACTACCCGACGAACACCGAGATCGCTATTCTCGAGAAAAACGCGACGGCCATGGCGGAGAGGGTGCAGGACGGCAGTATCATAGTTGAGCTAGGAAGCGGGTGCGTATTTCAGGCTACATCCTCTTCTTGGCGGAGAATAACCAATGCTGACGGAAAGAAGCAACCTGAGGAAGGTCAATATCTTCTTGAATGCTTTGAATGAGCTTGGCAAGAAGATTGACTACTACGCACTCGATCTCGATCGCTCGGAGCTCCAGCGGACGTTGGATATGGTGCCCGAGGATCTCGAGAATGTGAAATATCACGGGCTCCATGGCACCTACGAGGATGGCCGGGCTTGGCTCAAGAGCGCGGAGGAGGTTAGAGACCGACCCGTAAGTACTCTCTCCGTATATCGTAAGTACGGATTTTTAGTTGACGAGTCTAGCGTTGCATTCTTTGGCTGGGTTCTTCTGCTGGCAACTTTGAGCGGACGGCTGCTGCCGAATTCTTGAAATCCTTTACGAGCGACGCATTGAGGCCCGGAAAGCCGGATTATATGCTGGTGGGACTCGACGGCTGCAAGGAAGGCGACAAGGTGTACAAGGCCTACAACGATCCTCAGGGACTCACGGAGCGTTTCATCATGTGCGGATTGGCCAATGCCAATGGCGTCCTTGGCGACGAGTACTTCAAACTCGACGAGTGGGAGTATATTGGCGAATGGAACGCCGAGCACGGACGTCACCAAGCTTTCTATTCGCCGAAGGTGGACATCATTTTCCAGGGGAAGTTGAAGGGCGTCTGCGTGAAAAAGGGCGAAAAGATAAACGTGGAGTACAGTTACAAGTTTGACGACAAGGACTCTCGGATCCTATGGGAAGAGGCCAGAGTGATTGAGGGCGCACAGTGGGCGAATGAGAAGGGAGACTACTGTTTGTTGAACTTCTCTTCTTGATTTGTATTTCAACTAATTGTGCGTTTCCTAGTTCTTCACATGTTGCAGAAGCCTGCCTTCATTTTCGGCTCTACGCCGGAGGAGTATGCTCCAGAACCAGTGCCTACTATGACGGAGTGGCGCCAGTTATGGGCCTCCTGGACTGCGGTGACGCTGGGAATGATACCTAACGAGAAACTTCTGTCAAAGCCAATCGATCTGAGGAACCCATGCATCTTCTACTTGGGACATATTCCAACGTTCTTGGATTCCCTGATCTCCCGTTCCACGGGAAAGGACCCAACTGAACCACTTGACTACCAGCGCATTTTCCAGCGCGGTATCGACCCAGACGTGGAGAACCCCGACCAATGCCATTCGCATAGCGAAGTCCCGAATTCGTGGCCGGAACTGGAGGAAATCCTTGAATATCAGTCCTGGGTTCGAGAGCGTATAGAAGGGTTGTACAAAGACAACTCGGCGGGACACCAACCGATGGTGGTGCAGAGGGCGCTTTGGCTCGGATTTGAACACGAGGCTATGCACCTGGAAACTCTGCTTTACATGCTTGTTCAGTCGGATGCAACTCTTCCGCCGCCTGGTGCGATCATTCCAGACTTCCACTCGGGTAGAACCTGGGAGCGGAGACTGGATGCCACCAAGGGGGACGCCTGGGTTAAAATCCCAGATACCACGTTGGAGGTCGGAATAAATGACCTAGAGGAGCCAGAAAACTCTAAAGCTCATTTCTTCGGCTGGGATAACGAAAAGCCGGTGCGAAAGGACGTCAAAGTTGCTGCGTTCCATGCTCGCGCGTTTCCTATCACTAACGAAGAATATGCTGGCTATCTGGCGGCAAAATCGATCGAAACTATTCCGGTTTCCTGGGCTAGGAGTGGCGAGGAATCGGGAAAAAACAACAGTATCGCAGACCTTATGGAAACTGTCCACATCAAATCTGTCTTTGGCCTAGTTCCTCTGAAGCTTGCCTTGGACTGGCCTGTCATGGCTTCTTACGATGAGCTTGAGGGATGTGCCCTTTGGATGAATGCTCGAATTCCTACCGCAGATGAAGTTCGTGCCATATACTATCATGCAGAGTTGGATGCTACCAAGGTCATCGAGAAAAAAGAATCGAGGAAAATTGACGCAGTCAATGGGTAAATAAGTACCATTTTTGAGGTCGGAATGGAAACACTAACCGTTTTGCAGGCATCTTGTTCACAACGGTGTGTGCGAATCGCCTCCCGGCTTGATTGAAGATCGGAACTCGTTGTATGCTGCGATGACGGGCAAGAACATTGGTTTTAAACAGTGGCAGCCGACATCTGTCCGTTCTTCCGGCGGGAAACTCCTGGGCCGCGGCGAAACTGGTGGAGCTTGGGAGTGGACCTCGACGGTCTTGGAGCCGCACGAGGGATTCCGCCCCGAAAAGTCCTATCCTGAGTATACTGGTATATCCTTCTTCCTTCTGAATCTCGTGCTTCTTCTGACGGGGTGTGTACAGCCGACTTCTTTGACGGCAAACACAATGTCGTTCTGGGAGGTAGCTGGGCCACTCATCCCCGCATTGCTGGAAGGAGAAGCTTGTAAGTTTTCCTTAACCACACCATCAGTGAATATTAACTGAGAATCCACAGTGTCAACTGGTATCAGAGGGCATACCGCTACGCCTGGGCCACTGCGAGGGTTGTAAAGAACTACTAGAGAGTAGTTTCCTTGTGTCTCTTTAGAGAGTGCGATTGATTTGTTTGAGGACCACTGGAGTGTGGTGTCCTCATGTGTCTTTTTAGGAATACTTTGCGTTTGCTTCTTGGGAATTTAAGATGACTTCTGTGGCCTGCGTGCAGAGCATTGTCCCGTGAACTAGCTGAGTGAAATCTTCAGCTTTTCGCCTCCAGAGTCCGGAGGTCACGCCGAGTAACATTGTCCGTAAGGGACAAGGCGCAAAGATAGCTGCTATTGGGTAGATCGTCGTTTTCACCATCGATAATTAATCACCCATGCACAAAAGCCACAACTAGGTATAATATGGCAACATCATGGCATCGACACATACACACCTCCAGCGCTCCCCAGCAGTCCCGCGCTCGCCGCCGCCCTACACACTACCAGGGAAATCCACCGCCGTTTCCTCGCCAGTCCCAACGGAATATCAGAGCTCCTCGCTTCCCCCGCCTCCTCCACCATGCCCGAAAGGCTTCCACGCCTTCCAAGCCGTCATTGCTATTACTAGGTATTCGTCTACGGCGGTCCGCCTCCCTCCCTCCCTCCCTCAACTGTCCCTGCTCGAGCTAACACCCACAGGCTTTGGCAACTAGGTACCTCCGCTTCTTCTCCTCGCGCGGCCACAGTACCTCCTCCCTCCCTCCCTCCCTGCGCGGCCACGGTACCTCGGGGAGAATACGATGTTCGAGTGGGGTGGTATATGCTGGTTGGTGCGCGTCATGTCGAGGTTTGTGCACCTGGGAAGTGGTCTTCGGAATCTGGCGGAGGCGGGAGCGGGAGGGGGAGCTGGAGAGGAGGGTAGGCTCATGGGAGTGGAGATTCGGAGGAGGCTGGCCAGTGGCGCAGACGGGCTGGTGGGTGGGTGGATGAGGACTTGGACATTGTCGGGGGTGGGGCCCTGTGGGGCATCATTTCGTGTTGAGGTTCGTTGGAAGGAGGGTGTGGAGAAGGTGGTGATGTAGTTGGTGGCCGTGGTTTATCGAGCATGGCTTTACCGAGTGTGTACATGACTGACTATTTTCTCTTCTAGAACTCATCTTCTATGCACATATATACACCGCAGAACGGTCTTCCGCGAACCTCTTCACGACGAATGCGCCAACAACTCGTTTCTCCCACGTCGCCCTTCGCATAACTTCGCTGTACCAGCCCTCGGCAGGGGACTCGTGGAGTCGTGGGCGTTACGGGTGGTTCTTCTATGGCGTGTGATGGATCATGGGGGACAATTCTGTGGCTGGAATGACCGAGTGGCCCGAGAGGAGTGGGGGTGGACACTTGAACCATTCTACGCGAGAGATGAAGGTGCGATTTGCAGCGAAGTAGGTGCGGTGGTAGGGGGCGGCCGTATGGAAGGTTACGGCAAGGCAAAACGGGGGCTTGTTTACGGGGAAACCCATGATGCCTAGGTTATGATGCCTCCCGAAACTTGCCTATGAGCCTCCCAATCTGCGAGGGTAGCCTGTGTGAAACATCGGGGACGGAGTGAACGGCTGGATAATTGAAAGCACGCGAGTGAGGCATAGTGACTTCGGATATTCAAGGTAACTAGCGTGCTATCACGCCGGCTCACTCGGCTAGCCTACTCACAAGAATCTGTCTTCAAAACCTAACGCCCTTCAACGGCGCTTCGTCCTTCGAGCGTATCTTCTCCTTCTTAAACGGTACCCTCCTCACCAAGCGATACATCAACCAGCCACTTTAACCGCCACATCACCGACGACCTTCGAAACACACCATGGCACCCAAAAAGCTCACGCCACAGCAACAGCTACAGGCGCAGCGACACCTCGTCGCAACCTTCATCGGCAGCAGCCGCTGCGGCAAGAGCGTGCTGCTGACATCGCACCTCTTCAACATCTTCAGTTCATTCTACGCGCCAACTCTGGATCAAGTGTTCGTTGCGGATCCGCCCGTGACACACCCACATCTTCCGGCGATCACGTACGTCGACGTCGGCACGGGGCCTAACACCAGCGACCGCTTCATCCCCCTGCGCACGCAGACCAGCGACGTCGTCGTCATCGTCTTCTCGGTCGTCGATAAGTCCACCCTCGAGGACGCCGTGTTTAGATATGCTGTCTTCGCGAAGGACTATAATAAGCCCATCGTGCTGGTCGGTACCAAGGCGGATCTCCGTGGCCCGGGGGAGACACTCGCCGAGAGGACCGATGAGGTCATCCCCTGGGAGGCTGAGAGGTACGCGAAGAAGATTGGCGCAACGGAGTATGTCGAGTGCTCGGCGCTCAACGAGGAAGGGATGGCGGACGTTTTCGAGGCACTGGTTAGGGCGGCACTGGGGGAGAAGGTGAGGTTTGGGGAGAGAGAGGGTTAAGGACTAGATTTGGTGTGTGGGCATCAAGGCCATGGTGGGAACGGTGATGTGATTACATACTTTCTCTCCGCCGAGTGTGGCAACTTGGCCACGTGGGGGAACTTTTCTTCCGCAATAAAAATTGTTTTAAAGTTGTAAAGTTTAAGCTGTGGTGACCTGCAGGTCCGACTCAGCAATGGACGAACTGCGGCCACGGAGCTCCACATAGCGTGAGTTGATCGATAATCCCCAACATTCAAAACAACACGTTGAGTACCGATGTCGACCAGAAGCACACGAGATTTTCCCGCCAGCTGCGTGCAGGCCGAAACCATAAGAGCATCTCCCCCGCCTCCTGGGTCGAACGCCAGGCTACACATACGTCGCCAGCATATTGTAGGTAGTCGACCACCCACAGGCCCAGGCCCAGGGGCCAGATATCTAGGGGCCAGGCATCTAAGTCAGTAGCCTTTGGAGTCCGCCCAGTGTCCGCGAGTTTTTTGGGTTATATTATCGGGTTTCCTGGTTTAAGATTTAGAGTGGGGAAGTGCAACTATCAATCATATTTTTTCCTCCATACATTGGCGTCTCTTCTGGCGGCGCTGAGCTTCTCTTGGAGGCGTTCGATTATGACCTCGGGCTCGGGCTCGGGCCGGTTTTTCGTTCTGGTTCTGGTTCTGGCTCTGGCTCTGGCTCTGGCTCTGGTTCTGGTTCGGGCCAGCCGTATCAGAAGGAGGAAGGGCGGAATATCCATTCGGATGATGATCCTGTAAAAGATGAACGTTGAGGCAGCCAAGTTTCAACTTTCTGCTAGGTATTTACCGTGTGGTCAAGTCATCCGTCAGCCGTGGATTCTGGGGAATTTTTGCGGGGTAATTGGGTTCTGCGGGGTACGGCTCGGTGTGCAACCTCACTGCAGAGATCCGGGTATGAGACGTTGATGAGCCGCCTGCGCATGATCATGGAGCATGATATCTCACTAGTAACGTGGTAGGGCTGTGGCGAAAATATGTACATGGTGCTTCCCCAGGTTCCCAATGGAGGGTGGAGACCTGCGGGTCATCGCGTGCAAGGAATTAGGAGGGATAGTGCGAGTGCGAACTTTCCTTTGTGAATTCTTTGGTCATATTCACCTGTTCATGCTGGCAGAGATGGGATGCCTAAGGGTGCCCCAACGAGGCGAGCATCACGAGGCGAAGATGTCGAGTGGGGACTCGGAGAAGCCATGGATGTATATTCAAGCCGAGTGCGTGTTGCGTATCACTTGGATCGTAGCTTGATGACTTTGGGAAATGAAAACTGGGCATCACGAGGTACATACACAAGTACATATGACCCCGCGCCAATCAATCTCGTCAACACGCTCAGCGACAAATCTTCTCCAGAAGTACATGGACTCAATATTTCGCCTCACGGCTGAGCGGTGCGGAGCAAAGATGTACATTTCCCCAAGTACGCAGCTCTTGGTGGGCCCAAACGAGGGATTTTGCAGGTATGGTCGGTCCAGTCCGATCCTGTGCTGTGAGGATGGCACGTAAGCAGACCGTCCATCTCGTCAGCGCTGATGACCGGCAGATGGGATCTTTGCGGTGATTGGAGCCCTCGCGAGACTCACAAGTGTGGAGATGTGGGGGCTACGCTTACGTGTCTGGAGGATTTACATCACGTTCGACGTAAATTGTAATCTATCCAGCGCGGTTGTGATATCGGTGATTCGGGTCATGTGATTGGATCATCTCGGAGGTATATACCTACACAGCTATTCGGTGCTGTTATATGGCTTGATTGATTGATTGACGGTGATCATTCGTGATTAGACTCGTAAGCCGCCTCCGCAATTCGACCGCCGTCCTTCCGCTCTGGTAACTCCCCCAGGACTTCATCTCAGGTTTTTCCGGGACGGACTGCATGCTGCACTCCAGTCACGTCAAGTCACGTCACCGAAGAAGAGGTACGTACTCGGCGGGTCTCTCCTTCCCATCCTGCTGCCCGCCACGAATCACGACACTGCTCCTGCGACGAACGCGAACCCACCGGCCACGAGCCACAGCGTGAATTAAAGTCTCCGTACCGGTCCGGCTGCGGCTGCAGACCCAAGGTGTGGCGGAGAGGTCTGCGGCCACACCAGTCAAAAGCCGAGTACTCACGTTCAGCTCCAGCTCCATCGAACATACACCCCCTCCCGTGATCGTGGAGATCGCGTTTCCATTTCAAATTGACGGCCGCGAGCCCCCTTCCCTCCCTTTCCCCCCAGCTGTCGAAGCAGATCAACGCGGTGGACATTACCAAACATGGAGATCATGGGCCGACGGTATAAGGCTGAGGTATAGCACAGAGTTGGGTTCATTAATGCTGTCATGGCCGAAAACGGTCCAACACAGAGCGATGAACAGTACATAGTGGGCTGGGGCGGGGGATCATGGTAATCTACGGAGGCTGCGTGTGTGTGTGCTCGCGGTCGCATATATTTATGATATGGACTTCAGTACATAACAGCTATGTGTGTCCCAAAGCGGCTGGGTTAATAGTGATTCGATAACGCGGCTCGATCGACGTCTCCCACTCATCTCCCGCTCGGATACATGCATTCACGAACGGCTGCTAAACACAAGGCAAGCAGGTGTGGCGAATGCCAATGCCAATTCCAATGCCATCGCCCATCGCCCAACGCCGAAAGACAATGCCAATGCCAATGCTATCGCCCAACGCCGAAATTGGGTGGCGCAGTAGCAAGAGCACGGTACGTACGGTTGTCGTAGACTGAAAGGCACCGAGTCCACCAGGGGGTGGGGTGGGTCACATACGGTCCTGCCAGTTTCGGGCCCTCCCCGGTCCACGCCGAGTGAGGCGACATGAGGCAACATGAGCCCACTCCGAGAACACGCGGCCGCAGGTCCACAGCAGCCCCTGGCACGCTCAACCGCCATCCCAATCCTCACCCCCCGTTACGGTGTAACTACTCTACCAGCCCCTGATCACCGCCAAACGACAGCGTTTCCCGCGTGCGTGCGTGCGGACCCGTCGATCACGCTCAGACAGCAGAAGCAGCACCAGCAGCAGCGGCGGTTGCCCCTCTAGTCCGGACAAACTTCACCCGAATCCCGTGGGAAGCTTCCCAAGTTCCCACCCCCCGTGCGCGCCACTGTCGTGCGCCCGGGTTTTGCGCGTTCGGGCCCCCCCCTCCTCCTCCCCTTGGGTCACCTGGGCGCGAGAGTGAGAGTGCGAGAGTGCGAGAGATGGCTATCTGCGGTGCGTTGTGCTGCCGTATCCAGGAACATATCCCGGAAGGGAAGGCAGGCACGGGCAGTCCTGGTGAGGCCCGGCAAAGTGGTATATAGGAGCTGATTTCGTATGTAAGTATTGTACAGACATACATAGGCGACGTCCTCTCCGCGCGCCAGGGTGGTGGATAACAGAGATAGGTACAGAGGAGGTAATGGGAAATAGTGTTTCCAATCTACTCGTTTAGAACATACAAAGTGCATACTATATGTACAAAATGTACCCGCCGCAAGCCGAGCAGCGTGTACGGTACTATCATATCGCCTTGCCGATCGTGTATATTCGGCTGTGTCATTAACGCCGACGGACTTGAGCCGGGTGGCGTAGAGCTCATATCGTACGCCCAAGCCCAAGCCCAAGCTCAAGCCCGCAAGCCAGATCGATCGGTGTATGTACCCTACGAAAGTCCAAAGCCATACCTTACGCTTGGCCATGTACTTTATTCTATGTAGATACCGCTACCCCTCCCGAAGTTCGAACCACCGAACGCGGCACGATCGTTCTCGAACACAAGCGATCACTCACTGAGCCACGAGTGACGTCTAATGACGCTCCCTCCCGCCACCCACTGGTCAACCAGCAGGCCGCATTCCCTCCCTCCCTCCCGCCCCCTGATTACCCCCGGATCTCCGCAGTGGGTGGGGGGCGGTTGCGACTTTCCTAGTGAAGTTCCCTCATTCGAAGCATACAAACCCTCCCTCCCTCGCCTCGATGCTACGCGTGTGTGGTGTGTGGTGAGTGGTGTGTGGTGAGTGGTGTGTGGTGAGTGGTGAGTGGTGTGTGGTGTGTGCTTACCATCGCCGGGTTCCGGATAATGTATTGATGCGCTTCGGCAGCGCCAGCGTAGGTATTTAGGTAGGTAATTATGTAGGTGAGAAGTTACGTGCGGGTACGAAAGAGAAAAAAAGCCCCCGTCTCGTCTCGTCTCGTCTCGACTATTTTCCCGGTTGTGAAAGTTGGAACTTGGAATTTGGAATTTGGAACTTGGAACTTGGGGGTGGATGAGTTGGTGGATGGATGGATGGTGGATGGTGGATGAGTGCCGCGTGGACGAGTGTTTCAGGCTCAATTCGCACAGTACAGTACAGTACAGTTCAGTGCAGTTCAGTGCAGTTCAGTGTGCAGTGTGGTGGTGCGTACATATACATATAGACATACAGACAAACCGGTAAACGAGAAACAAGTTCAAGCAACGCCCCAGGCCCCCCGCGGCAAATTTTTTTGAATTTTGAATTTTGGGAGACGAGATGGATGGTCGAGCCGAGTAAGCAATTGGCTGGTTGGCTGGATGGGATGGGATGGGATGGGAAGCGATGGGCACAGTATGTACCTACATAGGACGGTAAGTAAGTAAGTAAGTATGGGGACCCCGCATATCCCGATTCCCGCAAGAGCGGGTATTGTTCCTGCTTGCCTGCCTGCCAACCTGCGTGCGGGGCTTAGACATACCGTACATAAGCGAAAAGCAAGCAAGCCCCAGCCCAAGCCACAGCCTTGCCTTGCCTTGCCTCACCGTCGTGGAGACTCCGCTGGGGGCGGGCGGGCGGGGCGGGATTGTTGGTATAGGTATGGTACACACCTAGGTGCATAGTTGCTCACCGGTATACCGGCGCGAACGCCTCGCTCGCTCGTGTTTTGCGGGTGCGGGTGCGGGTGCGGGTGCGAGAACGCATGCGAGGAAGAGGAAAAGGAAAAGGAAAAGGAGCAGTCCGGCCGGACTCCGACCGAGCCAGAGTAACATGTAGTTAGAA